CTGGGCGCGGTGGCTCGTAATCCCAGCACTTTGGGAAGCCGAGGCGGGCAGATCACTAGGTCAGGAGATCGAGACTATCTTGGCTAACACAGTGAAACCCTGTGTCTACTAAAAATACAAAAAATTAGCCAGGCATCGTGGTGGGCGCCTATAGTCCCAGCTACTCGGGAGGCTATGGCCGGAGAACGGAGTGAACCCGGGAGGCGGAGCTCGCAGTGAGCAGAGATCGTGCCACTGCACTCCAGCCTGGGCGACAGAGCAAGACTCCGTCTTAAAAAAAAAAAAAAAAAAATTTTAAATACTTATTCATACTGTGAATTTCAATCGCTTTTCCTTCTACTTTCTGTTATTTCAGCATATTTTATACTAAGTACTTAAATAATTTTTGTTTCTTCTTAAATTAATAATTTCAGCCATAATTAGCAATGGTCACAAGGCACACTTCAAGTTACACCTCACTTTTCAAATCCCTCACCTTCCTTGATGCCTTTCCCCAATCATTCTAGCTCACAATTCACTCACTCACTCAACATTAAGCAGCTTCTATTTGCCAAGCACTGTATTAAGTGCGTAGGACATGGAAATGCCTTACAGGGACCCTGACCTCAAGGAACTCATTCAGATGGACATGCAATGGACCTCTCCCCAAACTGAGATCCTACCTCCGAGCAGGTGTTGATAGAGAAGATCAAACAACTGTGGACGAGAGCTGCCATAAACTCCTGGCCTTCCACTTTTAATCAGTTTTTGTTTTTAATTATTGTGGATACCCTGGCCTTGCACTTTAACTGGCCCTCAATGTTGCCTAGCTGTTTTCTCCATCTCATTTCCATACCAACTATTTTCAAACTTTCTCCCCTTTCCCACATTTTCCAACCCTCTATCCTCTTCTTCACTTGAGGTATGGGCCATCTTCTGCATCAAAAAAATAAACAGTCCATTTGTAAATTTCCTCAACTTCATGTTGGTACAATAATTAAAAATGCATGTACCAACAGGGTACCAACCTGCCCACATCTGTCTCCTTCCATTTCTCCTCTATAGATAGAACAGACCTCTCTTCCCACGACGAATCTTTCCACCATTCTACTCTATGTACTCCCTCCATTCTTCTGAGGAACTGAACACTGCTGTGTCATTGACATTTTCCTCACTGCCTGCTCTTTACCATCCAATCCAAATTGAAATACACTACAGCCATGTTCATCCCCAAATTAAAATCCCTTGACTCTCATCTCCTTTAGTTCCCACTTCATTCTTTCCCCAGCCCGCCTCCTAGGGCAGTGGACCCTCCTGTACTTCCTCACCTTCCACTCACTCCTCAATTCACTCTCCTCTGGCTCTTACTAATCACTTTTCTGAAACTATCCTTGCTGCTCCGTAGTCATTTCAGTCTTTTTTTTTTTTTTTTTTTTTTTTTGGGACAAGGTCCCCCTATGTTGCCCAGTTGGCCTCCAACTCCTGGGCTCAAGTGATCCTCCTGCCTCAGCCTCCCAAATAGCTGGAACTATAGGTGTCAGTCCCTATCTTGTTCTCTTGGCAGCCTTTGTCATTCGTAAGGAGTACTTGCTCCTTCCTCAAGCACCTCTCCCTTGGCTTCTCTGACGTGATGCTCTCATCCTGTCTTGCTGGCTTTCCTGTTTCCTTCACATATTCAGCCACCTCTGCCCACCCTTTAAATGTTGATATTCCGAGGGTTTGCTCCTTGGCCAATTTCTCAATCTTCATTCTCATCTTTCTGACATGCTAAGGACTTCCAAGCCCGTATTCGTAACCCAGATTGTTCTTCTGAATTCCAGACCTTTAATACATACACGGGACACTAGGTATCTCTACTAGGATCTCTCCCGGGACTTCATATTCAATATGCCAAACTGGTTTCCACCACATGCCCCCTACTTGCTCTGCTTTCTTCCTGAAATGCTTTGTCTTCAGATATTGATGTGGTTGGCTCCTTTGTATCATTTGGGTCTCAGTTCCAATGTCACCTTCTCAGATGCTTTCTCTTGACTACCTCCTCTAATTTGCCCTTCACAGCAAGCCGCAACCCAGCATCATGTTATCTTAATACTTACAACTACATGAAGTTATTGTATCCACTTATGTCTTGCTTCAGGCTACTAAATGAAAGCTTCCTAAGAACAGAGGCATTGTCTACCTTATTCACTGCTGTATTGCTACAGTACCTGGCATGTAGTAAATCACAAAAAATACTTATTGAATGAATAAAACTCCTCAATTTTGAACCTTGGAAAGATTACGCTAAATGAAAGATGCCAGAGACAAAAGACTATGTATTGTATGATCGCACTTCTGTGAAATGTCCACAACAGGCAAATCTGTAGAGAAGTAGATTAGTGGTTGCTAAGGTCTGGAGAGGTAGTGGGGATTGTCCATGACTGCTAATGAATACAAGGTATCTTTTGGGAGTGATGAAAATGTTCTGGAATGAGAGAGGGGTGATGGTTGTATAACTCTATGTTAAGAACGACTGAGAGTTGTATGGTATATAAATTGTGAGTTGTATGGTATGTAAACTGTATCTCAATAAAGCTGTTATGAAACAACCGAACTCCCAAATTTACTCCAGAGTTGCCCCACTTCCTACACTCCTAGAGTGAAGAACACTACCCTTTCCCAACTGCCAAACTTAGGAATCCGAGTCATCATAACATCCTCTCTGCCCTGCCTTCCCTCCCCACAACCACCCTTCCAGATACAGCTGATCAGCCACAAAATCCTGAAGATCTCATTTGCGTACTCTCTCACACTCATGTCACTCACTACAGGCTCTGATCACCTAGACTTGGAATCTTTCAATGATATCTTACTGAACCTGCTCTACTCAATCCATCCTTTTATTCAGCTGCTACACTGCTGCCAGGAGTGATTTTCCTAAAACATAATTCCTCACAATATCCATGCTTGCTTAACAGCCTTCGCTGGCTCCCTGTAATTGACTATCTGATAAAGGTCCAAACTCCTATGTATATGAGGTGCTTCCTAAACTGGACCTCAACAGCCTGTCGCTTCATCTGCTAACTCAACTCTTTAGCTACAGCCATGAGGAATCTGGCCACAAGTTGTGGCCACTCTCACTTTCACATGTGCCACTTCCACTGCCTAGAACACCCTGGGCCCCCCAGTCTTCAACTCCTACTCATTCTTAAGGACTCAGCTCAAGCATCACATTTTTCAGGATGCATGAGGTATCCTTTTTTCCTCAATCTGTCAGAAATCCCTTTTCCATACTTTCACAGTGCTCAGTGCAATGCCTACCTGCCCTCTTAGATTAGCTATTATTTACAAAGCACCTACCGTGATCTTTACTCTTCAAGTTTTATCTTATTTCCACATGAGAAAACAGGTTTAGTGAGGTTGTTGTCCTACTAAGTGGTCAAGTAGATAACGGACTTCAGGTCTGACTTCAAAGTAATGGTCTCCTATTATACCAAAGTATCTCTCCAATACTTCCCACTGTGCACTGTAATTCTCTCCATAAGGGCGAGAGCAATTAACTGGGCCCTCCTTTGCATCTGTATCCCCACGTGTGGTGCTTGACACTTGACACTTGCTAAAGAATTGAGTTAGCAGATCAAGCGACAGTGTTTGCTCATCACAGGAAGACATGACAGGTGTGATCTAAGCAGAAGGAAACGGACTATGTCCCAAGCAGGTGCTTAATGAAGCCTTACTGAACGAATGTGTAAAGGAGATACTTTCTACCTTTTGGAAAGCGTATATTCATGTTGTGCCAACTAACATCTAACAATAAACATGTTGTGGGTTCGAAATGCTCATCTGTAGGAATCCAAGTTCTCTATATTTGCATCTCCCCTTCAGCAGCATTCCCGACTGATGAGGACCATGTCCACTGAAACGCCACTCTCCTTACGGACAGTCGAGGGCTGAGTTTTTGTCCCTAACACCTCTGCACTTTCTCCTCTCCAGCTTTACACCTTCCTTATTCTACTAGGACCTGAGCTGAGAAGATCGAAACTCACGGCACGTCCCTAATATTTTCTAACTTCTGGCACATGTGAAGCCCTGGTGTTAGGAAACAGACTTAATTCTTCCCTGCACCGCTGTAGCCTCATTCAGGTCCTCCTCTCATCCTGTCGATCATAAGCGTCACCGGCTCTCTCACGGCTTGCCCTGACGCGCAGAGATCCGTGCTTGTGCTAAGTGAAAACGCTTTTTAGCGTGTACGAAAAGCGGCCGGTGGCCCCGGAAAACTTTTTTTTTTCCGACTCCAACATACCCTCCCCTGAAACTGATAAAGAAGCAAAATCCCGTTCACTCTAGCAGGCCCCTTCCAATCAGTGGTCCTCCAACCCCTCGAGCCTGAGAAGCCTGGCCCGCAAGCGCGGACCAAAGGCAGGCTGCCGGGGACGGTGGGAGCGCGGGCGACGGAGGAGGCCAAAGTCTCCGGTTATCCCTCGCACCCCTCACAGCCCTGGGCCTCATTCCCTCTCTCGCTGGTCCCTTACAGAGGTCGGATCAGCAGCTGGTCGCTCTCCTCAGCAGGAATCGCAGACATCCCGAAAGTGTGAGGGCGAAGCGGGGGCGGGGAACAGGTCGCCGGGGTCTTCCTAAATTGGAAGGTAAATAAAGAAAGAAGAACCCCATCCACCAAGAGCACAACTTCCGTCACTCCGGAGCCCGCGGCACTAGACTCCTCCCCTCGACTTCCGGTTGGGGGACGTCCCTTGCGAAGCTTCCCACCACTCGGGGTCCTGGAACCGGGGGCGGGACGTCAGGACTGCGCCTGCGCTTAGTCTCGGAGGCGGGGCCCGGCGGACGTGGGCAGGAGCGTTGGAAAAGCCGGCGCTGGAGCGGGAACGGGAGTAGCTGCCTGGGTGCCGGAGGCCGCGGCGCTCCCACGCGGACCCCGAAGCCCGCAACCGGAGGATGGGCCCGCGGCTGCGAGGTGAGCGCCCAGCCCTCGTCCCACTCGGGGCCGAGCTCGCGGAGGCCTGACGGGAACACGGCCCCGAGAGCGGCGCGGACGGCCGGGAAGGATGGGTGGGGCCGCAGGGAGGGCGGGGGAGGGATGCCTGGGCTCCGGCTGCGTTCTCTGCGGGTCCGCGCTCCCGGGGCGCGGGTGGAGGCGCCTGGAACCGCGGGTCGGGCGTGGGCGTTGTGGACTGTAGCTTCCGGAGCCGCTGCCAGCCGGGAGAGGAGGCAAGGCGGGCAGCGCGGGCCGTTTCCCTGCCTCTTCCTCTGCCTCGTTTCGGCCGCCTCCCGCCTCTCAGGGTCGGGGTTGTCTGTCCCCTTCGCTGTCACATCCTCCGCACCCAGCAGGTGGAAGGTGCTCCATCACGGTGACAGACAGGTGCCAAGCAGGCTGGCGTCTGGGAGGAACTTTGGAGCCGGCTCTCCCTAGGCCCTGAGCTTGGCCCCATCCGTCCTTACCCTGGTGACCCTGGGCAGGTCACTGACTCTTCGGGCGCTTTGGCATCCTCGTTTGAAAGGGGCTGTTATCCTTCAGGCTTGCTGGTCAGTGAGGGTGAGAGGGATCTGTGCACCTAGCACCGTGCATGGCACGTGGTAGGCGTTTGGTACTTGGGAATTGCTGTTGGGGTGTCACAGACACCCCAGAAAGTTCTCGGCTTCAGTAAGCGCGTCCCCTGCCAGGCGCCCTGGCTGTGCAGAGAGGAGTCCCTGAGCTCCGCCTTTGACCAGCGTGCAGCTGGGAGAGTGAGATCAGAGACCACAGCAGATTGTGGCGCTGTGATCAGGGGTACACTGAAGCTGTGGGTCCCTGAGCCCAGCCTTGAGATCCCAGGAAGGCCTGCAGCCTGAAAGGGGCCTTGAAAGGTAAGAGGTAGCCAAGTGCCTGAAAGGTGAAGGGTGTCCCGGGCGCTGCAAAGCAGGGGCGACTGGAGCATCGCCCTGAGAACCACGAGCAGCTTTGCCTTGCTGAGATCAATGAACTGTGCCCGGGTTGTGGAGGATGGAAGTGGAAAGGTGGTTAGGAGCTGCGTCCTGGAGGACCTGGCGTGTCCTGCTGAAGAACGTTGACTTTGATCTCTGACTTTGGAGAACCAGTGAAAGATTTTCAGCAGGCTAGTGGCATTAGATTTATGTTTGAAAGAAATCATTTTAATCGTTTTGGCTGCAGTGTGGGGTGGATTTAAAATGTTAGGGAATCCAGTAGGACAAGGTCCCTTACCCACGCAATATCCTTGGGTTTGTGAATTCCTTAAATTCATGCCAAATTTTGTATGGATGTGTATTTTTGTAGGGTGAGTATCCATCACATTGATCAGATTCTAAAAAAAATGGTGTCTGTGCCCATGGTCTAGGATGACATGGGGCCTGGTGGAGAGCTGGCTCAGAGAGCTCTTCCGGTGGGGTATACAGTGGGTCTTGGTGCCAGATTGGATATGGGGCCTGAAGGACAGCAAGGAATTCATGATTTCCTGGCTTCCCCCAGCAATAATAGAATTTCCTAACGGGGAGAGAAGAGGAGAGGAGCAGATCTGGAGGGGAGGATGATGGTTTCAGCTTGAGACATCTTTGCATTTGACGAGCCTGCGGAGCATCCAGTCGCCAATCAGGATCGTTGGCCTCATTTTGATGCATGAGTAATTTTGAGGCAAAAACGATTTGCTTGAGAACATGCATCAAAATTGCAGCAGATATCAAAGACTTTAATAAATGCTGCTTTTTCCTAAGCCCCCGGGTTGATGATGAAAAGAAAGCCTTAAGGAGTTGCTGAGGCATTGTGGTGTCATGATTTTCATATCAAGGGATTTGAGGAGACACTTCAGGATTGCACTAACAGTAGAATCACATTTTGTTTTTAAAATGTTTTGATTTAAAATTTAAATCATATTTAAAATTGTTACCTTTATGTAAATATGTATTTATATATACTGAAGTATCTGATGCTTAAATACGTTATATACATCAACATTTTAACCCATCAGCGCCATTAACATGGCACTTTATGCTGCTACATTAACCTCGTTTTGTGCAGGCCTTGGAATAAGGCTCTCCTGCTGTCTCTCACTGACTAGTGTCCTGTGCTGGTAAGGTTCTCCTTTGCAGCAATCACCCGCAGTCGTCTTCCAACGCATCTCTCTCTTTTTACTCTTATCCTATGGAGTTAGTTCCCTGCCTGGCAGCCAGGGTCATTGTTTAAAAAACAGAAGACACCTAATTGTGTCGCTAAACTGCTTTTTAAAAGTCTCCATTCCGGAAGATCACAGCAGATAAGCAAAAAATAAATAAAAAAACCTTTAGAGTCTTCCTCTTAAAGTCCACTGTTATCACAGCCTGCCTGGCCTTCTGTGGCACTTTGTCTGGGCCCATTGCTGTCCTGCTCCCAGACAGCCTTGACTATTCCCTTGGGCGCCGTCTCCACCTGCACAGCATTGCCTCCAGGCTATTTATGGCTGCCCTCACTTCATTCAGAAAAAGATCTAGAGCATCTTTTTCTGGAATACCCACCCCTTCCTTCCTTCCGTCTGTGTCTCCTTAACTTCTCTTAGTTTTCCTCATAGCAGTTGTTTCCTAATAACATGTTTTCTGTGTGTTTTTCTTGTTGGTATGTCTCCTCCCGCTGAGAACAGCCTCCTTGAGGTCAGGGGCTTCGTTTGGTTCACTGATGCGTCCCTGGCATTTGGTAGGTGCTCACTGACTATCCAGAAATGAATGACTAAATCAGATTTTCCTGATACCCCACAGCAAAAACATAGAAATAAATCTGATGATGAGGCTGATTAAAAAGCTTGGACTCAGGGGTCAGACTCGGGCAAGTGGCCTAATGTCATCCCCTAGTAAGTGGGCTTAGAGTGGGGTCTCCAAATACAGAGAATCTCTGGGTTGCAGCAGGGGCTTTCATTGACTGCTGCCTGAGTCACTCATTCTTTTTCCTTCATCAGGTGCATTGTTTCTCTGAAAAGCATCGCCCAGGTCAGAATGAAAGGAAACTCTCTCTGCAGACCGCTGTATGTGGGACCTTGAAGACGGTCAAATAGTGTTCAATTCTAGAGCAAGCAGATTTTCTTGTTCCCTCTGGAGAACACAGTTTTTGGTAAAAATTGGTCAGGTTATCTTACTCATAAATCCTCTTGAAAGACATGTCACAGTTCCCTCATCTGTAAAAGGCAGATTACAGCCCACCTTCTGCGAGCCCCTTGAGGGTTAGAGCCCTGCAGAGTGTGTGGCATATGGTTTGCCCTTAAAAAGCATCAATAGAGCAAATGAATATGTCACAAGGTTATCATGAGGCTGTGACAGTGTAACTGTCCCGGGAGTTCTGTGAGCTATGCAGCTTCATATAGGTTAGTTAATGTGCCAAGTATAATCTATGCTCTCCTATGCAATCGGCAAGGATGAATCTTACGTTTCCAAGGCATTATTTATTAATTTCAAAAAAAAGAAATGTGTAACATAGACTCTGGGAAGCAAGGTCATCTCCTTAGCTGCCCTTAGTAGAGAGGGGGGTGAGGCGCTGGCACCTAGGAAGGTCTTTGTGTCAGCTGTTACTTAAAGGCATTTCAAAACTTCCAGAAAAATGCACATTTCTGAGAGGTGTATATATCTTAACCCTACCAAGTATAGAATGTGAAGCTGAGAGGCTTACTGAATCTCAGTATCTCGGCTGAAAATCCAATGTGTTACAGCATATTTTGCTAAAATCTTGAATCCATTGAAGAGAAGTAAGGCCCTTGAAATTTTGAGAACTAGGCGACATGTCTAATACTTGAGAAAAGTGCTTTTCACACCTCTAGGCCAAGGTTTCTGCCTTTTTTTGCTTATTGGGTTAATTTTTTGTAATTTAATAGGAAAGAATGAAAAGGAATAGTATCTAAGGGAAAGGTTTTATGTTTTATAGAAAAGGAACACACCCATGGAACTGGAAGGAATTGATGATTTTTATTTCTATTATGCATAAAGTGATTTAATGTTGCATTTCCTGATGTAGCTGTAACCAATATCAAAGTTGCTTTTCCTGGCTGGGCATGGTGGCTCACACCTGTAATCCCAGCACTTTGGGAGGCCAAGGGGGGAGGATCACCTGAGAGCAGGAGTTTGAGACCAGCCTGGCCAACATGGCAAGATCCTGTCTCTACAAAAAATGAAATTAGCTGAGTATAGTGGCACATGCCTGTAGTCCCAGCGACTCGGGGAGGCTGAGGTGGGAGGATCACTTGATCCCAGGAGGTTGAGACTGCAGAGAGCCATGTTTGTGCCACTGCACTCCAACCTGAGTAAGAGCAAGACTCTGTCTCTTAAAAAAAAAAAAAAAAAGTTGCTTTTCCCGATGTAACTGTCACCAATATTTGTTTTTTCAGGGGATCTTCTCTGGATCAAGAAATGGTGGTGAAAAATGTTTCGCAAAGGCAAAAAACGACACAGTAGTAGCAGTTCCCAAAGTAGCGAAATCAGTACTAAGAGCAAGGTAGGGAAATGGAATTTGGAACAGAGTCATAAAGCAGGGAGAGTTTTGTTTCTTCTAGCTGATATTGTATGGAGGATACTGACCATGGGCAGACCTCCTGATAATCTTCAAACTAGGTGTGTTTTTACATTTACTTTTTGCACTAGAGATGCATTCTATGCTTAGCTTCATTTTATCTGTTTTGGTAGGTTTTCTGAAATTCTTAAATCCATTAAACTAGATGGGACATGACCCATCTAGTTTGGTCTCGTTGAAATAAGCACTGATTTAAAAAATTTTGAAATGATAGAAATTGCAGGCATTAAGGGGCTGGACCTCTTGAATTCTAGGGCTTGTGGTGTGCATAATTAGTTTCACTTAAGAGTGAGATTGGCAGATACCTGTATACTAGAGAGTTCGAATGCTGTTGGAAGGTAAGCATGGATTTAGTTCATGCGGAACAAACCTTTGAGGAGCTATTCAACTGGCAACTTTTGTCTCAAAGAATGAAGTGATTTCTTTTTGACTGACAGATATTTTTCAATATAAGAGTACAAAGATAGCTGCATTATATTTGTTCTAGGTTTTTGACACCAATTTTGTTGGTGTTTAGAAGAATAGCATTTTTATTTCTACCTCCTGGACAATGGCACGTGAACACTCATTCATTCACCGAGTATTTACTGAGCACGGCTGTATGCCAAACTCTGTTTAAGGGGCATAAAATAGAGTGGTTAGGGGGAGGGAAAAAATCCCTGGCCCCAGAGCTTCCGTTTCAGATGGGGCAGAAAATACTGAAGAAATAAGTAAAATAGAGAGTTTCAGATGGTGGAAACTAACACGGGAGGAAGAAACTACAGGAATGGACGGGGTGGGAGATTGGGAGAGGGGCAGTGTTCAACAGTCTGGTAGAAAAGGTCTTATTTTCAGGCCGGGCACAGTGGCCCATGCCTTTGGGAGCCAAGGTGGGCAGATCACCTGAGGTCAGGAGTTTGAGACCAACCTGGCCAAAATGGTGAAACCCCATCTCTACTAAAAATACAAAAATTAACTGGGCGTGGTGGCGCATGCCTGTAATCCCAGCTACTCGGGAGGCCAAGACAGGAGAATTGCTTGAACCAGGAGGCGAAGGTTGCGGTGAGCCAAGATCACACCACTGGACTCCAGCCTGGGCGACAGAGCAAGATTCTGTCTCAAAGAAAAGAGAAGGTCTTATTTTATTTATTTTTTTTGCTGCTCCTCCTCCCGAGAAAAGGCCTTGTTTTCTTGGTGGCATTTGAGCAGGGGCCTAGAGGAGAAGTGGGGCCATGATAAGATCTGGAAGGATCGTGGTTCAGGGAGAGGAGAGAGCAAAGGCCCATGGGAGGAGCGAGCCTGTGTGTTTAGGGGCAGCAGGGAGACCAGCGTGGCCTGGGCAGGGCAGGTGCAGGTGTTGTGAAGACCTGGGATTTTACTCTGAGAAGTAAAGCGGGGGCACCTGGGGCCAGGGAGTGACAGAATCTTACGTAAGTTTTGTTGGGGGTCACTTTGGCCACTATGAGCAGGGCAAGGGCAGGAGCAGAGACTGCTGGGGAGGATGTAGTAAGAACCTGAGAGATGATGGGGGCTCGGACGGGGTGTGAAGGAAGTGCTAAGACCTCAGGTTCTGCAGAGAGTTCCAGGCGGGCACTCATGGGACCTGTGGATGGATGACGATGGCTTGTGGAGTATGCGGAAAAGAGTCACCAAAGCTTAAAGCCTTAAGATAGCAGGTGCTGTGGGAGGCAGAAAAAGTGATTCACTCCAGGTGTTTCTGCCTGGGTGCCAGATACCACTTGAGACATGATTGATACCCAGAGACAGTGAATAATTCAGAGAACACGAAGGTGTGTGAGGTAATGACAAATACTGCTTCGGGGATTCCGAGACTGGGGAGATGATAGGCCTAAAGTTGTGGAGGAAGTTGTATTAGTTGGAGTTCTCCAGAGAACCAGTAGGATGTGTTTCTATCCTAGAGAGAGATTTTGTTGTATTTTCAAGGTTTATTTTGAAGAATTGGCTGATGTGACTGTGGGGGCTGCAAGTCCGCAATCTGCAGGGCGGGCGGGCTGGAGACCCCTGGGAGTGGAAGTGGCAGCTTGAGCCCAAAGGCAGCCTGGAGGCAGCTGGAGGCAGACTCTCCTCCTCGGGAGCCTGAGTCTTTTTCCTTTAAGGCCTTCACCTGCTTGGATGAGGCCCACCCACACTGTGGAGGGTCCTCTGCTGTGCTCCGTGTCTGCTGGGGTAGACGTTAATCTCATTTAAAGAAACACCTTCACGGCAATGTCTTGACTTGTATTTGACCAAATATCTGGGTACTTAGCCCAGAGAAGTTGATATATAAAATTAACCATCACAGAAGTCTTCCCGAAAAAAGCGGTTAGTGAATGAGACCTTAAAATATATGGGTCAAATAGGCATAAATGAGGAATACAGGTCAAATAGGCATAAATGAGGAAGGGAGTTAGACATCCCAGGCACAGGCAGGAAGCTGGAGGCCGAGTCCGGTCTGAACAGCCTCTTCATGATTTTCCACCCTTGTGAGTGCTCTAATTTTAAAGCTGTGTGTTCACTCAGTCCCAGGACCAGGGTGAGGCACAGCATGGAAGGAGGCGTCTCACAGGGTCGCACAAGGCCCCCTCAGGAGATGCCTCCCTAGACTTTTCATCCTGGGTGCCTGCCGGCCTCCCATGCCCCACATGTGCCATGCTGTTAAATAACAGCCACACGTGAATGAGACAGAGACACACGACTGCCACTCAGTTTCCAGTCAGGGCAGGGTGAGCTGGCATATCTCGGCGTGGCGGAGCTGGTGGGTGGCGTTGTAACCAGAAGCACAGAAACCTGACATTGTAGGAGTCCTGTGCAGCCGTAGAATGGGGAAGCGAACCATGTTCTTGGAAGTTTTTGAACTCCTGGAACTGGTCAACACAGAACCTCCCTACTGCCACTTCCTCAGCCTTAAGCGTGAGGACTCCGCAGGGGAATCTCACCTGTGTGGCCCAATGTCTTGTTTTATTTTTATTTTTGGAGACGGAGCCTCGCTCTGTCGCCCAGGCTGGAGTGCAGTGGCGTGATCTCGGCTCACTGCAACCTCTGCCTCCGGGTTCAAGCAATTTTCCTGCCTCAGCCTGCCAAGTAGCTGGGACTATAGGCATGTGCCACCACGCCTGGCTAATTTTTGTATTGTGTTTTGTTGTTGTTGTTTGTTTTGAGACGGAGTTTCGCTCTTGTTGCCCAAGCTGAAGTGCAGTGGCGTGATCTCAGCTCACTGAAACCTCTGACTCCCAGGTTCAAGCGATTCTCATGCCTCAGCCTCCTGAGTAGCTGGGATTATAAGCACCCGCCACCATACCCAGCTAAGTTTTGTATTTTTGGTTAGAGACGGGGTTTTACCATGTGGGCCAGGCTGGTCTCGAACTCCTGACCTCAGGTGATCCACACGCCTCAGCCTCCCAAAGTGCTGGGATTACAGGTGTGAGCCACCATGCCCAGCTGTATTTTTTTTTTTTAGTAGAGACGGGGTTTCACCACGTTGGCCAGGCTGGTTTCGAACTCCTGTCCTCAGGTGATCCACCCGCCTCAGCCTCCCAAAGTACTGGGATTACAGGTGTCAGCCACCACGCCCGGCCACAGAATATTATTTCTAAAGAAATTGGGAGTATAGCTCTGAGGAACAAACTCCCTTTACATATGATTCTATTTTGCTCAACTGTTGTGTTGTTTTTTTGTGACAGTTCACATGATAGTCTACTCTTCTCTGCCAGTTAGCCCCTGAATTCCTGCTGCAGGCCAGACATGAGTTGGAATAATTGCAGAAGCACTGGACCGGAGACCTAGAATTAAGAGACCTAGGTTTGAGATCGGAGCCATTTACTAGATGTTACCTTGGATAAGTCACTAAACGTCTCTGTCTCCTTCCTCGTTTATTAAGCAGGGATCATGGTCCTTGCCTGGCTTTCTGCACAGGGTTTGTTTTGGGTTCAGTGGAACTAATGTGAAAGCAAGGCGAGATGTTCACAAGAATATTCTTAGAAGGCATCTTGTAAGGAGGTGGTGGTAATGGCTTCGATTTAGACTAAGAATATTGCCACCACGTTTATCCAATATTATGTCGTGGGACGAACGAACAGTTGGGATTATGTGATTTTTTTTTTTTTGAAGTTTGTTGCAGAATTTGTCTTAAGAAAAATCTGTCACAGTCGATATGCCTGAATAATTGGCATGATTTCGTATATGTCAGCTCAACTCTAATAAATAATTTGAATGGGTTAGAGGACTTCAGAGAAGACACGGCTGCTTCTGTGGAGGTTTTTTACTTGTTTTTCTGTTTCTCAGTCTGTAGATTCTAGCCTTGGGGGTCTTTCACGATCCAGCACGGTGGCCAGCCTCGACACAGATTCCACCAAAAGCTCAGGTACAGAAAAGGGGTGGATCATTGATTGTCTGTGCTTTTCACTGATGTTCTTGTGGTTTTACTGGGGTAGTGCGAGTTCTTCAGTATTTGTGGCTTTCTTCCTCTCCTTTGCCACTTTTGACAAGAGTTTAGAAGTGGACCCAGATTTGGTGGGACATGGGCTGAGGGTGTGGTGTGATTGGGGAACCACATAGCCTTTGGAGATTGGCACAGGCACATGGGCAAACTGGAAGTTTCAAAATAGTTTTTAAAGAAATGAGGTGGCAATAAATACATACACCTACTATGTACCCACAAAAATTAAAAGAAATGGGGTGGCAGAAGGTGAATTCCATTGGACTTACGTTGTCTATGGGGAATAGGGCAAATATCTTGGTGATTAAAGGGCTAAGGAGCCATTCATTTACCCCAAGGAACCCAGAGATTCACCAGCTCATGACCACCACCAACACAAGTAATTAAGGGGAGGATCTGGCCCAGACCCTTGTAGATATTTATGCAGCTGCCCAAAATTAGTAGATCCTTAGAAACAGGCTGGGTGTGTTGGCTCACACCTATAATCCCAGCACTTTGGGAGGCCAAGGCAGGTGGATCACCTGAGGTCAGGAGTTTGAGACTAGCCTGGCCAACATGGTGAAACCCCGTCTCTACTAAAAATACAAAAAATTAGCTGGGCGTGGTGGCGCATGCTTGTAATCCCAGCTACTCGGGAGGCTGAGGCAGGAGAATTGCTTGAACCCAGAGGTGGAGGTTGCAGTGAGCTGCGAATCACACCATTGCACTCCAGCCTGGGCGACAGAGCGAGACTCCATCTCAAAAAAAAAAAAGAAAAGAAATCAAGAGGTGACTTCTAACCCAAGCTCCCTAAGTAGCTGGTGGCTAACTGGAAATATATTCATTTTCTTGTCCAAATTCCTCTTTTTCTCTCAGGAATTGTCCTAGTGAATCTGTAACAGAGAATGTTGGAGCATTAAGTCCATTGTCTTTACTGCCAAATGCCTTTAAAATTATTAAAGTTGTGGGCATCTTTTTATTACATAACCTAAAAGTAATCATATAGTATTTCCTTAATATGGTTGAGATTATAAGTCGTTTGTAGTAGTTTTTGTATTGGCTAGATTTTGTGGCACACACACAACTCTTCAACCATTGCTGTTAGGTTAAGAGACTTCCTGCCTGGCATCATTCCATCGACATTACAAAGAAAAACTATGTGGTCTTTTCTGATGGAATGGTAGAGGAAGAGTAGGCTTCCTGAATGAGGAAAGAAAGCTAACATGGTAGGCCAGGCACGGTGGATCATGCCTGTAATTCCAGCACTTTGGGAGGCCAAGGTGGGAGGATCGCTTGAGCCCAGGAGTTTAAGACCAGCCTGGGCAATGTAGTGAGACCCTGTCTCTACAGGGGAAAAAAAATGGTGAAGAGGGACAAAGAACCAAAAATAAATATCATGCATCAAAAAGGTAATCATTATGTAGTAACCTTTTCTTTACTGTTTGTTTTGAAGGGAAGGTTAATATTTATTCCTATTATTGAGACCTTTGTATATTATATTTAGTATACCGTGAGTCATAAAGGGTTAGTGAAATTTTAAGTTCTTCCCCATTATATACAAATATTTTGCATTATAAAATTTGTAATTAGTGGTTGTGTTCTAATGACTGTCTGGTTTTTATTTGGGAAGGGACTGAGGATACCCTGTAATGCAGATATTTCTTCTGAAGTCTTACCACTTTTCTTTCATCTTTAGGACAAAGCAACAATAATTCAGATACCTGCGCAGAATTTCGAATAAAATATGTTGGTGCCATTGAGAAACTGAAACTCTCTGAGGGAAAAGGCCTTGAAGGGCCATTAGACCTGATAAATTATATAGACGTTGCCCAGGTAAAAAAAAAAAAAAAAAAAAAAAAAAAATTCCTTAACTCTCTGGTTCTGAGAGTCTGGGGAGCCAGCTCGTGGCTTTGGGGCAAAGGCTCACTCCTCGGGTCCACTGGGTGCCGCTCCACTTGCTCTGGACTGGAAGCCCCCGCATCACCACTGCACATGTGCGTGAGCGCTGAGCTGCATAGGAACACGGGCGCCGTTCCTTCCTTCCAACACGGTACTTTTTTTTTTTTTTTGAGACGGAGTTTCGCTTTTGTTGCCCAGGCTGGAGTGCAATGGCATGATCTTGGCTCACTGCAATCTCTGCCTCCCGGGTTCAAGCAATTCTCCTGCCTCAGCCTCCCGAGTAGTTGGGATTACAGGCGCCCGTCACCATGCCCAGCTAATTTTGTACTTTTAGTAGAGACAGGGTTTCTCCATGTTGGTCAGGCTGGTCCTGAACTCCCGATCTCAGGTGATCTGCCCACCTCGGCTTCCCAAAGCGCTGGGATTGTAGGCATGAGCCACTGCGGCCGGCCCACAGTACTTTTTAATTTTTTTTTTTTTTTTTGAGATGGAGTCTTGCTCTGTTGCCCAGGCTGGAGTGCAGTGGTGCGATCTCAGCTCATTGCAACCTCCGCCTCCCAGGTTCAAGAGATTCTCCCACCTCAGCCACCTGAGTAGCTGGGATTATAGGCGCTGGCCACCATGCCTGGCTGATTTTTGTATTTTTAGCAGAGATGGGGTTTCACCATGTTGGTCAGGCTCGTCTCGAACTCCTGCCCTTGTGATTCACCCGCCTCGGCCTCCCAAAGTGTTGGGATTACAGGCGTGAGCCACCACACCTGGTCAATCCTTTTTTTTTTTTTTTTGAGACAGTCTTGCTCTGTCACCCAGGCTGGAGTGCAGTGGCGTGATCTTGCCCCACTGCAACCTCCACCTCCCGGGTTCGAGCGATTCTCCTGCCTCAGCTTCCTGAGTAGCTGGGACTACAGGCGCGTGCTGCCACACCCGGCTAATTTTTCGTATTTTAGTACAGATGGGGTTTCACTGTGTTGCCCAAGCTGGTTGTGAACTCCTGACCTCAAGTGATCCACCTGCCTCTGCCTCCGAAAATGCTGGGATTACAGGCCTGAGCCACTGTGCCTGGCCTATTAATACTTTCTTTATGGGGCTGATCAATCCTATTTAAATGAGGAGCTGATTGTGGTATTGTGGTGACTGGTTATATTCCTTAGGTTCTTCTTTTAAAATAATCTGGCACAACCTCACCATACCACCATCAGACCAGTTTTGTCTCTGAATAATCTAATTCATAATGATGTCGACCTAACATATCTGTTTATTCATGCAAGGTTTCTAACAAGAATTGAGATGAGTGAGTTTCAAAAAGATAAAATCAAGACGATAAAAAATAATCATGAAGGAAAATTAAGAAGGAAAATTAAATCAAAAGTATAAGGTGTAAACTATATAAGCATGAAATTTTATAAAATCTGTACCCTTGCCAGTGGTGGAAGTGCATGAGCCAAAAGACTTAGTGAATTCGGTAATGAGAGAAAAAAAGAAAGTAAATTGTTTCTGGAGTTTCTAGAAAACGAAATTACATTTTTATGTGCGCATTAAAAGAGGGATATTACTGCAATAAAAAGATTCCTTAACTTCAGAGAGTGTTAATCTGAAGAATGTGTAATCTCTTAAATCATGGAGAATGAGAATATGAAATATAACGTGGCAGGGCATGGTGGCTCACACCTGTAATCCCAGCATTTTGGGAGGCAGAGTGGGGAGATCACCTGAACCCAGGAGTTCAAAACCAGCCTGGGCAACACAGTGAGACCTCATTTCTACAAAAAAAAAATTTTAAATTGTTGAGTGCAGTGGCTCATGCCTGTACGTTGGGAGGCCAAGGTGGGCAGATCACTTGAGGCCAAGAGTTCAGGACCAGCCTGGCCAATATGGCAAAAACCCCATCTCTACTAAAAATACAAAAATCAGCTGGGCGTGGTGGTGCACGCCTATAATCCCAGCTAATCCGGAGGCTGAGGTTGAACTGCTTGCTTGAACTCAGGAGGCAGAGGCTGCAGTGAGCCAAGATTGTGCCACTGCACTCTAGCCCTGGGTGACATAGTGAGACTGTCTCAAACAAAAAAAACACCCACCTGGGCAAGACCCCGTCCCTACAAAACATCTAAAAAATTCAGCTGAGTGTGGTGTTATGCACTGGTAGTCCCAGATACTCAGAAGGCCAAGGCAGGGGGATTCCTTGAGCCCAGGAGGTCAGGGTTGCAGTGAGCCATCATTCTATCACTGCACTCCAGCCTGGGTGACAAAACAGTGAGACCGTCTCAAAAAATCTGAAATGAAGTTTCATATCTTTATGAAAGTAAAGGAAGATACTTATGTCTGAAGGACAACATCAGTGAATCTAAATTGCCATTTAAGAGAGAACTCGGGCTGGGCACGGTGGCTCAGGTCTGTAATTCCAGCACTTTGGGAGGCTGAGGTGGGCGGATCACGAGGTCAGGAGATCGAGACCATCCTGCCTAACACGGTGAAACTCCATCTCTACTAAAAATACAAAAAAATTAGCTGGGCGTGGTGGCGCGTGCCTGTAATCCCAGCTACTCGGGAGACTTGAGGCATGAGAATTGCTTGAACCTGGGAGGCGGAGGTTGCAGTGAGCCGAGATCGCGCCACTGCACTCCAGCCTGGGTGACAAGAGCGAAACTCCGTCTCAAGAAAAAAAGAACTCATGGTAGTCTGGACGAGTGAAATTATTATCCAGCATTTGTTGGAAATGTAAAGTCATTCCAACAAACTACATTAAGTCCTCTGGTAACCTCGTTGATTGGTTCTTGGAAAACCATCTAGATTAGTTCCTCCGGTATCTCGTTTTTCAAGGTCATTTTGTTACAATGTTTTATGATGCTGAAGAGAAAAAAAAATGGTTTTGTTATATGCATGGTTTCGCTTGAAGTTGTAGTTTCCAAGAACGAGCCGCAATGTTCAGTGTGGTCTTACCATAAAAGCAATAACCGGTTTGAGTGTTGTACTGAAGGATCAATTATTTTCCTCTCAAAAATACACCAGCATTATTTTCATTCCTATAAGGACTGCTCAATTTCTCATATCACCATAGAATTTTTGCTTGCTAAAATTCCAGTATTGACAGTAGCATGACTGTTATCCCATACCGTGATTCTTGGAATTGCTTTAAACCTACTGTGGGAAGCAGTTGGGAAGAGGGTACTGTGACATTGTGGATGCAACTTATTTACTATGATTTCTTTAATGTGAGCAAGTGGTTCCTCAAAACCATTTACAGTATGGAACATCCATAGGTTGCCAACAGTGTCTTATGTTAGGGAAGACGAAATAGGTGGTATTCCGGTCTGGGAGCTGAGACTGGATCGTCCAGTAGGGAAGCCATCAGGGATTATCTGCCGTTTCTGAGTAGCTCAAAACTCCGATTCATGTTTTTGTGAGTGGAGTAACTGCTCATCAGCAGCACTTGCCAGCCCGAAGCCCTGAGGCCTGGGATCACCAGACACGCCTTCCCATCTGGGCAGGGTATGTGGGCTCTGCTTCCTGATCATCCCACGTGCTAACACTGGTCCACACTATGGAAGTGAAGACCTTAATTTTTCTAATGTAGATATTTTAACCTCAGCAGGATCTGTGAGAGGCAGCTCAGTTTGTAATTAGGATTAACACCAAGACAGACAAGATGCATGAAAGGGATGGATGTGAATTTTGCTCAGAGTTGTGGGCTGTAAAAATGGGGCTGGGTACAGTGGCTCATGCCTGTAATGCCAGCACTTTGGGAGACCAACTTGGGAGAGTTACCTGAGGCCAAGAAGAGTTCAAGACCAGCCTAAGGCAGTACCATCTGTATTTAAAAATAAATTAATGGCCCACACGGTGGCTCATGCCTGTAATCCCAGCATTTTGGGAGGCTGTGGTGGGCGGATCACTTGAGGTCAGGAGTTCACGACCAGCCTGGCCAACGTGATGAAATACAATCCATCTGTACTAAAAATACAAAAATTAGCCAGATGTGCTCACTTGAACCCAGGAGGCAGAGGTTGCACCGAGCTGAGATCATGCCACTGCACTACAGCCTGGGCGACAGAGTGAGACTCTGTCTCAGAAATAAACTTTTTTTAAATGGGGGGAAATGTGTCTTCTGCCTCTGTGGAGAGAAACTCTTGCCTGGCTCTGTACCCCACATTCTTTAAAGGGTTTGGGCTTGTGATGGCCAGATACTCGAGTAGTCAGAAATAAGACTATAATGTAATTTTAATCTTTATCATATACTTTATTTTTACTTTAAAGCAAGACGGAAAGTTGCCTTTTGTTCCTCCAGAGGAAGAATTTATTATGGGAGTTTCCAAGTATGGCATAAAAGTATCAACATCAGATCAATATGTAAGTAATATAATTTATTAAGAAAATTATGTTTTAGATAACAGGGAATTCAGGCCATTAAGAGCCCCCTTCTAATTAGGGCCACTCCTGTTTGCAGTGATTGGTTTGTAAACAGTCCTGGCAGTTGGTCTTAAACGTGACCAATTTCTTAGGGTGAATAGGGGCCTCCTTTTCTCTCCTGTGTTGGAAGGGTCCATGCAACCTGTCCCCGACCCCCAAACTCACACAGATGCCTCCGGATGCATTTTCAACCAAGGGCCCCTCATCAATTAAGAGTAGCTGTCAGCTTGGAAGGTGGGCACAGACACTGGGATAGTCAGTTTAGATCACTCCACTCCCGTCTTGCTGGGATTTAAAAAGGCGTGATCCTGAAGGCAAATTGCCCAAGACTGAGCATACAGGAACATCCCTTGGGGTGAGAAACCTATGGATATGCTGTTTCAAGCCTCACTCTGCCTGGGAGGGTGTGTCATTAGGACTGACAAACATGTGAGTCCTGATCTCTCGGAATCTTTCCTGACTTCTGCAGGATGTTTTGCACAGGCATGCTCTCTACTTAATAATCCGGATGGTGTGTTACGATGATGGTCTCGGGGCGGGAAAAAGCTTACTGGCTCTGAAGACCACAGATGCAAGCAATGAAGAATACAGCCTGTGGGTTTATCAGTGCAACAGCCTGGTGAGACTTTGTTACTTTGGTTAGCTGCTTACTGGTTGTCGCAAAACCCAGGGACTACTGTTGTTTTTGAAGGTTGAAGAAATACGATCCATTATATATGGAATATCTGGCCTGGGGATAGGGAATGAATATTAGGCTGGAGGTCAGCCAGCTGGCAAGACAGCACAGGTGTGTGAACCATTTCTGTTAGGGCCAGTGGCAGCACTCACTCGTGCCTGGATTTAAAAGGTAAACAAAGCAGCTGAGGAAAAGCGTATCCTCCAGGGGCCAAAGGCTCCCTCCATTTCCGAAAGCTGTTGCCGTCTTAGACTGCGTGATCAGCCTTCTCAGGCTGCAGTCGCTGTTTGCTCCTCTCTGAAGGAGGGCAAAGGGCCCACATGCAGGGAAGCTCATAGTGTGGGTTCCACTGACCTAGGCAGGCATGTGTTGTCAGCTTGCTTAGGAGAGGTCTTAAGAGGGTTAGGTGTGTGCCTCTGCTAGCCAAATTAAGTTCATGAAGAGATCAGCGAATGTTGCTCTTACTCTATCTTTTCACGTTATGTAGGAACAAGCACAAGCCATTTGCAAGGTTTTATCCACTGCTTTTGACTCTGTATTAACATCTGAGAAACCTTGAATCCTGCAATCAAGAAGTCAACTTCATCTGAAAGTTCAGCTGTTTTCAATCTGCGGTGCTGAAGTGTTATGCAAATAATGAAGTGATCCCTTGCTCTAGGTTTTCTGAAGAAGATGGATTGTGTAAAATGCTGATCATCTGTTTATTAAAATGTGTCATATTACAGTGAGTTAACTCTCAATGAAGTCATCTACTTTCTGGGATAAAAAAACTTCATTTGTCTTTTTCAAGTTCAAATAAGCTTAACCTAAGTGTCACAGAAGCCTAGGTGTCCCAGAGGTCCTTTCAGTGACAAACACTGAAGGCCTGCCTGAGGAAGACTGATGACATGTGTTCCGTAGTGGCTTCCCAGTGACGTGGGATCACTGGCATGGACCTCTCTCTGGCAGAGGTGTGGACAGGAGACCAGGATTCATGCTGGTTTGCAACAGTGACCTTGGCAACTTAAGACACACAAAGTAGATTTTCAGAAGTGTCTGGTCAAGATAACATGCTGGCAAACCACAATTCTTAGAGTTAAGAGAACCTTAAAGGATTACCGCTCATGCTAAAAGTAGTATGTGAAGGATCTCATGTACAGTATGATAGTGTACTTTTTTTTTTAAAGGACTGTCAATATATAAAACTTTAAAGATTAAAAACATTAAAAATAAAACCATGTCCATTTAAAAGTATTTTATTTTTTTCCAGTCAAATGACTAGTTAACAAGAAGAGTAAACTTATTAAACATGCTCTAGTTATAAATCACTGCATTAAGGACAATGAAAATAATCAATTTTGGTTATACAGTATATACAGTTGTGCTGCAACCAAAGTAATCAGGTGAATGAACTGAATATCATACATCTCAAAATAGCTTCCTAAGCTGCATATTATGTTATCCACCCCTTAACAGATCACACAGTAACTCTTAGTCTGTGTACCTATTCTGAGCCATCATCCCAGATCTGATGGAGAATGGCATGCAAAATGCCAGAATCCTGCAGCTGCAGTATGTGAAACATAAACTTTAAATATAAATAGATATCTACAATGTTTTTCTTTCTCTCAGTTGCTTTTTTAATTTGCAAAGAGCAAATAACTAAGAAAGGATATTAGCAGGGACGTTAATATAATTTCTCCTCTGTTAAGAGTACTATTAGTTACTGCACAATAGCACCAAATTGTAGACTGGAAAAATATTTCCTAGATATTTATGTACCAGTGAACCTGATAGATTAGTTTGGGACTGGAGTTCTAATGTTGATATCAATCAACTTTATTCCTTATATAGCTGGCACCAGGTGGTCAAAGGCTGACTATAAAATACAGATGGAGGAGGATTGTTAAAATAGACATAAGTGCACTGTGCAAAATACATCTGTTTACTTAAATCTATGAGAAAATTAAATGAAGGGTTCAAACAAATTAACAATTAGTGAAAACAGATGTAGTGCTTTAAAAAAAAAACAAAAAACAAAAAAAACTACAGATCTAACACATTTTTACCCAGAACTTTGAAAGGCAAAAAGCGATTGCTATACATCATAAAACATTCCAGTTTGTTCTGTCTTCCTTTATAACAGCAAAAAACGTACAATGCCAAAAAAAAAAACCCAAAACTCTACACATAGAGTCTTGCATAATAAAGACAAGCTGCTTCAATCAAATGTACCATCACAACAAATGCAGCAACAGCACTGCTGCCCCACTTTCCAAGCCTACACTCAATTTATTCCTTTACTTGTGTTAAAAGTCCAAGTGGGCATCACAGGCCTCTTTATTCTCAGCCAAAATGTCCAATATTCCTACTATGAATCTTACCCTCACAATTACTAAATAGAGGTATGACAGTCAAGTTCATTAAACTAATGAGTTTTGGTTTTATAATATACAACCTAATCCCCCCTACTACCACCCCAAGTAGCTTAAGAATGATATGATGGCCTTAAATAGTAAAAACTGGGATGTTTGGGAGTATTTTATTATCTGGGGCCTATATATTTCTGATATGTTCTTGATTATAAACAGATGGACAGATTCAATTTCAAGACAGTGTGACTACCATTCCTGTTGGAGTATTATATAAATACAAGACACTAAACTGAGTAAACATTCTCATGGGCTAGAAGGGAAGGCAGTGGTACACTCAGCAGGAAACAGCAAGTGATGGGTTAATACAGCGTGGTCTGCGCCACAGAATTCTACTGGGTACAGTTGCTTTCTGTGTGATTCAGCAAGTTCAAGAAGGCAAATTCCGAAACATCTAAAGCATATAAACTAATTTAAAAGAACTGTTTTGCAATCCATCATCCTTAGTTTTTAACCAAATTCAGGAAATGCAGTTTTATATAACCTGGAACGGAACGAACTGTAGTTACCCTACGTTGTCATAAACCATCAGTAGTTTTGTTAAGTATGATTGTTCACAACAGGTTATACACACATGCAGAATATAGTGATAGTTGCAACCTCACAAATTAGGGCTAGAAAGTACAATGCTAATGTGTAAATTTCCAAGTTGTTTTTTAAACACTGGGTGGATTTCAAAGTAATACGTGTCTTTAAAGGTGAACCGATGGCATTTTATTGAGAAAGTCCAGAGCCGGGCTATGGACTTCTGAAGCAGCAGTTGACTGGCCATCTAAAATAATAATTGTGCTGAAGGTCACCACTCCAGAATTGGGCCAAGGAATGCAGGAAGAGTTTATTTCCAATACAATCAATGCAAACATTTTTAGGTTTAGCAAATTCCGTAGAGGCAGGATCTTGATTATGTATAATAGTTAAAATAACTTTTCAGTTCACCTGTTGGGAAATTCAGTTTTTCCTAATAAATGCATAGCAATGTTTCGTGAAAACCACAAATTATAAAAACAATTACTGATATGTAAAAATTGCCTCAGTTTTTAAAACAGAGCAGTGGCATTAGAGAACATGGGCTACCGTACAAACAGTTCATGAAACTGGTTATCTGGCAAGAGTTTTGGTACCAACAACAAAACAGGAACATAACTGTTAATGCTTTTGTTCAGTAGCAATTCAGTCAGCGATAAAGTGCACAAATGACACTGGGAATGCGCCTTTGCGACCAGGATCTCCATCAATGTGGCCAATCTGAAACGGAACAAAGTGTAGGTTGCTATTAAAATTCCAAATGTTGGTGGAAACTTTGAAGGGCATTACACAGAGCATTTGGTGAAAAAAAGCACGATTGGTTCAGAAGACTCTCTTCCGACAAGAAATTACTTGGGTAAAACATCCAAACGATTTTTGTCCTTTTTCCCTCACCACATTTCAAATAGTGCAGGCCTCTCCTGTGGAAGGAGCTCTTCCCAGCCGTGCCTCAGACATTCACTCGCGGGGATGGCCACCCCCACCTGTTCCTGGGAGGCACACAGGTCAGCTCTCTGATCACTACTCTCCGCTGGCCTTTTTTGAATGAATGAATGAATGAAGCCGAGTGTCACAAGTCTGTGAGCTGCAAAGTCACCGAAAGTGGCAAAGGTATAAGTTGGCCCCATTTCACTGAGTCAAGCGCTTGTGTAAGGCTTCACTCTATCCACTTACGTTCGCTCTTGGGTAAATTATATCCAAGTATGATCTCAAGAGTGTAAATGATGTAGGCAAATAAAAGGCTAAAAACAGGCAAAATATGAACGGTGGGCTTTCTGCAGAGTGGTGGGGGGTTGCTGTGGCTATGGGCAACTTCTGTTTTCTGCTTTATGCCTCTATTTTCCAGTTTTGGAAATGAGCAGGTATTTTCCACATGGCTAAGCCTGTGGTCAGGCTGGCGCCCTGTCCGGATGGTGGGTTGTAGGCAACTGTGGGAGCTGGCTGGCAGGGCTGGCTCTGTGTGCAGGTGGGTCTAGTGGGTGTGTGGATGGGACGGGGCAAGTTCGGGTCCTCACGTGCTCTATGCAGCCAAGCTGAGCACTCTCCTCACCAGAGCCCAGGTGCTGTGGCCCTCTCTGTGCCTGTGCTATAGTGAGGCTGATGGTGGGAACTCTGGATCCACACTTTATTTATTTATTTATTTAGAGATGGAGTCTGGCTCTGTCACCCAGGCTGTAGTGCAGTGGCATGATCTCGGCTCACTGCAACCTCCCCACTGAGGGTTCAAATGAGTCTCCTTCTTCAGCCTCCCGAGTAGCTGGGATTACAGGTGCCTGCCACCATGCCCAGCTAATTTTTTGTATTTTTAGTAGAGAACCATGTTGGCCAGGCTGGTCTCGGACTCCTGACCTCAAGTGTTCCGCCTGCCTCGGCCTCCCAAAGTGCTGGGATTATGGGGGTGAGCCACCGCACCCAGCCCACAGACACTTTTAATCCATTAAGGGCAAACGAGGCCACAGTAAAGGCCGGTGAACCCAGCCCTGCCAAATGAAGGCAGTGCTGCCTGACCCTGAGAGCTCACAGCGCCTCTGGAGGCTGAAGACGTGCAGTTTAAACACTAGTGGGAGCTCTGCAAGGGACAGCGACTAAAGACAGTGTCCAAACTCCTTGCACTTGACAAAGCAGTTCCCCTAAATCCTGTGGAGTTCCCAGCTGAACTGTTCGCTCTGAGCTCAGAGGCGGAGCCATGCCACTTGCATCTGCTGTGTGGTGGGCTCAGCCTGGGGCTGTCTGCCTGCACCCCATTCAAGCCGGTTCGTCCACTGCCCTCACTGTATACAGCTGCCGCTTAGTGGGTGCTCACCGGATCATCTGTGCCAGACTGTGCGTGTGACCCCCTTTCACAGATGATCCCACTAACGCTTAAAGATAAAAGCAACCAGCCCCAAGCCACCGGCCCATGAGTGGCCAAGTCTGAATTCTTAGGTGGCCGGCGCTCTTCTTGTTCCCATACCCCGCTGGACGCCTGGGCGGCCACAGCTCATTTCAGGACCAGACTCACGCCTGGGGCTCTGTGCTCTAGGTCAGCTCCTTCCAGACACCTGATCCCACGAATCCAGCAATGGGGGGTGATGGCCTAGAAACTCAAGGCCTCAAAATGACGGAGTCTCACTTCAGGCCCTCATGGGTGCTCTGGAAACTGCACCCTAACAGGGGAAGCAGCCACCCTGGGGAATAATCAGGCCTGCTCAGAAGTGGGTGTCCATGGAGGAAGCAATTCCTGAGGATGCTCAGGGGCAGAGGCACCGGGAACCATGTCTGGACTGCTCAGGCTGAGAAAATCTCACCTGCGAGCCAGCCCCCAGGAACCTCCCGGGCCCACCCCTGACTCACCCACCACTCCTGGTCCTCCTCCCCGTCCACGATGATCACATCCCCCTCGGAGAAGGTTAGCTCATCGGGGTTGTCGGCCACACAGTTATAGAGCGCTTTCACCCGCTTAGGCTTCAACTTGGTCTGTGTCAGGAGAGGGAACAAAGGTTAGCGTGGCTGCAGCCCTCAGCTCTCGGGGCAGAGCTCAAGCACCCTGCCTCCCCCGGTCTCAGGAGCCCCGTACCTAGGCCTGAGAAGCCCGCAGATGCCAAGGTGGGGCAGGTCAGTGCAGCTCAGGAGCCAGGGAGAGAAAAGGGAAGAGCTCCCCACCAAGCAGAGAGAAGGGGCCAAGGGCTGGGAAACAAAGCGGCCGGGGCAGGGCACTCTGAGTGAGCCCGTCCTGGAGCTGCGATGGGAGGGCCAAACCCACTGGTTGCCAAGATCCAAGCAATCAGGTACCAAGAAGGCCCCTGTCCAGCCCCCAACCAAGGGAAGAGTGGAAGGCTTGCTTCCCCTGAGCCCTTGTGAAACCGCCTGCACCCTCCTGGCGAGAGCAGAGGAGCAGGAAAGGGGGCTTGTCACTTACTGCCTGCGACTTCCTAGGCATGGGTGCGGGGGGCTGCAGGACCATAGCATTGGACAGAGGACCCAGAGCTTCTGTTGCAGAAAGATCCACTGTAGGGCAAAAATGAAGCAACTTAAGACATCCCATCAATCATAACCATGAGATGTAAGCAATGGACAAGCCACAGGGTGTGTCTGAAAGCAGGTTTCCCCCCAGGTGTTCCCATCTGTTGAGGGAAAAGGGAACCTTCTGATTTGGATGCAGCCCTTGCAGAGCTCGTGTGGCAGCCAAGTGTCCCCCAGTGAGCCTGCCCTGTCAGCAGGAGGGGACAAGGTGAGGGGCCCCAGGACTGAGCTGCTCAGGAGCAGGGGTCTCAAAGGCCGAGGGAGTGGGGAGGATGGCAGAAGAGAAGGAGGGAAGAAGGCAGGAGGGAGGAGAAAGGCAGGGAAAAGGGGGAGAGGAGGGGAGGGGAGGGGTGGAGGAAGGCAGGTGGCGGAGGAAGAGGGCATGAGACTATGTGGGAGAGGAGGAGAAGGAAGCAGGCAAGGAAGGCAGGAGTGGGGAGGAAGGCAGGAGTCGGGGGGGAGGAAGGCAGGAGTCCGGGAGGAGGGCAGGAAGGCAGGAGTCGGGGAGGAGGGGAGGAGGGCAGGAGAGGAGGAGGGGAAGGGGGAAGGGGGCAGGGGGGCAGGAGGGCTGTGGGAGGGGAGACAGCTGGGCCCTCCCTCAGGCCTGACCACCTGGCAGGGAATGTCCACCACATTGCCCCCATGGACCAAGCAGAAACAAACTCAGTCCCAAATTAAATAATTACCAGGTACTCTTGGTTGGCCTTTGTTGGTCAGCGGGGTGGACTTGTCAGCCCTACAAAGACAGAGAAAAAGTAGATTTACTGCTACCTGAGGGTACCTGCCCCTTTCTCATCCCCTTTTATCAGAGAACCTTCGGAGTTCAAGCTGAAAGTGTGTGAGGTGATTTCCTCCACAGTCACTCAGCTCTCTTTTTTATGGGAAAAGGAAGAATGAGAGGCCCTAAGAAAGTGCTAGAGCCAACATTTCTGATTCTAAAACCAGGGCTTTTCTCGAGCACTCTGTCCACGTGAGCCTGCTGATGGCCAGGGTCTGAAGCAGTGCTGGGCACCGGCCCCACCCTGAGTCTGCTCAGCCCCTTCCCTGCCTTGGTCCCATCACACGAAAGGGCGGGGCTGAACCTTAACCTCAGGCCCAGATGGCTCTGCCAGGATGGGTCCGATCACCCTGAGTCAGTGCTGTCCATGCCTCTGTGGTCCCTGCTTCTGGGAACCAATGTGGCTGACCATGGCTCAGGCCCCATCCATGAGCCTCTGGGCCAGCATGCCCCAAAGCCACAAGGTGGAAACGCACATGTGAGGATGTGGTTCTCAGGGCTGGCAGACAGGGGTCCCTCAGTTTGAGCCTGCCACTTGGCAGCTCTGGATAAATGGGTTCTGGAGAGTCAGCATTTTCATCTGCAAAAGCTGTGGCACAAGATCCGCCAACTCCAGAGCTAAGGAGCAGTGCCATCAGTGAGGACCTCTGGCTTCAGTTCCCCCGTGGATCTCCTGGACCTCGCATAAAGCCAGGCACAGGACGGGGGCTGAGAAGCAGAAGACGAAGACCAGGGAGGAAGGGAAGGCAAAGATGGGATTCTTTCCACTGTACGCTCCCGTCCGTCGACACTCCCTTTGCTGCTCGGAATGAACCCTGTCTGGCCTCGATGCTTACAGTCCCAGAACGAAGGGAGAGAAAACATCACGTGGGTTTTGCTCATACTTTGAAGGAACTGAAAAGGAACTTTGTTTTATTCCATAAAGACCCCTCCCATTTGACCAGTCTGGCCATTTGTTTTCCATCAATGTCTCTGGGTGTAAATGTCTCTGCAGACATCATTACACTGACCAGGCTGACCCCCTCGCCTGCAGTCATCCCTAACTACGGAACACTCGCAGGCCTGATCCTCTGAGACAGCGGTCAGCAGACTTTCTTTAAAGAGGTAGCTAGTAAACTTTTTAGGCTTTGTGATTTTTTTTGAGATGGAGTCTCACACTGTCTCCCGGGTTAGAGTGCAGTGGCATAATCTTGGCTCACTGCAACCTCTGCCACCCGGGTTCAAGCAATTCTCCTGCCTCAGCCTCCCGAGTAGCTGGAATTACAGGTGTGCACCACCACACACAGCTAATTTTTTGTATTTTCAGTAGAGACGTGGTTTCACCATGTTGGCCAGGCTGGTCTCAAACTCCTGACCTCAGGTGATTCACCCACCTCGGCCTCCCAAAGTGCTGGGATTACAGGCGTAAGCCACTGCACCCGGACTTTGTGTTTGTTTTTTGAGTCAGGGTCCTGCCCTATTACCCAAGCTCGAGTGCAGTGAGGCAGTCAGTTCACTGCAGCCTCGAACTCCTAGGGTCAAGTGATCCTCCCCCTTCAGCCTCCTGAGTAGTTGAGACTACAGGTGCACGCCACCATGCTTGGCTAACTTTCAAAATTTTTTGTAAAGACATGGTCTCACTATGTTTTCCAGGCTGGTCTCGAACTCCTAGGCTCAAGCAATCCTCCTGCTTCGGCCTCCCAAAGCTCTGGGATTACAGGTGTGAGCCACTGCACCCAGCTGGCTTTGTGGATTCTAGCATCTCTGCTGCAATTATTCAGCTCTGCCACTGCGGCGTGAAAGCAGCCCCAGACTGCAGAAACAAACAGGTGTGGCTAATGGTCCAATAATATTTTATGAGCGCTGAAGTGAATCTCACACAGTTTTCATGCGCCATAAAATATCCTTTTGATTTTTTTTCCAACCAATTACAAATACAAAAGTCATTCTTAGTTCTTAGTTCACGGGCCCTAAAACACAGGCGGCAGGCTGGATTTGGCCTGTGAGCCATAGTTTGCTGACTCCTACCCTAAGAGAAGAGGTGTGAAAATTCACATTTATACCAGAGACAAAATGACCGGCGGTGGGGGAGGGATAGTATCCTTTACAAAGAGGATGCACCAGTGTATTCCTTTAGAGTAAGAACTCCACTGGGCACTGGCGACATGATTCCGTCCATCCTTATCTGTCCTGGGTAGCTCTAACCTCACTTGCCCTGCTTCCCTTTTTCCTACCAGTCAGATCTGAAACCAGGTAGAATCATGTTTGAGAGGAAACCTGTCCAGCTTCTCCCAGCTAGAACACTTCTGAGAACCAGGAACCTGCACCTCACAGCTGACATCCACAGTTCTGAGTCCCAATAACTGCTGGGAGCTGACGGCTCGTTAGCCAGAACTTCAACACATGATTTGTTCTCTTGAAAAGCAGCAGCTTGGAAAGTGCAAATCACAGGGCGTCTTAAGGCAGAAGAGAGCCCAGAAGCCAAGGGAAGCATGACCTGTGGCCACTTTGGTGTAGAGGCAGAAATAATTAGCACTGGAAAGCCCATTTATTACAGCATAATTCAGTAGCTGTTTAAGACTAGGAAGGCACAGATATGCATATTATATTTTATTTTTTTGAGATGGAGTCTGGTTCTGTTGCCCAGGCTGGAGAGCAGTGGTGCAGTCTCAGCTCACTGCAACCTCCACCTCCTGGGTTCAAGTGATTATCCTGCCTCAGCCTCCCGAGTAGCTGGGATTACAGGTGTGCACCACCATGCCCAGCTAAGTTTTATATTTTTAGTAGAGATGGGGTTTTGCCATCAACTCCCGGCTTCAAGTGATCCACCCATCTTGGCCTCCCAAAATGCTGGGATTGCAGGTATGAGCCGCCACGCCCAGCCCTGCATGTTATATTTTAAAAAGTTATCTTACAAAGTAGCATTTAAAAAGTTTTGGGAGTCTTCTGGTTAAAATGGCAGATTTAAGTACATTTACTTCCACTTCTTCCCAAGGAAAAGGATTTTAAAAAATTAAACCTAAAAGAGGTCAGGCACGGTGCCTCATGCCTGTAATCCCAGCACTTTGAAAGGCCAATGTGGGAGGACTGCTTGAGCCCAGGAGTTTGAGACCAGCCTGGGCAAAATAAGGAGACCCCCACCTCTATAAAATATAAAAATAAATTAACCGGGCATGGTGGTGCATGCCTGTGGTCCCAGCCATGCGGAAGCTGAGGTGGGTGGATCACCTGAGCCCAGAAGGTCGAGGCTACAGTGAACCGTGATTGCACCACTGTACTCCAGCCTGGGCGACAGAATGAAAGATAAATTATAGTTAACCTAGTTGACTTCAAGAATGGAATCCCACTCCAGCAGTGAGGAAGGCTCTGAAATACTCCTATCTGTCCTGTAGTGTCCCCAAAAGGCTCAGGACCCTCTGGAAGGGGAGAAAGGCAAGGTAGTAAGCAGAAGAATTAGCCAAAAATCTGTTTAAGGAGGTCATGAATCCCTGGAATCGCGACCCAGCTCTGATTGCCGCTGCCCTGCCCAACCTACTAAGGACAGGAAGCTTCTATTCTTGGAGAGGGCAAAACAGAGGGTATCTGGACGGGGGACACCAGGTGCGGCTGTTGGGAGTATCTTGAAAAACAGAGGGACTAAATAAAAGCTTAACTTTATTTCTCTACTCCTAAAAAAACTTCAGACGAGACAAGACGCCCAGCCAGACCACTGCACAGTGACACCGGTGCGGGCGGCTCTGTGCAGTCTGCCAGTTTTTATTGCCTCACCTGGAGGGGAAACACCGAGCTTGCGATTTATAGGGAAAAGCCTGGAACCCACAGAGGTCAAAACGGTGTGGAGGCAGCGCACACTACACGAACACAAAAACTGCAACACACACGCCAACACCTTCGCAACCATTCTCAGAGGCAGGAGACTGAGAAACGATCTCAGGAAACAAAAAGAATATCTCTACAAAAAGAGTTTAACTTGAGGATTATTATATGAGAACAGGTATGAACGCCTTAGTAAAAGAACTGGGAGATAAACTCTAGAAAATCTCCCAGAAGACAGATTTTCAAAACAGGCAGGCAAGCAAAGCAGGGATGGCCATGAGAAGGTGGTAAAGGACTAGCTGAGGATGACAGCTCGACTCCCCTGCACCGGGTGGCACTTCCAGTCCCAGCCTGGAAGGGAGGAGGGAGTGTGGGCATCCAGCCTGCCCCCCACAGCAACTCCTTCCCCTCAGAAGTAACTCTGAGCCCAGGAGACAGATGGTAGAAGCAGAAGATCGGAGGGGTCTGGGTCTACCTTTGGGACTGGGGTACAACTAAGAATATGCACACTAAACTTAGCGTGAGCAAGAAGCAAACTTCCACATGTGAAAGCATGGTGATGCTGAGGTTTGTCAGAGCACTTAGGGTACTCCAATAAACAAGATGACACATTCAGAAGAAAGGCCAAGGAGTCTGACATCTCAGGAGTAAGAAACATTAAAAGAGAGAACAAAAAAACCCCAATATTTAAGGCATTAAAAAATCAGTGAAATTTCTCCAATTGAAGGATGTAGTTTGTACCTTGAAAGTCTCTGTCATCTGTCTGGCAGTGCGGATGAAAACGCCCACACTGGTGTCTGGGGAAGCGCGTCACCCAGAGGTGAACAAGAAGGGCATGTCCGCAGATGGTGGCGCAACAGGAGCGTCCGAGCCCAGGTGGGATGAGGAAAGCATCCAGGTGGCAGGAAGTGAGAGCCCCCCTGAGCACCCAGTGGGGGTCCTGGAACAAGAGGCAGACCCAAAGAGGGAAAGGCAGCTGCTGTGCAGAGGCGGCAGTAGAGAGGGGGGACCTGTTTCCTAAATAGACACCGGCCAAGGAAGTAAAGATGGGAGCCAGACTGCTCACCGTCAGAAAAGAAGGAAGTAGTACAGAAAAGAAGAAAACTAGAAGAAACCCCATGATGACTGTAAAACATTGCCTTCCAATTTGTTACTATTAACTTTTTCTTTTTTTAGAGCTAGGGTCTCTGTTGTCCAGGCTGGAGTGCAGTGGCACCATCACAGCTCACTGCAGCCTTCTCCCGGGCTCAAGCAATCCTCCCGCCTCAGCCTCCCAAGTAGCTGGGACTACAGGCGTGTGCTGCCATGCCTAAGTAATTTTTAATTTTTTTTTGTAGAGATAGGGTCTCACTATGTCGCCCAGAGTGGTCTTGAACTCCTGGCCTCAAGTGATCCTCCCACCTCGGCCTTCTAGAGTAATGCAGGGATGGGCTGAGCATGGTGGCTCACACTGTGTCCGGAATTGGTGGGTTCTTGGTCTCACTGACCAAGAATGAAGCCGTGGACCCTCGTGGCGAGTATTACAGTTCTTAAAGATGGTGTGTCCGGAGTTTGTTCCTTCAGACATTCAGATGTGTCTAGAGCTTCTTCCTTCTGGTGGGTTCGTGATCCCGCTGTCAGGAGTCAAGCCGCAGACCTTCGTGGTGAGTGTTATAGCTCTTATAAGCAGCACATCTGGAGTTGTTCGTTCGTCCCGGTGGGTTCGTGGTCTCGTTAGCTTCAGGAGCGAAGCCGCAGACCTTCGTGGTGAGTGTTACAGCTCATAAAGGCAGCGTGGGCCCAAAGAGTGAGCAGCAGCAAGATTTATTGCAAAGAGTGAAAGAACAAAGGTTCCACACTGTGAAAAGGGACCCAGCCGGTTGCCTCCGGCTGGCTGGGGTAGCCTGCTTTTTTTCCCCATCTACATCCTGCTGATTGGTCCATTTTACAGAGAGTTGATTGGTCCATTTTGACAGAGTGCTGACTGGTGCGTTTACAATCCTTGAGCTAGACACAGAGCTAGAGGGAAAAGTTCTCCAAGTCCCCACTAGGTTAGCTAGACAGAGTTAGCTAGATACAGAGTACCAATTGGTGTATTTACAAACCTTGAGCTAGACACAGAGTACTGATTGGTGTATCTACAAAACCTGAGCTAGACACAGTGCTGATTGGTGTATTTACCATCCTCTAGCTAGACATAAAAGTTCTCCAAGTCCCCATCCGGCTCAGGAGCCCAGCTGGCTTCACCTACTGGAGCCTGCACGGGGGCTGCAGGCGGAGCTGCCCGCCAGTCCCGAGCCACGCCCGCACTCCTCAGCCCTTGGGCTGTCGATGGGACTGGCCGCCAGGGAGCTGGGGGCAGCACCCGTCGGGGAGGCTCAGGCCACGCGGGAGTCTACCGCAGGGTGGGGAGCTCAGACATGGTGGGCTGCAGGTCCCGAGCCCTGCCCCACAGGGAGGCAGCTAAGGCTCCGTGAGAATTTGAGTGCCGCGCCGGCCGGTCGGCCGGCTGGCACTGCTGCGGGACCCAGCGCAACCTCCGCAGCTGCTGGCCCGGGTGCTAAGCCCCTCACTGCCTTGGGCTGGTAGCACCAGCTGGCCCCTCCGTGTGCGGGGCCCGCCGGAACTCACACTGGCCCGCGAGCACAGCCCCGGTTCCCGCCCGCCCTTCTCTCTCTACACCTCGCCGCAAGCAGAGGGAGGCGGCTCCGGCCTCAGCCAGCCCAGAGAGGGGCTCCCACTGTGCCGTGGCAGACTGAAGGGCTCCTCAAGCGCCACTAGAATGGACACCAAGGCCGAGGAGGCGCTGAGAGTGAGGACTGCTAGCACATTGTCACCTCTCAACTCCTGTAATCCCAGCACTTTGGGAGGCCAAGGTGGGCGGATCACAAGGTCAGGAGATCCAGACGATCCTGTCTAACACGGTGAAACTCTGTCTCCACTAAAAATAAAAAAAATTGGCCGGGCATGGTGGCCAGCCTACCGCTGCTCCCCCATTCCCTGCCCCCCCCCCAAAAAAGAGTAGTGCAGGGATTACAGATGTGGGCCATGGTGCCCAGTCCCCAAATTCTTTATATTTTTATTTTTGAGATGGAGTTTTGCTCTTGTTGCCCAGGCTGGAGTGCAATGGTGCAATCTTGGCTCACTGCAATCTCCACATCCTGGGTTCAAGAGTCTCGTGCCTCAGCCTCCTGAGTAGCTGGGATTACAGGCGCCTGCTACCATGCCCAGCTGATTTTTTTCTATTTTTATTAGAGATGAGGTTTTGCCATGTTGGCCATGCTGGTCTCAAACTCCTGACCTCAGGTGATCTGCCCACCTCGGCCTCCCAAAGTGCTGGGATTATAGGCGTGAGCCACTGCGCCTGGCCCCAAATTCTTTATTGAGAGGTGGAACTGATGACTTCCTTGTGCCTTCCTCTCTGCCCCTGTGTCTGAGCTTATAACTGTTTGAGCAGTAATGTATGGCAGAGATCATTCTGTGCCAGCTTCCAGGGCCAGGCCTCTCTCTGGGGACCTGTCCTTGGACCCAGCCACCATGATGTGAGGAAGCCCATGCCAGGGACGCATGGGTGTTCCAGTCACAGCCCAGCTGAGGCTCTGGCTGACAGGCAGCATCAGCTACCACAGGGTGGGTGAAAGGCTCTGACCTTGTTCCCCAGCCAACGAGTCACCTCCTGTGTCCAGCCACCCCCAGGCTTTGAGTCCTTTCAGCAAAGGCTCTAGATACTGTGGAGCAAAGACAAAGACCCCACAGTGCCATCCAAATTCCTGACAATCTGTCAGCAGAATAAAATGGCCGTGCCTCATGTCTGTCAGTTTGGTGTGGTTACTAGAACAACTGAAATTAGAGATGTCAGTGTGAACTCATGGATTTCAATACAGAAAGACACAGAACAGAGAGATAAATGGTGTATGTATGTATCCATGTACATGTGTTCATATTTCCAAGTTCTGACAGCTCAGAGGGCCTGTGTGGGAGCAGTGACTCTCCACCTAGCCCCCAGAACTTAGCCTCTAAATATCATTTCCACTAAAAGGAACCATTTCCCACCATAAAGATCCAGATTAAGAGCCACAAACGGGCTGGGTGCGGTGGCTCACGCCTGTAATCCCAACACTTTGGGAGGCCGAGGCGGGTGGGTCACAAGGTCAGGAGATTGAGACCATCCTGGCTAACACAGTGAAACCCTGTCTCTACTAAAAATACAAAAAATTAGCCAAGTGTGTTGGCGGGCACCTGTAGTCCCAGCTACTCAGGAGTCTGAGGTAGGAGAATGGCAAGAACCTGGGAGGCAGAGCTTGCAGTGAGCCAAGATCATGCCACTGCACTCCAGCCTGGGCGACAGAGCTAGACTCCGTCTCACAAAAAAAAAAAAAAAAAAAAAAAGCCACAAACTGGACCCATCTGCAACAAACGGCTTATTTGGACAAACACCTAGGCTTGAACTGGGTCTAAGGATTGGGTGCTGTTTCTACATCCGTGTTAATTTCCTGACTTTGCAGGTGGTATTGTGTTATGTAGGACAATGTCCTTGTTTGTGGGAAATTCATGCCTCACACCACAGAGGGTCTATGTGTTCAAAACAACCTTGGGAAAATAGAAAGAAAACAGAAACAGAAACCACCTGGGGGGTGAGCTGCAAATAGAACCCAGAGGCCTTGTGTGTTGAGGACACTTCATCTAAATTCACTCTGTGGACTTAAAATGTATATTTGTAAGACATTTTTACAGTCTAAAAATCCTCAAGTTATTTTTAAGACCCTTCAGACCTGATGAATTAGTTATGTGGCACCCACGCTGAAGTAGGAACCCTGGGGATTGCAAACGTTCATCCAGACCCCTTAGCAGGTGAGGTCAGAGGACAGGAGCACAGATGGCCGAGCTGGCTGGGGGTGGCTTACCCCGGCGCAGGCTTCTTCTGCGGGAGGCGGCTGGGCGGCTGTGGGGGCAGAGGTGGGGGCCTGCTCTGCGAGATCCCAGGCGGAGTAGGCTTGCTCGGCTGGCTCAAGGCTTCCAACACGCTAGGTGTCTTGGCAACAGGAGGGGGCGGTGTGGGGGTCAGGGGATCTGTGGAGGAAAAGGACAGACGTGCAGAGGGTCAGCTGCAAGGCTTCCCACTCAGGCCTCCTCACTGGAGGCTTTTCTAAGAAGGGCTTCATTTTTCTATTGCTATTTCCTAAGGAAAAACCTGCTGCTATTTCCTTGCCGGTTTTCAGAAAACTATTTGCAGGGAGTCCTTTCCAAACTAATAAGGAAGCTGCGAGCCTAAAGTTAGGATGACAATTTTTCTCTTAGCCCGTGAGTGAGTATTTTCTCAGCTAGAACTCCATGTGGGAAAGCCAGCAGTTTCCTGCCCTCGACTCTAAGACCCAACCGCAGGAGGCCGGGGCCCTCAGCTCTGCCTGGGGAAGCAGGGCCTGCTTTGCACATCGACTGACCTGTGGCCAAAGGGATGAGGCCCTACCCACTTCATCGGGCTGCTAGGCAGGGTGGATCTGAGGAGAGATGGGCGCTACTAACTTAGTAACGGCTCCTCAGTCTGCAGAGTGGGTGGGTGCAGAGCTTTATTAGTGTCTATGTTTTACAGACGAGGAGGCTGAGGCCCACAGAGGGGAAGAGCTCTTGTCAAGGGTGGCAGAGTTGGTAAGACCTGGAGGGAGGCTGTGAGCCCAATTCTCCTTCCTCTGTCTCTCCTCCCCCGATGGGTGTTAAGCGCTCTCTCAATGTCAGGCTTATCATCCTGGGCCTCAGGATGGGTGGCCTCTGCCAGGAAAGAACGTATAAGGCGCTGGGTTTCCCTCTGCCAGGAAAAGCCAGGAAGAATGAGGCCTTCAGCTAAACAAAGAGAAACCTGGGGTGGGGAAAAATGAAGGGATCCAACTTATGATCTTCCTTTTTTCATTATTGTTTCCTCTTTCCAATTTAAAGGAAAAGTCAAAAGGCTGACTCTAGCACACACATGCAGTCCCAGGGCCACCAGATGGAGAGGCAGGAAGGTGGGCCTAGCCTTCTGTGTGTTCGTCTCGGAAACCTTTGAAGACCCTCCCAGATCCACTGCTCCCGGCTCTGCCGCCAGCACATGCACACATGGCACTGACTCTAGCTGGGGCTGGGCTGCTTTTAATTTTAACTTATTCTAAGGAAGTCACGGGCACCTCGGCTCAGGAATTCTCATGCTCTGGAAGCAGCGAAGCCCAGAGATGCTGGACTCCCCACTCCAGGGCTGCTGCAGCAGGAGGCGGGACAGCATCCAGGGCTCGTTTCACTGATCCAGTGAAAAAAGATGCTCTAGTTCTGCACACTGGAGAAAAACTTCTTCCTAAAAACCTCCTCTTGCTTCTCTCACCAAGGGTTTCAGGACTTTCAACCACATGTTGGCATTAAAGAAAACATGTCAGGCTGGGCGTGGTGGCCCACACCTGTAATCCCAGTACTTTGGGAGGACGAGGCAGGTGGGTCACTTGAGCCCAGGAATTTGAGCCTGGGCAACATAGCAAAACCCTGTCTCTACAAAAAAATACAAAAATTAGCTGGGCATGGTGGCTTGCACCAATAATGCCAGCTACTCAGGAGGCTAAGGCAGGAGGATCGCTTGAGCCCAGGAGTTGGAGGCTGCAGTGAGCCATGACTGTGCCACTGCACTTGCACCAATAATCCCAGCTGCTCAGGAGGCTAAGGCAAGAGGATCGCTTGAGCCCAGGAGTTGGAGGCTGCAGTGAGCCATGATTGTGCCACTGCACTCCAGCCTAGGGGACAAAGAAAAACAAGGCTGGGCATGGTGGCTCACGCCTGTAATCTCAGCACTTTGGGAGGCTGAGGCAGGTGGATCACCTGAGATCAGAAGTTTGAGACTAGGCTGGCCAACATGGCAAAATTCTGTCTCTACTAAAAATACACACACACACACAAAAATTAGCTGGGCATGGTGGCAGGCTCCTGTAATACCAGCTACTTGGGAGGCTGAGGCAGGAGAATCTCTTGAACACGGGAGGTGGAGGTTGCAGCGAGCCAAGATTGTGCCATTGCACTCCAGTCTGGGTGATGGAGTGAGACTCTGTCTCAAAAAAAAAAAAAAAAAGAAAAAGAAAAGAAAAGAAAAACAAAAAGCCAGATTCTAATCCAAGTGACTGTCCCAAAATATTGAAGATCACCAAATAGCCCAAGGAAAAAGAAACTCTGGGGTACTGGGTAAAGGAGGAAATGTTGCTGAAATGCTTTGGGAGACAGAGGAAGGCAGTGAGGAAGCTACTTGGTGGTGCAGTGTGGGGACAGGCAGGGGTTTGCAGCTGTGATGGAGGAGGCCGGGGGAGCTGGGAGCCCTGCACAGGAGCCACAGGGGGCCATACAACACGGGGCACTTGGCATGTGTCTGTGCCGGCGGCTGTGTGGCTCCATAGAGCACCCCCCGCCATCCAGATCTACAAAGCCCACAAGCAAGAAAGGAAAAAGGAAAAAAACGTACTGGTAGATGTCACGCGAAGAGGGGGCAGCGGTGGATGGACAGCTGGCGGATCTGACGAAGATCGCTGCCGGCTTCCACCGTCCACACTTACAGAGTTTGTCTTCCACAGGGTGTTAGCAGAGGAGGCTGTCTGAACTGAACCCACACGCATGCACACAGACGCATGCATGCACACATACACGTGCACACACAGAACAAAAACAGAAACAGAACACTGCGTTATTGATCCTCCCCCTTATGAAATGGTCAGTATGACCCTTCTACCTAGAACCCTCAACTCTTTTACTCCTGTCTCTGGCACGTGGAAGATAGACACCGATACCCACTAAACCAAAGACGCTTCAAGGACTGTTCTCAGCTGGTTTTCTCAATCCATGAAATTTAAAAATTCCTGAGTGTATTTCTCAAATATCAGTATCATTTGAAGAAGGAAATAAACAGCCACAATGCTCTCTTGCGAACACTGCACTTGGAGCTTCTGGAACTTCTGCTCCTCTCCACCCTCCCATCGAGTCCTTCCCATGGGCCGTGGGAGTCACCACCATGTGAAGAGGAGTACCATGTGCCCAGCTGGCACAGGTGGAGGGCAGAGTGCAAATCAGACCCTAGAGGAGGGGCTCTCTCTCCCTCCCTCCCGCAAACATATTTCTGGCTGGAAGCAGACACAGATGACACCAATCAGGTTCAGGTGACCCACAAAAGAGATGGCATTTCCCAGGTCACAAGCCCTTCTTCTGCCTGACAAACCTGCAAGCTTAGGTGCACGGGGCCCAGGTGCCAGGTGTGACTCCATGTTGGAGGCTGTGCACAGCCCGTAGGGCAAAGGCTGGGCCTAGAAATGGGCCAAGCCACTGGGTCCAGAGGAAGCCTTCGAGCTCCTCCCATGGGGAGCCAGGTCTGCCCCAAGTGCAAGGCTGCACTGTCAACCCTTTGCTATTTAGTTGCATGTGAGAATTCTACCCAAGACCATGTGTGGGCCACACAGAGAATGGGGGAGACAGCAGGTAAGGGGTATGACCTACATCACTGGAAGAAATGAAGCTAGGGACAGGAATGGCAAAAATAAAAGGGGGAAAAAATCAAAACCCTCGAATTCCAAGACTTCGAGAAACCAGGAGATTAAGAGTTTACCCCTCCATGACCCAGTGGAACAAAATCAAATCTTTCCTCGCATGACATACACAGCCAGCAAAAGCCACTGCTGAGAAGGAGGATGATCAAAGTCATCTTGATTGTGGGCTGTAGAAAATTCATGCCTGCCCGCAGGATCTGGGAGAGGCGGGAAGAAAGCCGCACCCACCCTGGGCCCTGACCAGCCATCCTCGGGGTTTGACAGGAAGGAGGTGCGACTGTGTGGCTTCACCTTGTAGCTGCCTTCCGTGCTCAGGGACATCCTCATCAAACCAGGGATGGATGCGGTCTGGGATGTAGGGTGTGTGGGGACAGCAAGCAGCTGGCTTCTGGGCCTGCCTGGGGGAAAGGCCTGCTCTCAGCAGGTTTGTTCTTGGGGGTATGACTCAGTGACTCACACGACAGGTTCACTGTCACTTCTCTGGGCCTCCCTGAGTGACAGGGGCAGAGCCATGTAAGGGTCTGAGAGACACCCAGGACAGCAGGGAAGACGGGCCCAGCCACACAGGCGAGTGTATGTGCAGCACAAAGTTGCAGCTGTCTGCTCAGCCCTGGGCCAGGTCTCCTGGCCTCAGCCACCCTCACGCACCAACCCACCTTGCCCAGCTAGCAGCTACCGCATAAGGACAGTTCGGGATGTATTCGGGGGCGTGGGCTCCACTCCATCAGCGGCTCACAGCGGTCACAGCGCCTGGATACATGCCCTGTGCAGACTCTCGTCCTTCCTGGGCCTCCCTCCTCCCATCAAAGCCTCAGCAGCCCCCTTCATGTGGGAAACTCTCTGAAGGCCACAGTGATGACTGGAGCTCAGCCCAGAGCTGAGCAGGTCACTCGCCAGACCTGCCTTCAAGGAGCACCATAGCCAGCTGCTCTTCAGGAAGGACAAATTACTTAACTTTTGGGAGCTTTGGTTTACGTATTTCCAGAAACAGAAAGTGTCACCTGTTGAGTCAAACCCTCCAGGTTATAGCTGAGGTAAGAAGAGCAAGCTTTTTGCCCTAAGACACTGGTAGGACCACAGGGCTGGTTTTGTATTTTAGAATTAGGCCAAGCACTGTTCCCCAAATCAGTAGCATTTTATCCTTCATTTTATGGGGATCACTGGTAAGAAGTAATCGCAGGGGCCATGAACTGGACCAGATGAAGGCAGAAGAGAAATAAAAAGGAAAGAACGAAGGCCTGGGAGGGAGAGTGGAGGAAGGTAAACAGAAGGTCGCGGAGGGCAGACCTGCAGGAGTGTGTCTTTCGGCCCAGCCCTGGGAGTTCAGGTGGCCACCTCAGGCTGCCCTGGGGGAGTTCCCATGTTACCCAAGCCAGGCAGATGCCACAACTCTGCCCAGAATCAGAGTCAAATCAAGAGACTCTACCACCATCTGGCCTGATAAGAATGATGGAATCCCTTTAGGAAGCAAACAGAAAATAACTACAAAACAGAAGAGCCCAAAGGTCACTGAGTTGGAGGCAGGGCAGCTGCAAACTGCCCAAACCACAAAACAAGACCCTCTATAAATTCACAGGGATGACTGACAGCGTCATACCTTTGCCAACATTCCGTGGAGGAAGAGGCGGGGCGCTGGTGGTGCTGGGGGCTGCCGGCTGGGCGGGAGGTGGGCTGCCACTCAGGATGGCTCCATAGGTCTCATTCTGCAAGATGCTGGGCATGAAAGCCCTCTGCTTGTCCTTGGCAAGGTTTGCAGCATCTCTTGCCAAAGATACAGCGTTAGACTGAAGCTGGTTGGAGCCCAGCTGGTAGAAGCTGATGGGCCGGTCTTCTCGCCGGTTGGGACTGGGCTGCAGGAGAACATCAGGGCAGAGGCGTGAGACAGAAATGATGCTCCTGGTGATGACATTCAACACAGGGCTGAAAACGTCACTGACACCAGCTCTGCTGGGCTTGGTACCATTTGAGCTCTCATCTGTTGCCTGGGAGCCACAAGTTGCATGAAAGCTGTAAGAGTGAAAACTCACTCCTTGTGTCTCGTGAAGGAAACACACATTGATATGGTTTGGCTTTGTGTCCCCACCCAAATCTCATCTTGAATTGTAATCTTCACGTGTCGCGAGAAGAAGGTGACTAGATCGTGGCAGTGGTTCCTCCCTGCTGTTCTTGTGATAGTGAGCTCCCACAAGACCTAACGGTTTGATAAGGCTGTCACTTGCTCTTTCTCCTGCCACCCTGTGAAGAGGTGCCTGCTTCCCCTTCTGCCGTGACTGTATGTTTCCTGAGGCCTCCCAGCCATGTGGAAGTGTGAGTGAATTAAACCTCTTTCTAAATTACCCAGTCTCAGGTATTTCTTTATAGCAGTGTAAGAACAGACTAGTATATACACACACACACCAAAAAAGCTGTGAATTACAAGTTAAAATTCTCCATTCTGTGATGGATTTAAAATATAAGCTATTTATCTTATCAGCCGAAGTTATCTCAACCTAAGTCAGCATTTTTCCTGAAGTTCCCCTTCCTAAACATGCCTTCTTATGTTACCCCACAGGGTAGCCAGCTCTGGCCAGCCCGCGGCACTCAATCTCCAACAGCTATATGGCTCATTCAGCAGAAATCAGTGCTTTCTTCCCATATGAACAGGAGCTCCTGAGATTCCTCCAAATCAGGGTTAACAAACAGTGGCCTATGGGCTGCCACCTGTTTTTTGTCGGTAAAATTTTATTGGAACATAGCCATGTCCTGTCATTTAGATACTAAGGCTGCTTTTGAGCCATCCTGGCAGAGCTAAGTAATTATAACATGGACTGTGACACTTTAGGCCCACAGAGCCTAAAATATTTACTATCAGGCCCTTTAACAATTTGGCCACCCCTGCTCCCGCTGAAGGTAACGTGCTTTTTTTTTTTTTTTTTTTTTTTTGAAGAGAGTCTCACTCTGTGGCCCAGGCTGGAGTGCAGTGGCGCAATGTCGGCTCACTGCAAGCTCTGCCTCCCAGGTTCATGCCATTCTCCTGCCTCAGCCTCCCAAGCAGCTGGGACTACAGGCGCCCCCCTACCACGCCCGGCTAATTTTTTAATATTTTTAGTAGAGACAGGGTTTCACCATGTTAGCCAGGATGGTCTCAATCTCCTGACCTCGTGATCCGCCTGCCTCAGCCTCCCAAAGTGCTGGGATCACAGGTGTGAGCCACTGCGCCCAGCTGGTCATGCGCTTTCTTGGAAGTGAATGCATGGAATAATGACTCAGGTAACTTAGATCTAACTTCTATTTCAAATGCCAGCTTCATTAAACTACATATGATGGTGAGCAAATGACTCACCTTGCTGACCACATTCTCACCTGTTCTCTGGATATGGCGAGTGCTTTTCTAGCACAATGCCAGGTGCCTATCAGGTGCTCAGTGTGAACGGCGGCAGCCCTGCCTCTCCCTCACATGACCACCAACCCATTCTAGGTTCGGGACAAACCAACGCTTCAAACCCAGCTCAGGTGTGCAGAACTAAGCACCCAGTGGTTCTTCACACATATTTCTAAATTGCAAAGCCCACGGGTGAAAGGATAAACAGTCCCTGCTGCTGTCTGCTGAGAATCAGGTGAGCAGTGTGGATGAGTCTTAGGACTCCACACCAGCCTCTGCTCTTGTGCTTTTCCTTGGACTATGCAACCTGCTTCATCATTGCTCATAAAACGGGAACGTGGCGTCCGATTGCCTGATGAAGAGGCACACTGGGGCAGACTGCTTCCAACTTTTAAGGCAGGTTAAGTATGAAATCAGTCGACTCTTCTTGCTTTGACACTGTTTTGTACCTAACTCAGTGAAGTAATTTCTTATTCTGTATTCTAGGAAGCAGTAAGTATGGATGTTAACTCTATGAGCAAAGACAATCCAACAGGTTTCAGAAATGCCTTCTGGTTACCTACTGACCTATCCGTCCATCTATCTAATTAGATATCCTCAATACACATCAGAACATTAATGCATTACAGAAAATTTAAAAAAAAAAAAAAGGCCAAACCATGAAAATGTGTTTAATGTAGCATTTGCCACTAATTCAGCACAGAGCACATTCCAGGCACGCCTCGAAGTACCATGCTGAAGGACAGATGGAAGTGGGTCACAGCTAGGAGTCAGGGCTTTGGGTCAGACGACCTAAGTCTGACTCTCAGCTCCGAGTCCTGCGTGAAGGCAGCAACCTTCCTGGGCATCACCCGCCGTGTGTGAAGCAGTGAGTATGGTAAAAAGGGAGCTGGAGGAGGAGGCAAGAGCCTTTGTGCAGTCCCAAGGCTGCCTCTAAATAGCTGCTTCACTTTGGCCAAGTCAACTTTTCTCTTGAGGCTTCAATATCCCAAACTGATAAATGAAAGGGTTGGACCCAGTGAGCTCTACAGGTCGTCTGATGATTTCAGTTGATGTTTTTTAAGATCAACCAGGAGAATGTGATCACCTAGACTGGGAGAAATCTGGTCTTTATGACGTGACTCCATCGCAAGGGAGTTTCCTCTAAACCCACTGGAATCAACCCCCCCGCCCCCTCCCCCCCACACCCCTTTCCTTTGTAGCAAAAGGCTGCCTGTAAGTACATAATTAGCCATTCCTTTAAATTAATGGGTGCAGGAGCTGGGGGACGGGAGATGGTAATGGGAAGGGTAAAACCAAGAGCCTACTGAGATTAATGAAAGCAAAAAGCAAGCTACATTTTCATTTCTATAAAACAGCTTTCTGCCTTAATTATAGATTAGGACCCACATTATTCTGGATGAAGCTGATCAAAACTCTTAATGGTTAGCAACCTGGCACTGACCTGCAATTTCTCATCCATGTCGTCATCACTTTCATCCAGGTCTTCGTGGAGTAGTCGCCATTCATATTCAACATGAACGTGAGAATTAAATCTTCCAGATAAGGCTTGGGTCAGCTGAGAGAACAGAGGGATGGTCAGTGCTGCTGCTCATACACTCGGCCATGCACCTGGACCCACTGAGGTGTGCAAACAGGAGGCCTGCCTTGTAGTCCAAGGCAAATTCATGGAAATCTCTGGGTCTCAGGTAAAGCCCCCGCCCCTCTGCCTAATTCACAGGGTAACCTTGAAACTCAAAGCTGGTATGTCCCAGCAAAGGCTTTGTAAACTGTATTAGTTTTTAGCCACAGTTCCTGGCTTGTAACTCTCAAAGCTCTTGCTGCAGTCTTTGGTTATAACGTGGGGTGTTAGGCCTCAGGAGACAGAATCTCTTTGAACTTCTCCTGCCCCAAGGCAGGACTCTAATCTTCCACCACTTTTCTGACTGTGGGTCTTAAGACCCTCCCCAGAGAGGGTCTCACCATATACCCTGGGGGAAGAGATGCTGACATCATGAAACTTCCATAAAACTCCAAGAGGACTGGGTTCTTGAGCTTCACAGAGGGTCCTGGAGGGTGGTGCCCGGGGAGGGGATGGAACCTCCGCGTCCCTTCCCCCACACCTTGCCCTACGCGCCTCTCTATCTGTATGCTTTATAATAAACCAGTAAACACAAGTGTCTCCTTGAGTTCTATGGGCCACTCCAGCAAATTATTTGAACCCAAAGAGGGGGCTGTGGGAACCCCCACTTGAAGCCGGTCGGTCAGAAGTTCTGGAGGTTGATTTCCGACTAGTGTCTGGGTTGGGAGACAGTCTTGGGGACTGAGCCCCCAGTCTGTGGGATCTGACACTACCTCAGGTAGACAATGTCTAATTGAACTGGAGGACAGCCAGCTGGTGTCTGCTGCTTGTGAAACCGCCTTTTCAAGAACATGGTTGTGATAAAAGTCTAGCATGGCTGACTCCATCTTGCTTCTGGCTCCACAGGCTGGCTGTCCTCCCTTACTCCTGGGCACAGACCAAGCTAACCATGGGAAGAATTTAGTTTGTGGTGTAAGTTTGAAACAAGGATGGTAATAGTCCCTCCCTAAAACTGACTCAATTTTTTTATTATACTTTAAGTTCTAGGGTACATGTGCACAACGTGCAGGTTTGTTACATATGTATCCATGTGCCATGTTCCTATGCTGCACCCATTAACTGTCATTTACATTAGGTATATCTCCTAATGCTATCCCTTCCCCATTCCCCCACCCCACGACAGGCCCCACTGTGTGATGTTCCCCACCCTGTGTCCAAGTATTCTCACTGTTCAATTCTCACCTATGAGTGAGAACATGCGGTGTTTGGTTTTCTGTCCTTGCGATAATTTGCTCAGAATGATGGTTTCCAGCTGCATCCATGTCCCTACAGAGGACATGAACTCATCCCTTTGTGTGGCTGCATAGTATTCCATGGTGTGTATGTGCCACATTTTCTTAAACCAGTCTGTCACTGATGGACATCTGGATTGGTTCCAAGTCTTTGCGATTGTGAAGAGTGCCGCAATAAACATATGTGTGCATGTGAAAACAAGAAAACTCTGTTCTTGTTAGGCAGCTTGAAAGTGCCTTTGGAAGACTAATGAAAGGCCTCAAGATGAGGATTATGGGAGGGGTCTGAATTCTGCTAAAATATAGGTGCAGCTTGCCTCTCTACTAATGTAATTGTTTACCATCCAGTGGAGTGGCTCACACCTGTAATCCCAGCATTTTGGGAGGCCGAGGCAGGAGGACTGCTTGAGCCAGGAGTTTGAGACCAGCCCAGGCAACATAGCGAGACCCCACCACTACAAAAAATTTAAAAACTTATTTAGCCAGGCGTGGTGGCATGCATCAGTAATCTCAGCTACTCGGGAGGCTGAGGTGAGAGGATGGCTTAAGCTCAGGAGTTTGAGGCTGTCTATGAGCGCACCATTGCACTCCAACCTGGGCAACAGAGAGACACTGTCTTTTAAAAAAAAATTGTTTACTGCACCCGAGGCCACGATATTTGTGACTTCCCCAACTGATCCTATAGATAACATATCCTAAGATTGATCTTTTGAGATATTTTTTCAGACTTTTGCATCCTGGTGACCAACTGACTCCACCAAACCTGACTCATGCATGACTCAACCAGTCCCGTGGCCCCCACTGAGATGATATGCAGTGGCCAAGGGCTGTTTCTCACACTTGTATGATTTCACTCCCAACCAATCAGCAGCACCCATTTCCTAGCCCCCCTGCCCATCCAACTATCCCTGAAAAACCCTCACCTCTGAGCCTTTGCAGGGACACAGTTGAGTAATAACTCCTATCCTTCCACTGCTCAGCCAGCTTGCCATAATTCAACTCTTTCTCTATTGTGAATTGGGTTTATGCAGCAGGCAAGACAAACCTGTCAGATGACTACACTTGGTGTAGGGTGGGGGGAGCCCCACACCTCTGGTCACAGCAGTCTGCTTCTGTATTGCTCGTTGTGACAACAGTGTAAGCATAGAGAAAAAACAGGGCTAGAGAGCTTTCCCCAAAACAACAGGCAAAGGATATTTGAGATCTAAAGGATGCTGATCAGCCTGCAAGTATCCACATTCCATACGGGAGAAAGCTCAACCCCAGGAGAACGAATGTGCTCATTCACTGTAAACCCAGCCTTTTCAAGCAGGATGAGAGAATTAAACGCTGTAGAAAATGATCTAAGTGGCTATTTTCTCAGTTCTCTCAAGGAAGGTAGATAGCTAGTTCCATTCTACATGTGCAGAAGAGAAATTAATTCATTACACACTATGGGTGTCTTAGAACCTCAGGGCTTAATTTCCCTCATAACCAGATAGTAGCTACATGACCCTGGGCAAGTCACTTAACTTTTCTGTGCCTGTTTCCTTATCTGCAAAATGAGGACAACGGCAGAAACTAATTTGTAAGGTAGTTATGAAGATTAAATGAGCTAGGTTAGGTGCAGTGGCTCACGCCTATAATCCCAGCACTTCGGGAGGCCAAGGCAGGTGGACTGCTTAAGATCAGGAGTTCAAGACCAGCCTGACCAACATGGTGAAATTCCGTATCTATTAAAAATACAAAAATTAGCTGGGCGTGGTGGCAGTTACCTGTAATCCCAGTTACTCGGGAGGTTGAAGCAGAAGAATTGCTTAACCTGGGAGGCGGAGGTTGCAGTGAACCGAGATCATGTCACTGCACTCCAGCCTGGGCGACAGAGTAAGACTCCATTTCAAAAACAAAACAAAAAACAAAACAAAAACAAATTAAATGAGCTAGTGGATGTACAGTGCTTAGAAAGAGGACCTGTTACTTATCTTACACTTGTATAGCATTTATTATTAATAGTTCTTTTTTTTTCTCCCCCAGCCTGGTGCACATTGGCATAATCATGGCTCACTGTAGCCTTGAACTCCTGAGCTCAAGTCGATTCTCCCACCTCAGCTTCCCAAGCAGCTGGGACTACAGGTGCACACCACCACACCCAGCTAATTTGAAACTTTTTTGTGGAGATGGCGTTTTGGTCTGTTGCCCAGGCAGGAGTGCAGTGGCGCCATTATGGCTCACTGTAGCTTTGAACTCCTGGTCTCAAAGTGATCCTCCTACCTTAGCCTCCTGGGTAACTGGGGCTACAGGCATGCTCCACCATGCCTTGCTAATTTTTTTACCCATCTGCAAAGATAGTCTCACTATGTTGCGGGGCTGGTCTCGAATTCCTGGCCTCAAGCAGCCATCATCCCCTGCCTCAGCCTCCCAAAGCTTTGGGATTACAGGCCTGAGTCACTGTGCTCAGCCTTAATAGTTCTATTTACTGAGTGCCGTGTGCCAACTGCATTACAGCATTTGATAATAATTCTCACGACTGTATGTACTGGTGTAACTGACCGCACTTTAGAAATAAGGAAACAGCCTAGGAGAGTTTCCTTCCAAAGCCAAGTGGAGGAGCCCACGGCAAGGCCAGTGCTGCCTGGCCTGGTGGGCTCTTTCTACTGTCTACACGGTCTACACTGAACAGGAAAAGATAGTGTCGAGCAACCCACACGATCTGGGGCTGAGGAACAAAGAAAGGAGGTTGGCCTTGATGTCCAGCAAAGTAAACAGCTTATGGAGGCCAGAGAACAGGCCCTTGTGGCGGCCTTGGGCCTCTGCTCCAGTTGTCCCACCACATCAGTGATGTTACCAACACGGCCAACCAGCAAACACTGACTCACACCCCAAGTCTCACTACGAAGGGGTGGGTCCCCCTAGGTTTCCCTATATACTCCCTAGCATGCTTTCTCCAAGGCAGGCTGATTCTGGGCTCATCCCACCAGAAACGCTGAGCTCTGCTCAGGACACTGGTTCACAGCAAACCCTGCCCAAGGAGGACGGGCTTGGCTCCCTGTCCCGTGACAGGTGCCCCACCCCGTCCTTGTGGCGGGAGACTCACCAGCTCCTCACAGTGCTCGTGCTTGAGGCGCTTGGCAATGTCCAGCGGAGTCTCTCCTGACTCGTTTGCTAAAAGTCAAGGGCGAGCAAAGGAGGCGTTAAGGCAAAACCCAGCAAAGGTATGACATCCAGGACATTTTTAAAAGGAACAGAAAGGCAGCACTAAATTACATTGGGCCTGGTTAATGAAATCCACAGTGAGTTTGACCTAGTTGAGGCTGAATGTATCTTGTAATTGTATAGAACTGCAGCTAAATACAGAAGGTAAAACTTTAAAAGACAAAGTTTGAACTAATCAAAAAACTAAAACTGGCCAGGCACAGTGGCTCATGTCTGTAATCCCAGCACTTTGGGAGGCAGAGGTGGGTGGATCATTTGAGGTCAGGAGTTGGAGACCATTCTGGCCAACATGGTGAAACCCCATCTCTACTAAAAATATAAAGATTAGCCAGGCATGGTGGTGCGTCTGTGGTTTCAGCTACTCAGGAGCCTGTGGGTGCAGTGAGCCGAGATCACGCCACTGCACTCTAGCCTTGGTGACAGAGTAAGACTCTGTCTTAAAAAGAAAAAACAAACAAACAAACCCAAAAACAAACACTGAAACTGTTGAGGAAGCCACCTAATTAAAATCCACATCCAAACTGTAAGTCATTGAATAAAGCGATTCATCATAAACCTCTAACGAAAAGCACTGCTAACCTAGTTCCATGCACTGGAATATAATAAAGTTTTATACCTTCTCTCAAGCAGTCTATAACCTTGAAAGTATATACTTTTTTTTTTTTTGAGACAGAGTCTGGCTCTGTCACCAGGCTGGAGTGCAATGGCGCAATCTCAGCTCACTGCAACCTCCACCTCCCGGGTTCAAGCAATTCTCCTGCCTCAGCCTCCCAAGTAGCTGGGCCAATAGGCGCATGACACCACGCCCAGCCAATTTTTGTATTTTTAGTAGAGACGGGGTTTCACCATGTTGGCCAGATGGTCTTGATCTCTTGACTTCATGATCCACCCGCCTCGGACTCACAAAGTGCTGGGATTACAGGTGTGAGCCACTGCACCCAGTCTACACTTTTTCTAAATAAGCCTCAGTCAACGAGGTCTGATTATTAGTTTTCTAATGATAAGCACGGCTCTCAGGCAGATGTGTGTCTTTTTTCTATTCTTTCCTCTTTAATAGTTCTTCAAAAATACTTCCTCCTGAGGGGTAACAACTGGATGCTCTCAAGGCACAACTGTGCCTTGGCTGTTGGCATGCCGGGGTCCTCCACAGAGGAAGGGACTGGGGCCAAGTAACAACCAGGGCCCTTCATGGAGGAAGCAGTGGTGCAAATGAAAGGACAGAGCAGTAAACAGCATCTCCCCCTATAATCCATCAAACCCAGAGCCAAGAAAGGGGCCAAGTGTGGCCTCAGGTGGGGGTGAATAGGCTCAGGGTATGTGAACAGGTCAAAATTCCCCAACCTTGTCCAAATTCACCTGGCATTCGTGAGAGCTGCAAGACCCACCCTTTGCTTATCTTATGATCTGTAAAATGCCTATAAATGCTCCCAAAGTCTAAGTAACAGATGGTGAATGCAGCCTCATGGAACAGGCAGGGAGAGGCCCTTTCTCGTTAGTGGTAGGTTCTCCTTCTCCTTGGCACTAACAAGAGCCCACAGGGTTAGCCCTGTTTCCAAGAGCCGGGCTTGGGTGGCAGAGAGGAGGCAGAGGCCAGGGTGCAGCTGAGCCCACCCCCGGGGCCCGGGCCCACTCACCTATCTCGATGGAGGCCTTCCCTCGCAGGAGCAACTTGAGGCACTCGGCATTGTCGGTCAGGCAGCAGTAGTGCAGGGCCGTGCTGCCTTTCCCTGTCTGTTTATCCAGGTTCCCACTGCCCAAGCACAGGAACAGAGAGAAAGCATAGTGTGTCACAGGCCAGAGGATAAGGACTGCCCAGCAGGGAGCCTGGGGCACGTGCACAGGAGAGGCAGACAGTCCCTGAGACAGTCCCTGAGTGAACAGTTTCCCTAAATCATTCCCAAGGTGGTGGGACCTGGCACCGTCCCTGCCTGTGTGGAGAAGCCTTAGCAGAAGGTCATCAAGGAAATAACACGATGATGGCAGAAAAGGTCAAAAGGGGAAGGGGGCATCCCTCATTCCTGCTGCTGCTGAGCATGTGGGGCCAAAGCAGAGGCAGTGCACCACCTGGGTGAACCCGGAGCCCAGCATCCTTCTCACGTCCCCCCGGCTGTGCCCAGAGGCTGCCGTGCTAGGCTGGCCAGCTGTGCTGGACGCAGGGCCTCTGGATGCCTGTGTGACTCACCCATCCTGTCCTATGGGAGGATGGGGGCTGAGCTTTTGTCTATCATTATTTGATATTCCCTCCAGGAAAGGGAAAAGTCACTTTCCCAAAGCCTAGTGACTTGCCCAAAGTCACTTTCCCCAGGCTCCTCAGCCTGTTTGCCCTGGAAACACCTCTGAAAACAGGCTCGAGGGGAATCTCGAGCTTTTCAAAAGTTCTTCACAAGACCAGGTCATCCAAAAAAGGTGCTCAGGCTTGGCAGACATGGCACAGGCCCTCCACCCTAGCAAGCATGGCCACTGCCACATTCTGAGGAGGGGCAGGGAGCTGTGTGCCCCTGCACAAAGTGGGGACAGAAGGGCGACCTCAGGAAGTGGCACCTGCTGCTTCCATCAGAAGGAAGCCAGTTATGTTTTCAATATAAAAAAAGGAGCTTCTTTTTCACCAAATTGGGGGCATAGGGGGGAGCTTCATTTTCAGAATTCTCCCCCACTTTTGTCCTCCTTCCACTCTGAAGAAAAGAAACTGGGACTTTCCTTCTCCTGCCCCCTGAAAATGTGCATGGAGGGAGCGGCATCACGCAGCTATCAACCAAATGTTTATGGAACCCTTGCTGCGTTCTAGGAGCCAGGCTGGCACTCAGACAGAGGGCATCAGGGCAGCTTCCACCATGAATCCAGTGAACTCAGGCTCCTCAGGAAGAAGCTGCAGGTCTTGGGGCTGACCGCCCCACACTCCTCTACTTTCTGGCCATTTCTTCACTCCTCTGCTCAGAAATGGGAGGAAAAAGCAGGGGACACAAAATGCAAACTATCCCATGGCTTTTGCATTTTGGAATTTTCCATTTCCTTCGGAACAAATTTCTGGGGCTTTTAACAGCCCCTCCTCCTCCAGTACACACATGGCTCAAACCATGATCAGGGAGTGAAAATACATGTTGAGAGGTCTTGAAGTCCAGCCTTCAGCTGCCAGGCAGGTAACACAGGACTGAAGCAATATGCACCAATCACACGGACTCCCGGATCTGTGGTAAACCACCTGTGCACATCTCTAAAGGTCATTTCTAATCAAAGCATAAAAACAGCTTCTCAACCCAAACAAAACACCCATAATCCAGTGCTCTGGTTTCTAATCTCTGGTTCAGATCATGGCTAATGTGTGGATCCCCTCCTTGCCTGCTATCTCCCTACTGCTCAGGACACTCTGCTTGGGCAGTGTGATGACCTGGCTCACACGATGAGGTGAGGACTGCCCCTGTGCACAGAGGGTGGTCATGGGGTCCCCAAGTTCAGCAGCCATATCTACTTGGTGTCTCCCTCAGTATCAGACACTAGAAGTTGGACCCTGCAATTACCACAAAAGAGTTTCTAGAGCTTTTTTAAAGGATTGCCATGGAGTACCTCACACCTGGCGTACTTTTTCTGTCTATCATTCATGTTTAGACCTGGGAAGGTTCTCTTGACAACACATCAGAAGCGATGAAGCTGCTTCTGATTCCTTCCCCAGAAATACCAAGGAGAAAACGAGTGCCTCCCTTAATTTCCGAACACCTACCTGTTCTGAACTAAAAAGTCTACAATGTGAAGAGAGGTTCGATCCACGGATCTGACTGCAAGGTGAAGGGCAGTTTCATCTGGCTCCTGAAAAATCAAACAAAGGCATTCCAGAATTCTAACGGGAGCATTCAATTCTGTGTCCACCACCGGTGAAATAGGGTATAACTCTTCCAAAAGTCTTTTATCCTTCCCTTCGAGAAACTTATCTCTTAGACAGAGTCTCTTTAATCTCTACACAAGCTCTTTGCCCTTGGGAATGTGCAATTTGGAGATTGGTCCTGTTTCTCCTGACTCCATGGGAAATAAATGGGAAGTTCAGGGGTTTCATTTCTAAGTCCTCTCAATTGACCTGTCCCCATCCCTGCATCAGCACCACAAGGCAGATCCCTGCCTGCAAGCAAGAATCTTGTTCCAAGGATCCAGGAAGGTCCCCCAGACCACCTACAATCCAATCCCTTTACCTGCTCCTTGAGTAGAAATATGTTTCTTAAGCAGGCTTAAAGTTTTGCATTCTACGCTTACACACAAGGCTTCGAATGCTGATAACTGTGCTGTCTCCAACTCATACTGGGGATTCCCCAACTCCACTACCTTTTCTGAAAGTACACCTGGCGGCGGGGGAGAAGAGATGAACAAGGATTGTTTCAGCAGGTGGGTGGGCGAGAGAACCAGAGGAGGACAGATTCAGAGGACAGGAGGTGAGGGCAAGGGGAGGTGCCTCCCAGGCCTCCTGCCCCACCTATTCAGCCCTCTGGCTGCAGCACAGCTCAGTGCTGGGCACTCTCCATACTGCATGGGTGGGCATGAGTTCTTCCTGGGGCTGGGGAGAGAGCAGGACCAGCCCAGAGCCCGCATGGACGTGCCTGTCACCGGAAGATGCTGCAGCCGTGAAGCATCGTTGATGATAAGCAGCCAGCCCAGTCCTGAGGTCCTGAGGTTCCAGGCGACCAAATGTGCATCTACAGGGCATTTGTGGACCAGAATCCGGACACATGCCACCCCACTTGGGTGCTGGTTTGTTACTGCAAACCCACTCCAGCTGGATGCCCACCCTCTCAAGAGAGCTCCCCCAGGAAAGGAGGGGTCTGGCTCCTACTCTATTCCCTCTGAGGGGGAGCGCGGTGGGGTGTGGGTTCCAGGGAACCGCCCCCTCAGAGAGCTTCTCTCATTAGCATGAAGCTCAGGTTAAACCTGCTCACAGATGACGGGTCCCTCTCAGGCTGCCTAGCTTCTGAGATGCCTTCTCCTCCACCTGGGGATGGGCGTTCTTTCCAGAGCTGGCATGACATTTTTGGTGTAAGAATAAACCACGAGGTGGGTACAAAGTTTTAGACAAGAGAATAAGTCCTGGAGACCGAATGCACAGCCTGGTGACTCCAGGTAAGAATTACATAGTGTCTATTTCAAAACTGAGTCAATCTGAAATGTGCTCTCCATTAAAAATGGATGAGTATGTGAGGTAATGGATATGTTAGCTAGCTTGATTTAATCATTCCATGATGTAAACATGGATCACAAACATCACACCATACCCCCTAAATATAGATAAAATTATTTGTCTACTGAAAAGAAAAACCCCTAGTTTATTCTAAAGCAGTACCTCTATCCATGCTGTCTTCCTCTGGAGAATTACCCAGCTTTGGTCAGTATTGCTGATTCCACTGATCTGCCACGGTGCCCCAGTTTTCCTCTTTTGTTTTTTTTTTTTTTTTTGAGACAAGGTTTCACTCTGTCGTCTACCCTGGAGTCCAGTGGCACAATCATGGCTCACTGCAGCTTCAAATTTCCAGGCTCGAGTGATCCTCTCAACCCAGCCTCCTGAGTAGCTGGGACTACAAATGTACACCACTATGCCTGGCCAATTTTACTTTTTTTTTTTTTGGTAGAGATGGAGCCTCCCTATGTTGCCCAGGCTGGTCTCAAACTCCTGAGCTCAAAGGATCCTCCCGCCTTGGCCTCCTAAAGTGCTGGATGCCAGGCATGAGCCACTGTGCCCGGCCTTTTTTTTTTTTTTAAAGTAGCAACCCACACTCTTACATGTCCGTTGGCCAGTGGGATTTTTTCCGTAAGATCCACACCGTCAGCATAAGCTTGGAGCAATCCAAAAATATCTCTCGTTTTGACGGCCTCACAAAGGCTGTGAAGCTTCGCCGCGTTATCCGCGTGCTTCTTCCTTGCGTATCTCCTCTCAATGTACTTGGCTGTGATGTAGTCCTTTCTTGCATTCCTGAAACCAAACATAATTGCCTTGCAAATCATGAAGGGCCTCTACCCGCCATCCAGCATTCCTTCGTCTAAGGCCACGTTAATGGTTCCTGCGCCACCTCCCTGGTGAGCAGCGCTGGCCTCGAAACGCAAAGCACGAGTGGCCAACATGTGGTTCAACGGCTGCACAGGTCTTCACTGAGACCTCATGGGAGCTGGCCAGGGGGAAAACTCCCCCATGTTCTCTTGGCCCACCGCCCTCTATCTTGTCTCCCTCCCCTCACTCCTAAGTTCTGTGATCTGACCTCACTGTCACCCTCATCACCTCCACGCCCTTCTTACCCAGGTCCCTCCACTAGGCATGCCCTGCGCTTCGTCCTCCAAGAAGGCTGGCCACCCTGCCCCCGCCCTCCAGGCAGCCCTGGCCAACCTCTGTCCCAACATTCTCTCCATCAAGGCCTGCCTGCCTGACTGCCAGACAGGCCCATAAGCTACAAGCCCATAAGCTCCCTGGGACATGGACTACGACCTCTCTTTTGTAGGCACCATGCCTGGTATGAAAGGCACTATCAGATGAACCAAAATGAAATGTCAGTCCTCTTTTTGTGTTCTACTTTATGTCCTTTATGTGGCAACATGCTCAGCCTCCACCCCATCCAAAGAGCCTAGAGAAGCAGGAACAAAAGGGGGCCAAAGAAGCCTGAGTTCAAATCCCACTCCCACCACACACTGCTGCTTTGAACTTGATCAAGTATTTCATCTCTCTAGACTTATAAGTTTGACTTGTGAAAATGCACACAATACATCCTCACAGTAGCACCACGAGACATAGGTGCGTCAACACACCTACAGCACATACAGGGGGTCTTGGGCCTTGGAAAGACCCAGTGAACTTACAAGAGGGACAGCAAGAGAAACAGCAGCTCACTGATCACAGAGTATATGCATTTTACATTCCCAGTTCTGAAGGTTGAGGGTCACTGCCCAGGGACTCCTTGAATCTTGAGAATCAGGCAAGAGCCAGGCAGGGGCAGATCAGTTGCATTCCTTTGTAACACAGCACTGCCTACAATCTGAGGACGCATGTGGCTGCTCCCCTTCGAGCTGCAGTCCCCGCATGGTTCCCTCCGGATCGCCTCTCTGTCACTCAGCTGACTACAGCAAGGGGCCATGGCTCCAGGAGCAGTTGTTGACTTTTCTGTACCTGCCCTAAATCCCCATGGAACAACTGGCCCCCCAGAAGGGGAGTCTGAGCCCCCTGGACATGCAACTGGAGGCAGCGAGTAGATCCTGTCTACCCTGGGGTCCCTTGAAGATGGGCCAGCCTAAGATGAGAAGCCATTACCCCCACAGCACCCAGACAGAACCAAGCAGGCAGAGGTCTCTTGCCAGCGTTTGCCAGGCCTCATAATCTGCTTGCCCTTGGGTGCATGTGGCTCCTGGACACGCAACAGTATGAGGCTGGCTGGTGCAGCTGGAGAGGAAATCACGTCCCATGGTGCCCGTTCCACCTGAGCAGGCAGCGTGCTTCACAGCCCAAGAAGGACTTCCAGGGGCACCTAGTGAACTTGTGCCCTGGCGCTTTCCAACACACTGCCTCCCTCCTGCTCCAGCTCCAGTTCTGCCCACTCTACAGGGCCTTGGTTAAGGCGCGTGCCCCAACTTCCCCCAGCACATGCTCTCCGTCCACACAGCGCCAACCCGTGCACTGAGCTCACTTCACTACGGTGCTGGGTGACTTCTGTGTGAGATACGTGGTCTCAATGGATTCCCTCAACAGTGCCATGAGTTTTCATCTCCACCTGCAGGCACAACAGGGCCCTCGAATAACATCATTTTGTTATAACGTTAAGAAAAAAATCAATTCCCAGGCAGGGTCACTGTGTGGAGTCTACCTGGGTTTTCTCTGGGCACTCAGGTCTCCCCGACATCCTGAAGCTGTGTGCGCTGGGCTAACTGCTGTGTCTCCAAGGCCCCACTGCGAGTGAGTGTGGATGTGGGTATGACCGCATCCCACAGTGGGATGGGGTCCTGTTCAGGGCTTGTTCTCACCCTGGACCTCAGCTGCCAGTACACGCTCCGGCCACCTGTGACACTCAACTGGAATAAGTGGGTGAATCATTATCTTACTTGTTTTTATGAATCTTTCTTTATCCCCCTCAGTAGCCAGAATCTTTCCTAAATGTACGCATAGCTCATATTTATTTCAATGTTTAATATCAGAAGTGTTCTGGGTCTTTATTCAGAAGTTTGGTGATGTTTTCATGATCAGAAATATGTGGCAGGAACTGAACTCTGCTTTACATCAATTGGCGCAGGGTGACACTGGTTTCCTATACAGCATTCTGCTTAAAGTCACAGGTTTCCAGAAACCTTTGAGTTTCTGAACACTGAGGATTTACTGTACACTGAAGTCCATAGAGGGAAACCAGATTTTGTTTCCTCAGGCAGCTGGTGGGACAACGAGGGAAGACCCATTTTATTCCCGGAGGTTCTCCTCTCAGGGCCTCTAGCACAGTATGACACCCAGGGAGATGCTCCATTCCTGGCCTGGTGAGTGTCATGGTGGACAGCCCATTTAATGATGTAAATGCCTCTTCTGACAGGCAGACTGGACAGTTGTCCAGTTTCATGCATTTTTCAATAATCACTGTGGGACAATCATTACTGTGACCTCTGCAGGAAGCGGGTAGAGAGAAAGTGGACTTCCTTGTTTTTCAATGTATTTACTCATCTGCCTAGGGCTTGGAGGCCCCGAAGGCAGTTCCTACACAAACATGGGCACAGATCTGTTTAACTCTACACATGCCCCCTGGTTTTGTAAAGGAGGTTTGCTTTGCTAATGTGATCCTTCAGACAGGGTTTCACCGTGTTAGCCAGGATGGTCTCGATCTCCTGACCTCATGATCCACCCACCTCAGCCTCCCAAAGTGCTGGGATTACAGGCATGAGCCACTGTACCCAGCCCTCCCTCTTTTTTTTAATGACAGGCTTTTGCAGAAAAACAATGAACATAATGATACATTTGGTGTTCAGAGGAGGGGCTTTCCTTGCATTTCTGAAGGACAGGGTGTGTATAACAGTCCCAAGTCACAGGGAGACACAGTTTGGCTCCTGTGAGCAAATATAAGCCTGTCTTTCCTGCTCCACCTCCCCTAGTTATACGTTCCTGACACCCCCAAGATCCATCTTGGAATTCACAGGCCACTAGAGGGTGTCCTTGGTTTCCCCTTCAACAGGTTTATCTGCAGATGGTGTGCGGTTCTGAGACAAAGCTAGAAACAGTGTATTCCTTTTCATCTGATGTAAAATATTAGCTTATTTAAGCAGGCACAGAGCTGGGAGTACTTGTTTGACTTGCTGATTCATTAAATATTCACTGGTTCACCATAAGCAACACATTACGGTGGGAAAAACCAAAATGAGTAAGAAGTACTTCATCAGAAAAATATATGTAAATGCCTGAGTATACTATGAAGTGGGATGAAATGTTTTAAAATAGAGCCAAATGCTATAGGAGCACAGAGCCAAGAAAGTAATTTCAGCTGAGGAGGAATGGAAGTAGCTGACATTTCGCCATCACAACAGGTCATCCGCCCTCATTTTGAAAAAAGCCCGGGGATAGGGGATGTAAATTTCCTTTTCAACAGTGCCAAGGCTGGAGGGGGCTACAGTGCAGGCAGCACATTCATACTGAAGGGTTCCACATTGATAGTGTTCATTTTTTAGAATCGCCTAGCTCCAGAACAACCAAATGCCCTGCTTTTATAAGGTACCCTGGTGCTTGGAAGAAATGACACACACTTTGTTCAGAACTGACCGATACGATAGCATTACAGGGTGCTGGTACCGTCAGTGTGAGACGAAGCAGCGGAAAGAGCAGGTGTCAACTGCACAGCAGGAGCTGACCTCGTCATGCGGGATTCATGACGTCTCCTTCACCAAGCAGGACCCTCAGGCTAGCCCAGGAAGAGCTCCTTCACCTCGAGTAACTCTCCATGGAAACTTAACTGGAGAGGACCCTCATTTTCAGGGTGTATGGAATCAATGCGGGGTACAGATGTGACCTCTGTCGCCCACAGGAAGAAGAGCAAGCAGAGCAGCTAATGCTGACTAGGCACTAAAACTAAGCACCACATGTCTGACCCCATCATCCAGCTCATTCCCCCAGTGCCTCTGTGGCGGGCGGGGTGGGGGGGACATTAACTCCCTTGTTATATTACAGAGCTGAGGCTCAGAGAAGTTAAATAATCTGCCTGTGTCCCGTGGCTCAGATAAGGACTGATATATCTATGTCCCTACTGCCTCTCTAGGTTTGGGTAAAAATACAGATTTGAAACTTAGATTCTCATCAAGAGAGGATGATCACATTGTAGGCCTCATGCCTGGCATCTAAAACCACACGTTATCCGATTCTCAAGGAAATGCTACACCACAAACATCTGTTGCAGGATTCAAACATAAACTGACTTTAATCCAACAACAGCCAGATCACCCACCTGAGATACCTGATACCTGAAAGTCTGTAATGGACACAGTCCCTGTTCACTCCCTTGCAATGTTCTGGCTCTTTCACTGTATCAAGTCACATTAGCAAAACGCAAAAAGAATACAGGTCCTGCAATCTCCGTTTCTCAAAGATGCACCACACAAAATGGTTAAAAAAAATCTAGGCCAGGTACGGTGGCTCACACCTGTAATCCCAGCACTTGGGGAGGCCGAGGCGAGCAGATCATGAGGTCAGGAGTTTGAGACCAGCCTGACCAACATGATGAAACCCTGTCTCCACTAAAGACACAAAAAATTAGCTAGCTGGGTGTAGTGGCATGCACCTGTAATCCCAGCTACTCAGGAGGCTGAGGCGGGAGAAGCACTTGAACCCGGGACGCAGAGGTTGCAGTGAGCCAAGACCGCGTCATTGCACTCCAGCCTGGGCGAGAGGGTGAGACTCCATCTCGAAGGGAAAAAAAAAAAAATCTCAATGATCTGCCTTTACAAAGGGCCCCTACACTAACGGCCCTTTGTGAAACCGCCTTAAAGACATTGTTCACTGTTGCTCACTGTCCTTTGGGGAGACTCATGTCATTAATTCTGTTTCAGTCTTATTCCACAGAAAATGCTGTTTCTGTAAATGAATTTTAAATATTTTTTCTTATCGCACATTTTTCATTTTTCTTTGTCCTTCCAGGACATGGTGACCCAGTCTCGCCACTCAAATGCAGGTGATCTGTCAACTGGCCCAGTGGTCTCTCTCCCGTCTGTTTCACTTTGCATCGCAACAAAACCACACACATCCCCCTACAGACATAAGAGCCATCATACTAAACAGAGCTGAAGTCTAAGGCGGGCAGGACACCCACTGCCCGAACCCATTGGTCTCCCTATCCACCTCTTCTCGAAGACTAGCGTGACGTGGCCACTGACACTCTGATAAGACAGGCAAGAATATTCCCTGTTGTCAGCTTTGCACCGAGAGACACAAAAGCTTCTCCACTGGCCTGGCACAGTGCCTCACGCCTGTAATCCCAGCACTTTGGGAGGCTTCGGTGAGTGGATCACCTGAGGTCAGGAGTTCGAGTCCAGCCTGGCCAACATGGTGAAACTCCGTCTCTACTAAAAATATAAAAATTAGCCGTGTATGGTGGCAAGTGCCTGTAATCACAGCTACTTGGGAGGCTGAGACAGGAGAATCGCTTGAACCTGGGAGGCGGAGGTTGCAGTGGGCCAAGATTGTGCCACTACACTCCAGCTTGGGTAACAAGAGTGAAACTCTATCTCCAGAAAAAAAAAAAAAAGCTTCTCCATCAAGTTTTGTATCAACAATAACACAAATACTTTTTGAAGGAAATAAAACATTCCACATTTGCAAGGATGCAAGGACACTGGCAAGGAGGCAGCTACATAACCACGTATCTACCACAACCAGCCATCTCGGTGGCTCAGGATTATGCAGCAGAGACCAAGATGAGGAAGTGACTCAACAGGACAAACGGCAGAGGTGAAAAGTCCAGGGTGTTCCACCCACCAGTGGCGAGTGAGGTTCTCTACACACCCCATGCACACACGTACAGCATCGGCGAAACCTGCCTGCTTTTGGCTTCTACCTAAAAAAATTTCTATTTGGTCACCCAAAAGGTTAAAGTGACTAAATTTCCATTTGGTCACCTAAAAGGTTAAAGTGACCAACTCAGGCTGATTTATTCCCCAAAGAAGCAAGGACTGATGCACCTAAAACTTCTTATTCCCCTGCCTCCCGGGGCTCAGGCAAAGGCAAATCTTTACTCAGCATATGAGAATAACCAGTCCCATACTTACATGTCACTGCCTGGGTTGGGTTTGACAGAGTCCTCAGCTGGTAGGCAACATTCCATGATCTCATTAAAGCCTGCATTCCCAATATTCTTGGCAAGCTGCAAAAAATGAAAGTCTATTTCAGGATACTCAATTATTAATACATTCTACTGCTACACTTTACCCATCCCCATCTGATGATTTATTTAATGGCCACTAAGAAATAGAGCAATAAAGTGGTTTGCCTTTAATGAAGATGGACAAAACCCAAAGCCCAAAGGTACCCATAAAATTAAAGATAAGAAGCGGCATGCCTATCATAGAGGCGCATTGTCATAAAACGCGCTCTGGATAGAGTACAGATAGAGAGAGGGAGAACCAGTAACTTGGTCCAATGTGAATTTCCATCCTTACCCACTCCTCCCAAAGACCTGTGCCTCAACCAAAGTGACTCTATTTCACATCCTCAAACAACCTTTACTTATGCCAGCTATGAGGTAGTTCTGGTAGAGCAAAGCGGCACTGGGCCAGTAAAGCCAAGACTTAGGTTCAAATCACAGCTCTATCACCGGCTGTGTGACCACAGGTAAGTCAGTTTCAATGAGTGGCAGAGTTTTCATCAGTAAAATGGGATGATACCTACACTTCTGGGTTGTAATAATGATAAAAATGGATAAAATTTAGGTGAAAACAGTAAACTAAAGCACTAAAAATGTATTAGCTCCAGATCTAAGGTCTTTACTTGCCAATCAATCAATGTTCTGACATGTTAAACATTAAATTAACACATTCTTTTTTTTTTTTTTTTTTTTGGAGACAGGGTCTCACTCTGTTGCCCAGGCCAAAGTGCAGTGGCCAGATCATGGCTTAATGCAACCTTGACCTCCCCAGGCTCAGGTGACCCTCCTACCTCAGGTTCTCAAGCAGCTAGGACTATAGGCACATGCCACCACACCCAGCTGATTTTTGTTTTTGTAGAGATGGGGTTTTGCCATGTAGCCCAGGATGGTCTCGAACTCCTGGGCTCAAGCAATCCGGCCACCTCAGCCTCCCAAAGTGCTAGGATTACAGGTGTGAGCCACCGCGCCCGGCCAGCTCAGATTCTTAAACGTTTAATGAAACAATGAAAGAGAGCACCAAGCTTAGTGCTTTGAGAAAACGTATTCATTTCCATGTTGTGCTGGGGAGTCAGTGATGCTTGTGATATTTCTGCTCTCTACTGATTATGCAGGCAGGCCAGGAGCGGTGGCTCATACCTGTATTCCTACCACTTTGGGAGGCCAAGGTGGGTGGATCGCCTAAGCTCCGGAGTTCGAGACTAGCCTGGACAACACGGTGAAACCCTGTCTCTAGTAAAATACAAAAGAAATTAGCCAGGCATGGCGGCGTGTGCCTGTAGTCCCAGCTACTCGGGAGGCTGAGACAGGAGAATTGCTTGAATCCAGGAGGCGGAAGTTGCAGTGAGCCAAGATCACACCACTGGACTCCAGCCTGGGTGACAGCAAGACTCTTGTCTCTACAAAAAAAATTAAAAAAAAAAATTTTTTTTTTTTAAATTATGCAGGCAAAGGAGCTAACAGAGATGCTTTGGGAGAGGCTGCTGCAGCCTGAAATCGGGTCTATCTCTTGGGAGGAACTGACTGAAGGAGCAGCCCAAGAGGTCTGGGTTAGATACACTGGAACTTCCTGGTGGCAAATAACATCAAACAGTGAAATGGGCTAGTGGGGCTAGTGGAGAATGCAGACGCAATTTTTTAAACAACAAAAGAATTATGCGAGGTAGCCTAATACTTGGATGATGAGCTTTCCTAATTCAACCTGGCCCTTGACAAGTGGAGAAAGCTTTTTCTAGGTGGCCCAAAGCAGCATAAAACATTAACCAACTCCACCTCCTTGCTCAGTCCTGGCTCTGGCACCTCAAGCCATCAGTCAGGAGGCAAAAGGCTGGAGGCTGCGTTGCAATTTTCCCAGGGACAACAGAATGGTCAGATGGCATACCACTTAAGGTGACAGGTACCTATGCGCCAGGAAGCTAATGCCCTGTGAAGGGTTTCTCAGGCAGCTGGTGTCAGATCCAGCACTGAACCCCAATGTCAGAGCCCCTGGTTTATAGCCAGGCATCATACAATCCAAAGAGGATACTGTCCCCAGGTGAGCACAATGGTTTTCCCAAGTTAAGTGACAAAAATCACTGTGGCCCCCTCTGCGAGCCAGGGGCCAACCACCCTGACGCCTCACAGTCTGTGTTAAGCAGATGGGGGTGGGGAGATGGGAGGAGGAGAATTCCCCAGGAATTGAAGAGCTGTTTCCCTTCTGCTTGGACTTGGCTGGTTAACTGAGAGACAGCTGGTCCAGGGAGCCACCGCATCCATGTGTCACACTCATCCAAAGCTAGAGAAACGTGCTACCTTGCAGTTCTGCCAAGTTCCAGTTTACGTTTCAGCCCATAGAGAACTCCTCTGGACCCATCAACAAAAGAAAAGCATTTGCAAATGGAGGCTGCAGGTGCCAGCAGGACAGGCAGGCAGAAGCCAGGGGGGCAGGAAGGTGGGTGTCGACCTGAGCCCTGGCATCTCCTGCTTCTCACTGGTACCCAGAAGGAATTTGCGGGCTGCACTGAGGCAGAAATTGAGCCAGACTGGATGGAGGAGAGGAAGAAGCGTTTAAGTTCTGTATCACCCAGGGCAGGGCAGCTCAGCTCAGCCCCTCGCCCTTCCTGTGGCCTCAAGAACACAATCTGAGCCCCTCGTCTGTGCTGGGCATGGGGCATGAGGCAACCTCCTGCTCTACAGCAGCTCACTTGAACAAGACAGCGATGAGTTAATAAGCAGCCCTGGAAAAGAAGTTCATCCTGAGCACTACGAGGATGGTGGCGCCAGGCCCAGATGAGCAGAGCAGTCACTTGGCCAGGAGGCCCCTTTCCTTGGCACTCACCAAGCAGGAGAGTCATGTGTGGGCGTCCCCTCCCTGATGGCAATGCCCAGGACAGGGACACAGAATCACACACCGGGTACATCCTTAGCACCTACCTGAGCAGGGCCCACTGAGCCAAAATGAGGCTTTAGGTTTTATCTGGACGTTGTTTTGAGAGTTTGGCGTGGGGCAGGGAAACCTCCTGTCCCGTTTTCATGTCTCCACAGGGAAGGACAACAATGGTGTGACATTCCTCTCTGACTCACCCCAGGAGAGGAACAGGCAAGTGAGAGAAACCAGACTTCCCTGACCACTGAGCTCAGGAGGAGATCCCAAGGTCAGCTCCTCCCTGATGTTAATTGGGCCCCTCGGATCCCCAAAGGGTGGAGGGCCTGGAGAGTGCGATCCAGCTCTAAAGTGCAAAGGGTAAAAGCCCAGGTAAGGGAAGGGGCTTGACCAAACTGCTGCCTCCAAAGCAGAGAGCACAAAAGGCCACTCTGGTGTGCAGGGAAAAAGTTTACATATGATGTCTTTACCTGACCCTTTAAAAGTTCTATTTTTGATGTAGTTTACAAAGTATATATTTCTTAGTAAGTGTAGGTACATCATATGTAAGTAAGTATATGCTTTGCTGCTCAATTTTTTCTGACAGAGTTTGTGGTTTAAAAAATGTTCAGAATCCTGGCTTTAAAAAAAGAGGCTGGAACACAGGCTCTGGAGTCTAATAGTTGGAGTGTAAATCCTACACTGGGTAAGTTTCTTAACTTCTCCGGCCTTTTTTTAAAAATGGAGCTCTCCATTTAGGTTAGATATTATAATGTACGTAGAACACCTACAACAATGCCTGAAGCATAACAGTTCCTTCGTAGATGACCATTGATAGTCAATGTCTTGTTGCCCTAAGCAATTGCTTTTAGTATCTGGGTGGCACATTTCAGTCCTAGGTGAACTAACAACAGTTATAAGTCGTAAGTTCTTGGTCTTTGAGGAGCTTTCCTCTCCATATGCTCTTTCAGATCAGACTGTGTGTTGACCCGCTTTAACATTTGACAGCTTATTAACAACCTTATGAGAACAGAAATAGAAGAAAGTCAAGAAACAGAAAGTTGAGTCAGTAAATATTTGGTAAGGTTCTTGATGCTTTTTAAAAATTTTGATGTTTTTTTGTTTTGTTCTGAGACAGGGTCTTACTCTGTTACCCAGGCTGGGGAGCGGTGGCACAATCTCAGTTCACTATAGCCAACCTCCTAGGCTTTAGGTGATTCTCCCACCTCAGCCTCCCTAATAGCTAGGACCACAGACATGTACCATCATGCTCAGCCAATTTGGGTTTGTTTTTTTTTTTTTTGTAGAGATGGGGTTTCGCCATGTGACCCAGGCTGGTCTTGAACTCATGGGCTCAAGCGATCTGCCTGCCTCAGCCTCCCAAAGTGCTGGAACTATAGGTGTGAACCACTGCGCCTGGTCTCGTAAGATTTTTAAATTACTGACTCAAATTCAATTTCAGAATATCAACAATTCCTTTGTTAACTTCATGTGTGATAGTGAAATTGATCATGATAGTAGTACCCTAGTACCAATGATGTTTTTCATATGACCTGAAAAATCAAAGCTGAAATCATGATCTTCTACATTAAGAAGGAAATTTATCTTTTTAAAATTTGTGTTTCCCAGTAAGTTTTTCCCAAAGTAGGTTTGCTTTAGAATCTAAAGATACTAAGCTGGTATGTGCTACAGTAGTTAGGATGACATGATTCCTCAGAACTAATACTTCAGTTATGCAATTTCCATTCCACTGGATAAGAAGTAATGCTAGGCTGCACACTGTTCACACCTATAATCCCAGGACTTTGGGAAGGCGAGGCCGGAAGACCACTTAAGCCCAGGAATTCCAGATTAGCCTGGCCAATATAGTGAGATCCTATCTCTATGGAAAAATTTTTAAAAATTAGCTGGGCGTGGTGGCACATGCCGATAGTCCCAGCTACCCAGGAGGATTGCATGAGCCTGGGAGGTAGAGGTTGCCTACAAATGACCAACAGGTATATGTATGAAAAAGTATACATCATTAATCATACAAATCATCAGGGAAATGCAAATTAAAACCACAATCATCTCACACTGTTAGAATGGGGCTTTTATCAAAAAGACAAAAGATAACAAGTGTTGGCAGGGATGTAGAGAAAAGCGAAGCCTTGCACACCGGGTGGGAAGGTAAATTATTATAATACAACCATTATAGAAAATGGTATGGAGGTTCCTCAAAAAACTAAAACGAGAACCACCATATAACCCACTTCTGGGTATTTACCCAAAAGATCTGAAATCAGTTTGTTGAAGACATGTCTTCACCATCTTGTTTATTGCAGCACTATTCACAATAGTCGAGATAGAGAATCAACCTAAATGCCACCAATGGACGAATGGATTTTAAAAATGTGGTATATATACATAATGGAATACTATTCGACCTGAAAAAAAGAAGGACCTTCTGTCATTTGTGACAACATGGATGAACCTGAAGGACATTATGCTAAGTGAAATATGCCAGGCAAAGGAAGAAAAATCCTGCAGATCTCATTTATATGCAAAATCCAAAAAACGTGAACTCATAGAAGTAGAGAGTAGAAACTATGGATACCAGGGGTTGGGCACCTTGGTCAAAGCATACAAAATTTCAGTTAGGATGAATAAATTCTAGGGATCTAGTGTACAGCATGGTGACTCTAGTTAATAATAATGTACCGTATACTTGAAAATTTTGTTTTGAGACAGTCTCACTCTGTTGCCCAGGCTGGAGTGCAGTGGCAAGATCACAGTTCACAGTAGCCTCAACTTCCTGGATGCTCAGGTGATCCTCCTGCCTCAGCCTCCCAAGTAGCTGGGACCACAGGTGCTTGCCACCACTCTCAGCTAATTTTAAAAAATTATTTGTAGAGATGGAGGTCTCACTATGTTGGTCAGGCTGGTCTCAAACTCCCGGACTCAAGCAATCTTCTCACCTCAGCCTCCCAAAGTACTGGGATTACAGGCACCAGCCACCACACCAGGCTCAAGAGAGTAGATTTTAAGTGTTCTCACCATAAAATATAAGCATGTGAGGTGACAGGTGCGTTAACTAGCTGGATTTAGTAACGCACAATGTATACAATATACTAAAACATCACGTTGTACACCATAAATACATACAATAAAAAATTAAAAAAATAAAATCCCTTGATGTCACAGCATGTCACCCTGAAGCGGGCTGTCCTATTTACCCAAAAGAGAAGAGATGCTACTCCTGTGAGACTGCACCCACCACTCTCCTTTCACAAGGCACCAAGGGGCCTAATGAACACTTGCTATACACACTTCAGCAAGCAAGTCAGCCGCGGCCCTGCATGCCATGCAACTCTGAATCGAAAAGGTTCGTAAGAACAGACTACAAGCAGAGACCATGCACGGCCTCCCTGGGGGTTCACATGTTAGCACATGGGGACCACTTTTCTGAAAGGATTTTGTTAAAGGAGATAACAATGATAGCTAATTCTTTGTGGTTCTTGACGGCGTGTCAGATATAATTTTAAATATACACACACTCACACACACGCAGAGAAAGAGAGAAAGAGGCAAAAAGATTTCAGGAAATCCTTCATCCCAGCACCTGATTGTCTAAGCAAAATAAAACAAACAACCTGGGTACTTTTAAAAGGCTTGAGGCCAGGCACAGTGGCTCACACCTGTAATCCCAGCATTTCGGGAGGCCGAGGCAGGAGGATCGCTTGAGCCCAGGAGTTCGAGACCAGCCTGGACATTGCTACCAAAAATACAAAAATACATCTCTACCAAAAATACAAAAATTAGCCAGGCGTGGTAGCACTTGCCTGTAGTCTCAGCTACTGAGGAGGCTGAGGTGGGAGGATTGCTTGAACCCAGGAGGCAGAGGTTGTAGTGAGCTTTCAGTGAGCTAAGACTGCACTACTGGACTCTAGCCTGGGTCATGGAGTGAGACCCTGTCTCAAAAAAAAAAAAGCCTTGAAATTTCCAAGCTTTGCCAATGAATACTAACACCTGACACCCTACGTACTGCTTAACCAAAGGGCTAAGGAATAAGATTTACAGCCACAACATCATGACCACACTCCTAGCACACAACAAATGAATCAGGGGAGCCGTAAGGAGATGTCCACCTCCTGTGAACCACAGAGGACCAGCCAGAGCGCAGGGCAAGCAGAGTTGAAGGGAGTAAATCCTACACAATTCACTGCTGTCTCTCCTTTTCCTGATAACCACTGAGGAAAAAAGGCTTGGGTAAGGGAAGAGTTTAAAACTCTGGGAGCAATTTGATTTTGAAAATATCTGCAGACATTGATTAAGCAGGCACTGGCTGATTTCTCATTGTGGGTGACAGCCAACCAAACTTTAAACTCCTATAAGAATGCAGATGGAGGCTCTGGGAGACAGAAATGGAGAATTTAATTAGGCATAAGAAGTCACCTCATCGTTTCATCAAGACAGAACAACATATTCCTTTCACCTTTCTTTGGCGTTTTCTTCTTTAGTAGGAATTCAGGTCTCATGAAGAACACGAAATTTCTGAGACACATTTAAGAAATTATAACAGATGGTGGGGTCAGGCTCCTACCAGCTCATAACAGTCAACTGTTAAAATTTCAGGAATTTTGCAAGCCAACTGCTAAACACTGCTACTATTAAAAATTATACTATATAAACTCATAATTATGTTATATTAATAACTAAGGTATATACTCAAAACTCATCATTTGCTAATTATACTACATTTTACTATTATCCATGTTCATGAAGTTATTTACATCCACTGTGTTGCATGGTGAATGTACCATATAATGAACATCTTTTTCCAACTTCACATTTAGTAATTCACATGGGTAGCTTGAAATTGGCCATTGTGGGAGTATTTACACCACGAGAACAGGCAGGTTGCAAACCAGGGTTCTTTTTTCTCCAGAGTTGACTGTTAAACATTTGTTGCGGATGGTGATAGGGAAGGATAGTAGAGATGTTTAAATGTTTATCACACAGCAAGACAACCCACTAAAATGCCAATTTGTGTCCCAGGCTCCTCTAAGGTTTAAGTGTGAGGTCTGGAATTAGATTAAAGAGGCCCACACCCCAGATCTGTCACCTTAAAAGCTTCATAACCCTAGGCATATTGAAACATTCTAAGCCTCAGTTTCCTCCTCTGTAAAATGGGGATAATATACCAAGGCCATCAGGTTGTTACTGGAGATCAAATGAGCCTAGTATATATAAAGTGGTCTGCAAAATACATAGTACAAAATCAACAATTACTACTTCATCATAAATCACTTAACACTTCCCATTGTTTTAAGAAAATCAGTAGAAGAAACAACTGCCATAGTTCATCACTGTTTACTGAGAAGTACTTTGTGCTTCTTTGAAAATGTACCATGACAATCTCCAATCTATGCCATCATCAGTTATCCAAGAGATGCCACATGTACATCTGTTCACCTCTCCAAGATGTAGGTCACGTGCATTATTACATGAACAATAATTGCCGTATGTAACCAGGAAGGCACTGCTTGGAGTTCCTTAGTTTTAAACTTTAAGTGAGTCTAGCTTAGTTTTAAACTTTAAGTAACTAAGGATGTTACTAACTAGGCTGCTAGGATCCACTGTAGTTTCTCCCAACTCTGTCTTTCAAGACCATAAAGGCATTCCTGGAAAAACTGGAAAGGTTTGACAAGAGAGTTCAAAATGCATTCGAAGTTCAGACACACTGGATTCGAAGTCATCAATAAGACTGATGGCCCCTTGAGAGGAACATGGTCTACAACTATTGATTTTCTGTCACGACTATTGCTCTTGACATTAAATTCCCTACATGTAAACTTTTAAATTCAACATTAAAATCAATAGCAATCAATATCTACTTACTGTTTACTGTCAACACTCAGCTGTCCCAGGAGAGAATTCAAGAACTGCTTTCTAGGGAAGACAGTCACGAAAGCTCATGTGTCAGGTGGCCCGAAGCATAACCTGTCTGATGGACCTTGTGGGACCATAGTCTCGATACCCTGAAAGCCACTTCACAGAAAATGCTTCAGTCTCCTCCTATCTCTATCACATGGTTTAAGCATTATCACTGAACCAAGAATGAAAGACTTAAGAAACAAAGGCGGTAAAAATGAAGATCAGTATGTGCCCCCAAGGGGGACAATCTGGGGTAGGGAAAAGTCGGAGGCTTGAGGCAAGCTGTCACCACAGCCTTGTCAGAAATTCCACATCTGTCTAATGGATGGGGTGAGCTGGCCTATGTCACCATCTTATTCCATTTCTGCAGAACCTCACACCACTCTCAATGCTGTTTTGGTTTCACTCCTCTTTATTCATTTAAGAATAAAGTTTTGCAACAAGAAGTGCCCTCAACCACCAGTAGCTAAAAATGAAGAATTATCAATGAGTTTCTAAGTATCCAAACCCATTTGGTAATATATCAACAATCACTAGCTTACCAAAATGGATTAGAATGCCAAAAGTAAAACTTAGCTTACAGCTCATTTGTTTCCAATCTCAAAACAAGCATTTAAAAATTACCAGCAGCTCAGACGTTCCCAGTACATCTAAGGTCAGGGACTGCATCCTGGAGTAATGAACCCCCAGCTCTCGGTGGATTCCGGAACACTCGATGCAGGTCAGGATGCCCAGGTTGGTGGAAAGCCATGTAGGATCTGCCAAAGAGAACAGGGCAGATTTGAGCTTCCAGTCAAAAAGAAGGTCAGGAGTCACAACTTTCTTCCTGCATAGTTACTGAACAAGGAGTTCTGAGCATGAGCATTTTCTGATCCTTAACACAGCTGGAAACTTTGGCCGTAATTACCAGCAATTTACATGCAATACCCGCATATGCACACATCTACTCTCCCTCTTCTTCCCTCTCTCTCCATCTCCCCATCCTTCCATTCGTGTGACAGATGCTGTGTGTGCAAAAATAAATAGGACGCACTCCAGTGACCAAGGGCTCCTCAATGGCTGGTCATGAAAACAGACCACGCCCATCACCAGCTTGGTCACACTAGCAGAATGGAGCAAGAGGAAAACAGTGAGACCAGCCAAAGTCTACTAGTAAAAGGGGAATAGGCTTAAAACATTCACTTCTATAGATGCTGATAACAACAGAGAACGTACTATGTACATATGATATGCTGTGTTCAGCACACTGGTAGTAGCAACAATAGTTTGCATTGTTAAGAGCTTCAGAAATCACAGAGCACTTTTGTATCAAATCTAAGAGCCCCATGAGATGGCCAAGGCAGGGATTTTTATCTCAGAGACAGCTTCACAATGCTCAGGCTCGAGGTTGCCAGGGAGTGCAGAGCAGACCGTGGCCCTGCCTCTACCTGCATTCAAAGCCACGCTTTCCCCTTACAGCTCGGCTCCTCACTAACATGCCCCTACCATCAGTTTAGAACATGATAAGCACCCACAAAATGCCTGACAGATGAATGTGGAATTTGCTAAAAATGGGAAATTAAAAAGATGTCCTTGAGTACATCATACAACCCATAAACACAATTCTCTTCAGAATTGTTTGTTACCCTCAGAAACTCACAGTAGGTAAATATCGCAACTTTTCTTTTTTTTTTTTTTTTTTTTTGAGACGGAGTCTCGCTCTGTCACCCAGGCTGGAGTGCAGTGGCCGGATCTCAGCTCACTGCAAGCTCTGCCTCCCGGGTTCACGCCATTCTCCTGCCTCAGCCTCCCGAGTAGCTGGGACTACAGGCGCCTGCCACCTCGCCCGGCTAAGTTTTTGTATTTTTAGTAGAGACGGGGTTTCACTGTGTTAGCCAGGATGGTCTCGATCTCCTGACCTCGTGATCCGCCCGTCTCGGCCTCCCAAAGTGCTGGGATTACAGGCTTGAGCCACCTCGCCCGGCCAAATATCGCAACTTTAGTCAGTAGGCAATGATGAAGTTATTTTTTAAATGTTCAAGTTATTAAAAATGTTATCCACGTTGGAAAACCTTTTTGGCATCTGCGTCTGCGCTTGTGTAGGATGACTCCACTGTATCCACGTGCTTTGGGGAGGCACAAGCATCCATTTAGGTGACTCTACATCATTTTTCTATTACCCACACTGTCTTGGCATTTTAAAATAATGAGTACATACCTTTGAGCTCTTTATCAAAGTGTATGAAAAACCCAAATCGTAGACTGTCTTTACCCTTTCTCAAGACAAGATAAGTAGTTGATTCACTACTTATCAACCCCTACCTCATCTGCTGCCAAAAAGGTATTTTCATTTTTTTGTTTGTTTGATACAGTCTCGTTCAGTCGTCCAGGCTGGAGTGCAGTGGCGTGATCTCAGCTCACTGCAACCTCCGCCTCCTGGATTCAAGTGATTCTCCTGCCTCAGTCTCCTAAGTAGCTGGGACTACATGTGCGAACTACCACGACAGGCTAATTATGGTATTTTTAATAGAGATGAGCTTTCACTGTGTTGGCCAGGCTGGTCTCGAACTCCTGACCTCAAGTGATCCGCCCACCACAGTCTTCCAAAGTGCTGGGATTACAGGCACGAGCCACTGCACCCAGCCAGTGTTTTTTTTTTTTTTAATGGTTCCAAGGCCAAATACAGTCTTCAGGGTCATGGGAACCTAAGGGTACTTCTCAACTGCCCACTCTACTTCGGTTGTGTTTGGTTTTTTAAGAAAAATTGTCATATAATTAGAGGAATGAAAAGGGGACCGACCATTCTAGCCAAGCCTCCATCTTTTTCATTTTATAAATGTTCAGAAAATGCACCTGTGTAGTCCCCCAACCCCCCACCCCCACCATTCTGTCTCAATTAGAGTAAATTCCTTAAACCACATCCTACTATAAAGCCCCTAATATGCTTTATCAAAATGTAAAAATAAAATCTTATTTCACAGAATGTGTCAGCTGAAAGGGACCTGTCCCTTCAGTTTACAGACAGGACAATCGATGTTTAACAAAGCAAGTGGCTCTCCCAGGGTCACAGAGCCAGACAGCAGCTTAAAGCTACTTCAGAAGTTCTGCAAAGTAGGATAAAGGGAGAAGAGAGCAGATTCCAAGCAAGGAAGCCCAGACACATGCAGCCTCTCAGCCCACATGACCTTGAGTTCACCCTCACTGTACCCTTCAGTTTTCATTTCTCAAAAAGCATTTCAATCTTTGCAGCTCTGTCAAACCCTCTTTACTCAGTCCTGCTCTGGGGCCCGGCAGGCAAACGTCCTCCCACCCCCTCTCCCCTGCCGCGGTCTGCACAGTTCATTAAGCATTTGTGTAATGGGATGAACTCAGGCTGAGCTGCACTTAATTTTGTGTTTGAAATGAAAGTGAAAATCAATGAATGGATTCTGTGAATCAGAATGGGATTAAATGTCCTAGAGCCCAGGATTGGGTGGGGTCCCTGGGTCACCTGGTGCCCCACAGTCACAGCAAACGTCATTGCCCGTCATCCTCTGCACTTCTGAGATGATCTCCTTTGTCAGTTCTTGGACGATGTTATTTTCTCCAGTATTGTCATCCCCCTTAAATGCGTTGTTTAAAGCTTCTTCTTTGCTATTTTGCAGCACCGACATCCATCTAGAAAAACAAGAGCGACGTTGTGTTAAATCCCACAAACAACAGGTAAGTCCAGCCCAAAGTCCCACCACCATGTAACTTACATTTGACATTCTTGTTCATCTTCGGCTTGGAAGTGGTAAGTTCTGTCATCTGCATAGCAAGAGGAATTTCAACTGTGAGCCCAGACAGCAATCCATACACAATTCCAAAAGAAAGTGGTTTCTAATTAGCCTCTGGAATAATCTTAGCTCTCTGTTAGGAAATACTGATTTGTATAAAATCAGGCACTCCCTCGTATCCTCCAACTGTCTGCCTTCACTAACAATGGCATTGGAATGCAAAATAAACCTGCCCTTTCCCTCATTCAAGTTTTAAAAGATGCCGCTTCTAAAAACTGAAGCTATTCCATGAAAACCATCACTATCCTCTCAATTGCTTCATTTTAACTCACTACAGAGTTGGCCCCCAAAAAGTAATTGTTAAAGCCCTTCCAATAGTAAAAATCTTTTTTGAAAAGAGTATCTTAGAAGTTTTCTGGCTTTCTTAGAAAAAGATTAGTATAAGAAATTCTAAGAATAATATGCTTTGAGAATCGAGTACTAGAAATACAGCTAAATCAGGAGGAGAGTGTTAAATAATGGTCGAATATAAAATTCTACACTCACATATTGCTGGCGTCAGCACCGTTTTACAAGTGTTTCGCCAGGCTGTGGACCTCTGTGTGTGTGCAGCAGGGAGGCGGCTGTGTGGGATGTGGCAGCATCACTTCTATGCTGCTCTTGCCAAAAACATATAACCTCAATCCACTCACGAGAAAACACTACAGAAATCCAAATGAAGCGGAGTCTGACCAAAACACAGGTCAACACTCTTTAAGAAGGTATCACGAAAAACGAGTGAAGACTACAGAACCGATATAGACCGCAAAAGACCAGGATAAAATCACAACTAAATGTCACGTGGGGTCCTGGATGGAATTCTAGAGCAGAAAAAGGACATTTGGGGGAAAACTGGTAAAATCTGAGTAAGATTTTTAGTTAACAGCCTTAAACCAATGTTTCCTGGTTTTGATAACTATATAAATATGACTGGATAACCATCTACCATGGACTACTGGATAACTGTATTAAGATGTTAACAGAAGGGAAAGCTGGGGGAGGGATATATGGATATTTTCTGTCTAAAAGCAGTCTAAAACCAAAGCAAAAAAATAAAATTAGATTTAATAAAGAAAAGCGGGGGCGGGGGAACCCAGCTTTTGCAGATGGCAGAATGATGACAAGTACCGATTCTGCTCTTAGGGAAACACAACGAACATCTGTGTTCCTAAAAGTGAGTGGACACGTCACCTCTCTCTGGTGTTTACTCCTGAAAGCACATTGGTTCTCAGAACAACTCTTGGTAAGTGACTGGGTGAGGGCTGAAGCCTAGAGAGGCTAAGCTGCAAAAATCAAGCATAGCCAGCAGCAGAACTTGGTTCCTGGACTTCTGGCCCCACTCTTTCTACAACACCATGGCATCTTTCTCTTTCTCTCTCTTTTTTTTTTTTTTGAGACGGAGTCTCACTCTGTTGCCCGGGCTGGAGTGGAGTGGTGCAAATGTGCAGTACATGGCTCGCTGCAGCCTTGATCTCCCAGGCTCAGGCTATCTTCCCACCTCAGCCTCCCAAAGTACTGAGATTACAGGTATGGGCCACTGCACCTGGCCAATTTCTGCATTCTGATGTGTAAAAACTGCAGAAGCAGGAGGCAAACCTCTAAGGAAAAACTTCAAGCAAGAATCCCCTCCACTACACTCTTTAAAGATGCTACAAATAAGCAGACAGCTTCTAGCAGCTTCAGCTGTGAGGGAGAAGAGCAGGAGGAGACTGAGGGGGCGATTGGAGCACTCAGGTGCTGGTGGCCAGCGAAGGGCAGCTTCCAGCCAGGGCTCTGGCTCTACTGGCCGCTAACCTGCCATGTGGACCTGGAAGGTCATTGACTCCCTCTGGCTCCATCCTACTCAGGGGACTCACTTGGGTCACCTCAAAATTCTCCTATTCTTTCCATCGTGCCCAGGGTGCCGGTGGGGTTTGCGGATAATGGCTCTGGACTTGAATTTGCTACAAGTGAGGTCAGTCTGCAGGCAATGGATTGGATGAGCTCCCAGAAAGGCTGGCCTTGCCACAGAACCATCCTCCTAGAAGAGCCCATGCCTGTTTACATCTTTTTCTTTTTTAAAAGTGACAAGGTCTCCCTCTGTTACCCAGGGTAGAGTGCAGTGGCACAATCACAGCTCACTGCAGCCTCAGATTCCTGGAGTCAAGTGATCCCCCTACCTCAGCCTCCCAAGTAGCTCGGACTATAGGTGTGAGCCACTGCCCCCAGCCCCAATTCCACCTTCATGAGAATGGGAAGCCCCTGTTTAGGGGCAAGGACGGTAAAGGAGCATCTTGTAGGAAGTAACTGCAACCAGCCAGTCAGTCTATTGCTGAGTTCTCTGGGCAGATTCCAAGATGAACTGACCAGATGAGGGGGAGGAGGAATGGGTGACCATGCGGTGCCTGGCAGACGCACACAGAAAATATCACCCTCACTGCCTCAATGCATGTGCCTCCACTTGACTTCCCCAACTGCCCAAATGTCTTTTTTTTTTTAGACAGTCTTGCTGTGTTGTCCAAGCTGGAGTGCAATGGCACGATCACAACTCATTGCAACTTCAACCTCCTGGGCTCAAGCGATCCTCCCATCTCAGCCCCCGAGTAGCTGGGACCAAAGGCACGTGCCACCATACTCAGCTATTTTTAAATTTTTTGTAGGAGGTCTTGCTATGTTGCCCAGTCTGGTCTTAAACTCCTGGCCTCAAGCAATCCTCCCATCTTGGCCTCCCAAAGTGCTTGCATTACAGGCGTGAGCCACTGCCTGGCCCACCCAAATATCTTGAGAGTTCAAAAGCATCTTGGTGATGCTTATCCCATGAGGCTGGTCAGGAAGCAGAGGAGGAATCTGAGAGGGGTGAAGACAGATGCTCCTGAATCAGCCAGAACCAGGCCCTGACCCCATGTCCCTCACGTTCTCAGGATATTCATCAAATCACGGCTTACACTGAAGCCAGGTTTACCGTAATGACTCTCTGGGGTGTCTGGCCAGTTTTCAACCCAAACCTATACAGCCCTGCACAAAGCATTTTCACTACAGATACTCATAGGGAAGGCACCTTTTGAAAACTCGCTGAGGATAAAGAATTAGCATGACTGGAATTCATTTTACCCACTGGAAGACAAGCAGGGAAGGAGGAGGGATGAGAGCTCTTTTCAAAGACAACAACGGACTCTCGCAAACTCATGACACTGCCCCCAACTGTGCTCAGCAAGCCTTTCTGGGCATCAGAGGCCACAAGTCCTTCCTGAAGATGTTTAAATGCATCAGGCTGTAGCAAAGACACTGGCAGGATCTTGGTAAATATCAGTTGGCCACAGAGCTTGCGTGTGGCCAGATTCACAGAGGACCACGTTCCCATACATGTAAGAGCTGCAGTAACTCATGCCCAGAAGGGAGGCACGCACACTTGCCATCTACTGATCCTCCCTGCTGCCTGCTGTGGGAATACATTGGAGCAAGTGCTTCTGCACATATGGCATCTAGCAGGGTCTCCCTGCAGGGCATGCTGGAGGGACCTGGGGCAGCTGAGGGAAGAAGTCCCTACACCCACCTCCAGGCGATGGGTTCACTATTATTGCTAATGAGTTAATGATGGGCATTTTAACGCAGAGCTTGTGTGTTACTAGTTCAGAAAACAGAAAGGCCTAAAACCCTCTGAGTCAGCCCCAGCCACTGGCAGACATCAGATTACACCATCAGGTTTTCTGAAACCCTTCAATTCAAGCCTTTTTGGCTAGCTAGACACAGGTAACCCAGCAGTGATCACTCCGTGTGTGTGTGTGTGTGTGTGTGTGTGTGTGTGTGTGTGTGTGTTTTAAAGAGTCAGGGTCTTGGTCTTGCTATGTTACCGAGGCTCGTGTGTGTGTGTGTGTGTGTGTGTGTGTGTGTGTTCTAAAGAGTCAGGGTCTTGGTCTTGCTATGTTACCGAGGCTGGATGTCTGCTCCTGAACTTGGGTGATCCTCCTACCTCAGCCTCCCGAGTAGCTGGGACTACGGGAGCACACCACCACGCCTGGCTTGCAATCACATTTTAAACTCTGGCCAGTACTCACCAATTTTGTAACATCTTGTATGAATGAAAGGCAAGTTTGATGAGAGTTTGTGGACCTTACTAGACTGAGTCAGGATGGGTGTCTGACACAGGATAAAGTCCATTTTATTTTACAGATCAGTCTAGAGTCTGAAGAACAAAACAAATGGTACTGGAACCCTCCGCACACATCACAGTGCTCAGCCCTCCCCAGAGATTGACACAGAGGGTATGAGAAGGGAAAAAAGGAGGATAAGAGCAAGCCATTGTGGTAGGATGGAGTGCTAACCCACAGTTTGCTGGGAATGCTAAATCACGTAACAAGTGACTTCCTAGCCCTCAATAATACAGGTCAACAGACATTTGAAAAGGCAGCCATCTCCCGCTCAGGGGTACTGAGGCACAGAGAACAGCACCGCCTCCCTACAGTACACAGTCCGGCATGGTCCTCTGCAAATGTAACTCTTGCGCCCAAATCTCTGGTGACTGCCTCTTCAAAGGGGAGACCGGCCCTTTCTCCCCCTAGCCCGTAACCCGGCCACACAGAAACACCAAGGAAAAAAGGGTTATCTTATTTTCTTTCATGAGCCCTTCAATTCAGGGGGTGCTGAGTAAACATTCACCACAATGGATGGTTCCGTGGGGATTCTTGTGTGAACACCACAAAAAGGAAAAGCAGAGAGAAGCAGAAAGACTGATCCTGTGGTGAGGAAGAAAAACAGTTTCAAACACTGAAGTTTCAAGGGCCCTGCTGAAGACCCTCATTTTAGTTTTATAGCATTTCTAACATCACCCAAATTATGTAAGTTTTTGAAAACAGAATTGTCCTTCTTTTCTCTTTTTAAAGTGAAGGGGTTTTAGGCTTGCGGGCTTCTCTTATAGGATCTCCTCATTTAGGAACAGGAATGCTGAGGCTAAGAGCTCAGAGAGCCCGGTGATGATGCCTCAGGTCTACAGTGTCCCTGAGGAGCAGGGCCAGTCCTCAAAGTCAAACTCTCAACTAGAAAGGTGAGCAAGCCGGCAGTTACTAATGGAACACAAAGCATGCATATCGCTAGAAAAAAGGGTATGTCTCTTCAAACCCAGTTCTTCAGAATGCAGTGTCTGGAATGTGAAGGACGCCACAGAAGAGAGCGTAAGACAGTGTCTCTGTGGTGCTGCATCTTACGTGAAATAAGGTCAAAGCACTTCTTCTCCTCAGGGTTGGTCTTCACCTGGCAGGTTAGCAGGTTGAGCTTTGCAGGAGGCCGGTTAGCCTGTTTAAAAGCAAAAAACAAATAAAAAGGTTGGGGTTGGGTGGAAGGAATGGAAAATCATACAGTATCAATCCTCACGAGATACAGCAAGAGCAAGCTCTTCACTAGTTTGCAAAGGTGGCCTTTAGAAGGCAGACTTGACAGAGGAAGGCATGACTGAGACAAATTACAGAGGCCCTTGAACTTCGTCTCCACTGATGGCAACTGCCTCCCTGCAAGGGCACCTTGGTGGTCTACACAAACCCACCTGGACAAGGGGACAAGCGATGCCAGCTTTGAGGCTGCTGGCAGTGGGTGCCTTCAGATCAAGGTACTGCCATGGCTAAGCCCAAAACATTTGGTTCTGATTCCTACCGACAACACAGATGATGTGCCAGGTAACTTGGGCACCCAGTTCAATTTCTGGTGACCTTAAAAGCACTTTTTCTTAGCAAAAACCTCACTTCCAGGGAAGGTAATTTCACAGCACAAAAATGGCAGAGAAATTATTTTCCTACTGTTTGATGACAGATAATAGATTCACATTCCTAAATGCCAACCATCGCTGTCACTTAAGTTTCAACAAAACATACTTCATTCATATCTGTAACCCCCAAACCCTCTCTCCCCCATACATGACACCAAGCGATCACAACACACTTTCATCAGAGGTGTGTCAAAAACGGCTACTGTATTACAGTTTCAAAAAATAGATCATACTTAGTCCAAAAAAGCAAAGGACTAAGAGTAAGAAGATAATTTCAGAAACAAAAATTTCAAACGGCAGAATACCTCTTAGAAATCTTGGAAGAATATCCAAATAGGAGTGGGCTTATCTTACCCACCTACCAAGCTGCTAAAGGAAAGATCAAATAAGAGTGTCTTAAACTTCCATCGTTCTTGGGCCCCACTTCCCTTGGCCACCGGTCGCTTCAAGATGAAAAAAACCTGGATTTGGGATTAATCCAGATACATACACATATGCATCTATGCCTGGACAGACCTGTGAAACCCTCATGCACTTCCAGGCCCAGCAGCTTCCTTCCAGTGAGTCTACAGAGTTAGGGTGGGAGAGATGAACCCATCCTTGCAGAGTGAAGGATTTGGGTTTAATACATGTAAGTTTGGACTAGTGAAAGTCCGATAAACAGGGTTGTACTAGACTCTCCTCGTTCGTAGCTATGTTGGTCTTATCTTCTACAGGTTAGTCAGATACTCTCCATACTCTGTAGATATCTCAGAGAATTCCTAGAGTGTCAGAAATCAGTATTAGAAGACACCAAGCTCTGCCTAATCGTGTAAATCTGGACACTTTCAAGTGAAAGCACCACTGACTGTGGATTGTGACCAATCGGATTACCTAACTTATCCAGGAACCAACACACAAAATGATCTATTTCGAGAGACATGGTTACAAACCATGCATGCAACCAAGTACTTTAACACGGGTGTATACCCACCCATACGTAGCCTGTGTCTATTCTGTTACCTCCCTGTGATGACACGACTATACATGGGCAAATTTTAGGGCTACTTCCAAATTGTGGGGTCTTAGATACATAATAAACGAGGTTTGTGCACTTCGATAAATACAGAAGCATCTTCATGGATAAAATGATGACTGAATAACAATAGCTACATTTACTCAGCTATTTTAATCATACACCTACACAAGGCAGGCGCTGTTCTAAATATTTTTCATGAAATAATTCCTTTAATTTTCCTAACTGCCCTTTGAGGTCGAAACTACTCCAATTCTGTAGCTAAAGATACCGGCCCAGACAGACCAAGTAATTTGGTTGAGGTTACACAGCTAGGGAGGCGGGAAGCTAGGATTCCAACAAGTCAGGCTGGCTACACGGCACGGGGCTCAGCTGCCACTCCCCCTGTCCTTGACTCGGGTCCCCCTGTCCTCGACTCAGGTATCCATGGAAGGCAGTTGCTTGCCTGGACTTATCTTTAAGAGCAGCAAAGAACCACAACTTAAATTACACCACTCATCCTCCCTCCCCACCTCCACCTTTCAGTCTTTCTTTTTCCCTGTGATATGGGGAAAGGTGTTCGTTCTTTACTACCATTAAAGACAGATTTCTCACTTCACAGCATACCACAAAATAGAGAAAAATATTCAGCGCCTTTATTTGAAGTAGGAATAATTATAACGACATAAATGTGCCTACATATTAAAAAATGACAACCATAAGAATGGCTCCACAAAACATACAAGCTGGTCTTAAGCAATATCATCAGCAGTTCTGTTTTACATTAATAATTGTTTGCTATTCAGGTTAAATATTAAGTATACAGATTAAATATTAGCTATTAGACAAATTTATGGGAGAAAGTTCTATACATTAAAATCCTTCCCTGTTGCAATTTGGAAAAATACAGTGTCACCTGGGTGCAGTAGCTCACACCTATAATCCCAGCACTTTGGGAGGCTGAGGCAAGTGGATCACCTGAGGTCAGGAGTTCGAGACCAGCCTGACCAATATGGTGAAACCCCGTCTCTACTAAAAATACAAAAATTAGCTGGGCATGGTGGCGTGTGCGTGTAGTCTCAGCTACTTGGGAGACTGAGGCAGGAGAACTGCTTGAACCCGGGAGGCAGAGGTTACAGTGAGCTGAGATCAGCCACTGCACTCCAGCCTGGGCATCACAGCGAGACTCCGTCTCAAAAAGAAAAAAAACAAATAAAAAAAAAAAAAACAGTGTCATCAGTTAACTGAGATATAGAACAGTTTCATCTAATTCACAAAATACCAGTATTTTCTTGAGAATTTAATTTGAGAAGCCCTAGTTTAGAAAACTCAGAAAGGAATGGTGAAAAAACAATGCAACAGCCTTAGAGTTTGCCACGCAGGCAGAGATTATCAGTGATTCTCCATTTTAAACATGCCGTTCTATTTTTTTCCAATTTGTCAGGCTTTTAGAAGGAAGATGCTTTCTTCTTTCTTCATGACTGATCATTTTTTAAAAATTTTAGATTGTGCAAGAGCCGGTGGACATTCCTTCCAGTGTAACACAGTCTCCTGCCCTCAGTGGCGTGGCAATGCTGTGAGTCTGGCAAAGAGGATACCTAATTAGAGTTATTTTGTCCCAAGGATCACTTCTTCCTAGGGCCAGAAAACAGACTTGGCTAAGAGGGAAACTCAACTCGGGCTTTGACCGAATCTCCCGAACGCTATCCTCAATCCTCTGCTCCAATCAGGTACAGCAACTTCATTTCCCGAAGGTTGCCAGCCTCCTGGGAAGGTTTTTCCTACCAGTGTAAATACACCCTGTGTGTTTCCATTTCTTAAAGACCTGCTGCACAGCTGTGTGCCAGGCTCTGCTCTTAGATTTCCACTTCATCAGGTCTTTGGAAATGTACCCTTTTTTCCTGACTGTACACGAGCACACTCAGCAGCTGCTGGCCAAACAGGTGAGCTGAACAAGAAATCAAGTCAAAACCAAACCAAACCAAACCAAACCAAAAGGGTGTCTCTCCATTCTCTTCCTTGGTATGGGCGAACTCACTTTCCCATGTGCAACCCCTCTGTAGATGCAGTCAATACAGAGGGGTCCTCTGGATTCTGACTTCCAGAGCACGCAGGGAAATAGGGAAAAGGTGAGAAAAGGAACACTCGGCCACTGAACGGAGCGTTGGAAAACTACTTATTTTGCTGCATGGCAGCGAGGCAGTGAATCAAGACAACCCCACCAGCCACCCCTGCAGGATGTAGGCAGCAATGGCTGCTAAAGGCAGGAGGAGACCTCTGGAAGTGGAGATTCCCTGGAGAGGGGTTTCCCCTCCAAACACAAAGCACTTATGAAATATGCACGCTGTGTGACAAGCTGAGTTCTCAGCATCCCAGTGATGCCGGTTATAACCGTACTGTCTGCCAAAAACTGGGGCAACCCATGCAAACTTAAAGACAGCTAAGCCTCCATGTCTTTTGAGAAGAAGTTCATGCTATGGAAGTGACTTGAAGTGAAGTTTATGCTGTCAGCAAAGGATTACCAGACCTATTTTCCACCTGCCATGGAATGAGTCACTACCTGGCTTACCCTGAGGCCTGGATCTAGGGGAACTCTCAATGAAGCAAATACGCCCCTTGACTTCAGAGCGGTAAAAGCGTGAACTAGAACTTAGTTCTTTGACAGTTTCTGCACTGAGGCAGTCAATCTGAGTTCAAACAAACAGCGAGTGGACACCAATTCGAAAGCAGACCACAGAACCACAGGTGTTGAGATCTGGAAGGTATTTAGAAGGGAGCCTAGTCTCATCTAATCTAACATTCCTAATATTAAAGACAGTGATGGCTGGATAAATTTGCTTCCCTTGGTCTACAGAACTCATACCCTCACATCCATGCATGGAAAGAATGTCTTTTTTGTTTTTTTGAGATGGAGTCTTGCTCTGTCTCCCAGGCTGGAGTGCAGTGGCGTGATACTGGCTGACTGCAAACTCCGCCTCCCGGGTTCAAGCAATTCTCCTGCCTCAGCCTCCCAAGTTGCTGGGATTACAGGTATGTACCACCATGCCTGGCTAATTTTTGTATTTTTAGTAAAGACAGGACTTCACCATGTTGGCCAGGCTGATCTCGAACTCCTGACCTCAGGTGATCTGCCCACCTCAGCCTCCCAAAGTCCTAGGATTACAGGCATGAGCCACCGCACCTACCCAGACGTCCCATTAAGATCCAAACTGCATGGCCCTGGGGGGGGCGGTACAGTGGTGATCACATGACCAGTGAAAGGTAGGTTTTGAAAATAGAAAATGACCTTCATTTCCAAGTTCAGAGACACATTCAATCCCCTAGAACAGAGGTCGTCGAGAATCCCTATACTGGGTATATACCATTCTAGCTTCTCTCTCCCTTTCTAAAACGAAGTCGGCAAAAACGAAGGCACCCCCAGAGGAACACAATCCTTGCTGCTGTGACATGCTTCAACTGGGGTTTTACTCTATTCCCTTATTCATAAGAACCTCAGGGCCGTTTCTCTGGACCCCATGTTGAGTGATGACATTTCTATAGGGGCCAGAAAATCTCCTCTGAGTTCCTGCCCAGCTCTGCCTTCACCAGGGGACTGGAGGGACGAGGGGCAGGAAAGACAGTCACTATCATCCACTCACACGCCCAAGGCTGCTGGACTGCATGCACTAGCAGGCCTCTGCTTGGGGAATGGGAATGCAAACGACTCTCAGCATCTCACTAGCAACAAAAAAGCAACAACCTCAGCCTTGAGACATCACCAAAGCTGTTTACTAGTCCATGTGGTTTTCACCAGCTCTGGCACACCAGGTGAGGCAACAGTATGCATAATACTGCCATGGAAAGAAGAGTGTGGTGTGCAGGGCTGTGTCTGTGATCCAAGTTCCTGGCCTCTGGAAGCTAGATTGGTAAGGAACTTTATCCCGACCGGCTTTTCATAAGCTCAACATAGAGGGCTCTGTTTTTTCTTGCATGGACTCTGATAAACAGGATGATGGAAAGAGGCCTTAAGGTTGGGCACCATATGTTAGATTTCGATAATAAAATTACTGAAATCTCTCTTCTCATGGATTTCTGGTCCCCAGAGTCCTGCCCATTTAAATGTTCTTCTCTTAATGGAAAAGTAGAACTCTTCCCAAGTGAGATGTTTGATTTCCAGAGACAGAGCTGGGGGAGCAGTTTGCTGTTGTGTGCTTTCTAGAGTCACAGGCTTCTCAATAAAGACAACCTGGCTTATCAGTTACTCCTGACTCTGCTAGGGAGTGGAACAAGGACAAGGCTCCACTTGCCAAAAAAAAAAAAAAAAAAAGAAAGCAAGCAAGCATAAACAGGCTGCAGGTGCACCAAATCAAGATGGAGGCCAACAAGCATTTCTCACAGGGAAATTCTTCAAGACGCATCCTTAATACCATAACACACGGAGAACAACTCCTGCCCTCTAACTTCAGAAAGTTCTCCAACACCAACCTCATCTAATACAGCAGACACCATGGATTAAAAGAGAATACTTACGGTACCATGGGATATGGTCAGAAAACCATTTTTAACTGAACATTTCCTTTTCTGCCACACTTTTCGGATCCTTGTGGATAAGTGGGAGAAACAATAAGAGTTTAGACATTTTGGACACATGAGATAACGAACGTACATTTAAACTCTAGCAACACCCCCTCACGTACCCGTCGCTCTTCTTGTAGAGGCTGCCGTTCCGCTCGGTCCCATGTTCCTTGTTTCCCTGAGGCTGATGTAAGCTATAAGCTGTGCTCTGACGAATTTGGGAGTCCTAAAAAATGAAGAGTGTTTTTAATCTTGTCCAGGTCCCAATTTTTAGAAAAGCAGTACACAAAGGAAACTTATGCCTAATAAGCTTTTTTTTTTTTTTAACAACAACAACAACAAAAAAAAATTGGAGAAATTTCCCCTTCTCAACACAGCAAAAAGAGAGACACCACATTCCTCTCTAGGAACTGATAAACGCCATCCATCAGGCTGGAGAAGGAAATGTCAGGAAACCAATATCCCAAACTGGCTGAAGGAACGAGCCCTGGAAGTTTCCAGGTTTTATTTCATTATGAGCCTTAACCCCCTGACAATGACATGAGGCTCCCACTACGGCCAGAGTAGCCCTTAAGGAGGGAGGTGATGCAGTGAGTGGAAAGGCAGGGGTTTCCAAGCAAAACAACAAAACCAGCTTTCTGTCCCTTACTACAGAACCATCACATAAGCTCTCTGCCTCAATCTCCTTCTTGGGAAATAAGAAAAGAATACCCAGTAAGGTCAATAAACAGTAAGGACTCAGTAGGATCACACACGTGAATATCAACAAGTAATACACAAATCTTCACTTCCTCACCCCATCAATCTTAAGTAAGGGGGAGTCTGACCCTGACCAAGGGGAGCTTAATCACAGACAAGCCATCCACATGGTCAGCTGAGAATCTGATTGAATCTACCACAACTGGGAAACTCCAGCCCAGCAGCTTCTTAAGGCAAGCAAGGACTAGCAATGAACACCCAGGACCCAAGTCCAGTGTCTGGCATCCAAAAGGTGCTCAACTGGTGTTTAACAAATGTTATCAGGCTGGGCACAGTGGCTCATGCCTGTAATCCCAACACTTGGGGAGACCAAGGTGGGTGGATGGCTCGAGCCCAGGAGTTCAAGACCAGCTTAGGCAACATAGCAAGACCTCGTTTCTACAAAAAATACAAAAGTTAGCTAGGCATGGTGGCAGGCGCTTGTAGTCCCAGCTATGCGGGAGGCTGAAACAGGAGGACTGCTTGAGCCTGGGAGATCAAGGTTGCAAAGAGTCCTGATAGCACCACTGCACGCCAACCTCGGTGACAGAGCGAGACCTTGTCTCAAAACAACAAAAACCAAACAAAACAAACAGTATCAGACACTGTTTTGTAGGAGTGGCCACCAGTGCCAGTGCAGGAAATTCTATTTCCCTGAGACTTAAATGAAATGAGAGGGGAGCAAGATGTGAACAAAGTGTTCACAGGTCAACCAGGAAAGGGCCGAGGTCTGCCCGCAGGTGTTTAATGAGAACTCCTATCCAGTTCATTCCATAATGGGAGAAACAGGGACATAATGAAAGTAGTGGTTTGCTCCAGGCGCAGAGCTCCTTAAAGCAAGAGCAGAGAGTGGAATGGAATCCTGCCTTCCACTCTGAGGCTCCCTCCATTACACCATCTTCTCTTCCCAGAGAACAGCCTCAGAGTCTAGGGCCATTCTCATCACTGCCACTGAGCAGCTCACCATCCTTGGAGAACGAAGCACATCCCCAAACGATGAAAGAACTAACGCAGGAAAATCAGTGTGATAGAAGCTGAGAATAAGAGTACTCAAGAACTGAAGAGTCAATGGGAGAAAAGCACAGGAAAAAGTGAGTTTTAAACATGAAGGCAAGAAATGGCAGAGAATCAGGGGAGGATCTTCAAGACAAAGTAGACAGAACACAGAAGACATGGGGAGGCCATGTGGTCAGCAACCAGGGAAGCTGGACAAATACTGCATCTGAGGCAGTAAGGCCTGGGAGTGGACAAGACGGGCTAGAGTCAGAGTTTCAACTGCATCTCAAGGCACAGGCAACCTCTTGGATTTCTGACAGTTTGAAAAAAGATTCTGAAGCACAAAACTGTTTAATTTTAATGAAGTCCAGTTTACCTACTGTTTCTTTCATCACTTGTACTATAAGGGTGCTATCTAAGAAACTAATGCCTAGTCCAAGGCCATGAAGATTTATCTTTATAAAATCTCTTCCAAGAGCTTTATAGTCTTAGCTCTTACATTTAGGTCTTTGACTCATGTTGAGTTAATTTTGATTACGGTGTGAGGTAAGGGACCAAGTTCCTTCTTTGCTTGTGGCTATCCAGCTGCCCCAGCACAATTTGTTGAAAAGACTACTCTTTCTCCATTGTCTTGGCACCCTTGTTGAAAATAAACTGTCTCTAAATGTAAGGATTTATTTCTGGACTCTCAGTTCTATTTCACTGGTCTATATGTCTCTCCTTATGCCAGTACCATACTGTCTTGATTATTACAGCTTTGTGGTAAGTTCTGAAATTGGGAAGTGCAAGTCCTCCAACTTTGTTCTTCTTTTTCAAGACTGTTTTGGTGATTCCGGGTCCTTTGCATTTCCACGTGAACTTCAGAATCAGCTTGTCAATTTCTGCACAAAGGCAGCTGGGATTTCTGATGGGGACTGCACCGACTGTGTAGATCAATTAGGGGAGTACTGTCATTGTCGCAATATTAGTAAGTCTTCCACCCCATGCACATGAGTGTCTAGCACTGACTTTTTAAACTCTGCCAAAGAAGAAAAACCAAAAAACTCCACGTGAGCAATCAGTAACGTGCTGAGGCACTCTTCATTACTGAACTGACAACCGACCCTGATAAGCAGAGCCCAGGAGGGGAGAAATGAACTCATTTCCACAGAAACTTCACACAGCACTTGTGCCTCTGGATAAACTAGGGCACACGCACATTGATGGGATGAGGATGGTCCCAGTTTCCACATTTTCTCAGAAGGGCAGAACATTGGCACCAAAATTTAGAGCAAATCCAGCCTTCGACGTTGCTGGGAACAATGGTGTGGAAGGAATGTGGAGAAATATTGCTCACCTGTACAGCGTCTCTGTGAAAGACTAAAAATAAACCTGTCAGGAGACTCAACTGCACAACCAAGAAATACGTCTATTGATTTGGGGAGAAAAAAAGCCCTGCACAAAGTAAGTGGTGAAATCATGTGACAACACTGCTAACACTGTTGGTGCCACACATGTTAATCAGAGCCATTTTCAGGTCTCACGAACAGGATAAGGGACATTCTTCTCAACAGAATCAGACCCTATGCCAGAAGGTGACAAAGAAATCACCCTGTTTTATGCTTTTCTTTAGACCAATTAAAGCATGCAGGCAAGTCTGAACTAAGCTAGCCTATAAAACCTCACATTTGTAAAAAAGAGGAATAAAAGCTGTTTAACATAAAATTGAACTGTTTTAGCGTGAATTATTTCAGCATCCTCCAGGTGACTCCGAGATGACCCGGTAACAATAGCCTTTGTTGGCCTGACCAGGTGAAGGCCTGACAGGTGAAGGCCTGACAAAGGAAACTGGCCCTTTCACATGACCGAGGTTTTGATTTTCAGAATACTATTCAAGGGAAAAGAATCTCTCCTCCTGGAGAGAAGAAGAACATAAGTAGTAAGAGAGGCCAGGGTGGTCCATGTTGCCCCAATTCCTAGAGACTCCAATGTACTCTCCACTTTCCTAAGAGAGACAAAGACAACCTAAACTCGACTGACAAAGCCTCAATGTGCAGGGACTGTTTGTGTGCCTGAGTATGCAGGGTAAGCAGGCACTTGGTAGAACCTCAAAAGGCTTTCATGAAATTCTATCAGTGTCCAATATCCTCTGTCCTGTGACACCCAGACAAGTTCTCAGAGCTCAGGCATCATCCTTGATTTTAACTTTTCTGTTGCCCTGTGAAGTATGAGCCATTGGGTCTGGCCAACATAGAATCTGCCCAGATGACCAGTAGACTTAGTATCTGAAATCTCCAGGAATGGAAGGCAAAGGGGGAGGCTGCCTGCAGTACAAATCTCATAGAGGTTTACAAATAATTTAAGAATCCTTTAGCTAAGACTCTAGGATAGCTTAAAAACCGACATTTTGCCCACTTCTCAGAAAGTCAGTGTCCAGAGAATTCCTGTGATTGACAAGTTTGTCAAGGAGTAATTTCTGGAAGCTTAAAATTTCTCTGCCCAGGAGGGCTGTGATGTCCAATTCATTCCCCATCTTCTGAAGATATGACAGGTGTGTCCACCCACACGGGCACAACAGGGAGCTGGAGGCCTTGCTGAGCCAAGCACTGAGCTACGGTCTAAGAACAGTGCTTTCAAATATCGTTACCACCTATTCTCCATTATTTAAGGCTAAAAGACTCCGGAGAACCAGTTTGATGTGGAATAGATCAGGGTCAAATCCTGTCTTTGATGCCACTGTGTGAGCCCAGCAAGGGCACTCATTCTCTTTCTCTCACAGAATAAAGTTGCGGACATGGCTGGTCAGGCGCGGTGGCTCACGCCTGTAATCCCAGTACTTTGGGAGGCTGAGGTGGGCAAATCACAAAGTCAGGAGTTCAAGACCAGCCAGGCCAACATGGTGAAACTCCATCTCTACTAAAACTACAAATATTAGCCAAGCGTGGTGGCGTGCCTGTAATCCCAGCTAATTGGGAGACTGAGGCAGAAGAATCGCTTGAAGCTGGGAGGCAGAGCTTACAGTGAGCGAAGATCGCACCACTGCACTCCAGCCTGGGCAACAGAGGGAGACTCTGTCTCAAACAAACAAAAAGTTGCAGACATGGGCAAACATTGCCTACCCCGTAAAGTGGTTTGTAAGGATCGTTGGCCACACTTGTAAAGTGTCTGGAAAACCTGAAAAGTGAGGTAAACAGGAAATGTCCTGCAATGGACAGGAGCAGGTCCCTCCTCCCCAAGAGTGAGGGGACCGTGGAATATGATGCAGGCTGGACACAAGAGAGGTGGGTGAGAGGCAGGTGAAGCTGGAAGAGCTGGGTCAGGATTAAGAGAAGGAGCCTAGAGCTGGGTATGACAGTACTTTGAGTCAGATAGGGAGGAGGGAAGAGGGACACAAGCCATGAAGGCATGGGGCCAGAGGACGGACCAACAAGGAGGCTAAGGGATATGTCACACACGACAACAACAGCAGTATCCATTCCTGTTCAACCTCTAAGAGGGCGACACCATGAGGGAAGGGAATTTGGTCACTATGGTATCTTTACCACCTAGGAGCTCAGTATTTGTTGAATGAATGAACGAACTAGTCCCTGTTTATTAAGATAATATGGTAAGTGCTTTACAGAAATGATCTCTTAGGTCTCCTGACAACTCTCTGAGGTTGGCTGTATTATTCCTATTTGACAGACTGGAAGACCACGACATAGAGAGGTCCAGGACTGAGCAAGGTAGGAAGTGGAAGATCCAGGATTCAAATGCCAAGATCCACGCTCTTCTGCTCTGCTATACAGCTACCCAGGCAACCCCGTCGTAGGCAGAAGCGGTCCCCTCCACCAGCCCCACCTGCTGGGACTCTTGCTTGCTAATTCCTGCCAGGCCCCAGGTTTTTTTTGTTTTTTGTTTGTTTGTTTGTTTTTTGAGATGGGGTCTTGTTCTGTGGCTGAGGCTGGACCACAGCCTGTGTGATCTTAGCTCACTGCAACCTCCACCTCCCAGGTTCAAGGGATCCTCTCACCTCAGCCTCCCGAGAAGCTGGGACTACAGGTGCATGCCACCACAACTGGCCAATTTTTTTTATTTTTTTTGTAGAGATGGAATCTCACTATGTTGGCCAGGATGGTCTTGAACTCCTGGACTCAAGCAATCCACCTGCCTTGGCCTCCCAAAGTGCTGGGACTACAGCTGTGAGCCACCATGCCTGGCCTGCTAACTCCTAATCATCCTTCGAAGCCCCATCCCAGCCTCTGGGAAGTCATCCCTGATGGCACTTGCCCAGCCTGCACTGGGCAGACACTGCTTCCTGGAGCGGATGTCCACGAGTGCTCTCATCACACTGCGCCCCAATTGCTTCTCTGTCCCCACCCCCAGAGGATGAGTCCCTGAAGAGGTGAGAACCGGATCGTCTTGTTCTGTTGTGTCTGTGGAGCGCTGGCTTAGAGTAACAGTGGAGGAAAGAGTAGCTGGATGTGTGAATCAACAATGAATCCTCTACTGAGGCTGACATGGAGGCCAGAGCCAGGCTACCTAGCAGCTCAGCACTCGGAGAGGCAGGCAGGTGGTCACGGACAGAGATCTCTGATGAAGGCCAGATTTGGGCATGTAAGATACACAAACTCAGAGGCAGAAGAAAATTATGGCGTGGTGAACCTTGGTTGCCTGGGTGGCACAAACTGTTCTACCACATCCTACTAGACAGGATGCTCGAAAAACAGGGAGCAAAGATAACAGAGAGAGAAAGAAAGAGCAGGCGGTGGGGGGAGGGAGGGAGAGAGGGAGAGAGGGAGGGAGGGAGAGAGAGAGGGAGAGAGGGAGGGAGGGAGGGAGGGAGAGAGAGAGGGAGGGAGGGAGGGAGAGAGAGAGGGAGAGAGGGAGAGAGGGAGGGAGAGAGAGAGGGAGGGAGGGAGAGGGAGGGAGGGAAAGAGAGGGAGGGAGGGAAAGAGAGGGAGGGAGGGGGGGAGGGGGGGGGAGAGAGAGAGAGAGAGAGAGAGAGAGAGAGACCGACCAACCATACTTGAAATCTGCAGAGGAGAAAACCATGGTGGTTTCAGCACTCAGACCTCTGAGACCATATCCCAGAGCCTGATCCTCCCCATAGAAGCGCACAAGTCTGGGCTCTCCACATCAAACAGCAGAGAGCCTGCACACCAGTGATGAGGCTTTGGGACTCCGCCAGCACCCCAGCAGGGTCCGTCCCGGCAGAACTCCATCGGATGGACGACGTGGGATGGGAAAGGCAGGAGGCGAGGCCGATGGGGAGAGAGCCCAAGCAAAGATGAGCAGTGCCAACAGGTTTAACTCTGTAGATAGGATCTTCTCCAAAAATCGAACACTGTGGTGCATAGACCAGTCCTCATTGTATAATATTGCCCTATGGGTGGTCACTGCACAAGTTTTCAACTTTTCTCCAAGTATGAAAACCTTCACAAAGAAAAACAATGGAAATACCAATAGTATTCTCCTTACAGAGAGCAGAAAATATCAAGAACAAAACATGAATGGCCAGTGATTGCAAAGTGTGAGGTCACCAGGACCAGAATGGCACAGGCTCCACACCAAAACAAAGCTGCATGGTCACAAAGAAACAGCAGCCTGAAGCTACCACACTGGAATGGCCACTCTTCATTCCTTCAATAACTGATGCATGGGATTTACAGGAAGAGAATGAGGAGCACTGGCTTCTACCAACGCTCAACACAGTTTCTTGGGGCATGTTAATTTCTATGAACTGTGATTACACAGGCAGGGTTAGAATTTCTGTAACACTGAATAAAAATCCTCTAACACCTTCAGTTGTCTAAGTCACAGAAGAAAATCCAACCAAAGGAATGACAGCCTAAACAATAATGACCAAATGATCAATTCTTACTGCAAATCTGAGGTATACAAAATGGAACCCCCATCATGAAAATCATTTTAAACCAGAAAATGTAGCATATTCACATCTGCTTATTACGTGCAACTGTGTTCAAAGACTGTCCAACTTGCTGAATGCCATTACCTAAAAGCAATGCAGAGCATGATACACAAAAAACACAACACCCCCACAACTAGGAGATTGTTGAGTTAGGTCTTGACAAGGAGCCAACTGGGCAGACAGCCAAAGACGAATAGTAAAGGAGGTTCATTTGATCCCTCTGTGCAATCAGGGACAGATGGGCTGGTCAACAAAAAACAACAAACTATAAAGAACTTCTGGTCTGTGCTGGTAAATTTGTTATACTTCCCTGCAAAGCTGTAAATAACCAGCTCTCTCACAACAGCCCATTTTCCCAAACCTCCTAATTCTGCACAGCCAAAGCAAACACAGCCTTTGCACTGTGCCCAGAGGGCTATTTGGCCCCAGCTGCTGCTCTGCCTTATTTTAAACCTGAGCTTTGCTTCATGGGTTGGATCCTCCTTCTTAGACAAAGGCAGTTCTCGATCATTTCCAACGGCGCGCTGGGGAGCAGCCACCTTGGACGGCATTCTGGCTCCCGCCCTCACACTACCTCCTCCTCATTACAACTAGGCCACTATTTTCTCCTTACGCCAAGTTCTTTTTTCTTTTTGTGCTTATATCCCATGTTTGGGAACATCAAAGCATCAGAGCCTACGTTCTCTAGACTAAGAGGAAGTCACCGTGTTGTAGGGCATTTCTAGCACTAAATATAACCTTGCTCTGCCAATGTCTCACTTAGTTGACCCATGTTTACCAAAATTCTACTAAATGAGCGCTGTGGCACTACAGTGCGATAGAAGAATTGCTCAGAAGGCAGAGCGGCATCCTCAGGCTGCTCGAGGTCCGGCTGGAGAAAAGGCATCTGTGCATTTAAGGCACAGCCAACACTCAAAAAGAGGAAGAGGCTGTGATTCAAATGGGGCTTTCAAACAGGACGTGCTCTGTGAACTCAGATCACTGTGGGCTGGGGTGATCAGAGGCAGTGCTCCAGAGGTGGCGCTTCAGAGGGACTAGAAAGATGTGTAGAATTCAGCCAGTCAGGGGAGAGAAAGGGAGGGAGGGAGGGACCTGCTTCATCTTCACAAAGGAACAACAGCAAAAGTGTAAACTGTAAACCCAGAAAATATCCACTTCCCTAAGATTTGTGCAAACTCTTCAGCCTTTAATAAAATCTACAACAATGAAAGGTGAGGGGTTAAAATAAAAAATGCTACTAGCCATTAATATATAAAAGGAATATATATATGTATATATATATACACACACACACATAATGTTCATGAATAAAACATGCAAAATTCTGCAATTTATTAAAATACTGAACTACTTACTCTCCTAGACTTCGGTCACAAAAGGTAAATGCATTTGGGAGAAAAACAACAATATTCAGTTATAGTACAAGAACTTAAAATAAAATAGAGCTCACCAAACTGCCAACAGGGAACTTTATGCTCTGTCAAGTAGTTTAACAATTCCTCTAAAATCACTAGATATACATTTAGACACATTCCTTTTATTGACAAGGAAATGGATTTATACTAAATTCACATTATGATACCCACATTGTAGTGAAAATATAGTAAAATTATCTTTAACACTTTTTAATGGCTTTTTTAAAACAAGTCCCCACAACACAAATTGTCCCTGACGTGTTAGCACACAGAAGCGCCATTACAGAAAGAGGGGAAGTAAGAGAACTAAGGATTTCTGTCTGTCACTACGGAGGCAGCTGTAAGAAAAGCTCATGCCTCATATCGTATAGAACACAACCTCAGGGCTGGCAGAGCCCCAGCTGGTCTCCTGCTACGTGCCTAGGCCCAAAGGGGCAGAGTCCACGTATGTCAGGGTAGGGAAACGACAGAGGGCCAGGTACAGGATAAGCAGCAAAAGGACACATGGTCTCTGCGACGAAGCCGCCAAGAGCTCCTTATCTAGCAACTGACAGAGCACAGGGTTTACACACCGCCATTAAGGCCATGCATGTAGTAAATGCTTCCTCCTGAAATAAACATATTTTAAAAGATGGTTTTACAGAACTAAATTGCAAGAATACATTAAATGTTTTCCTGCTGCCTGACACAGCCCGAGCGAACTGTGAGCTCCTAGAAGATATGAACTTCATGTTTTTCAGGCCCAAAGCCTCCAAGAATGGGGCTAAAACTGCAATCTTTCAAAATTAAATCCCCTCACCTCTTTCTGTTCAACCTGCAATGCGGATTTCAAAATATCTCGAAGCTGTATCAACTGCCTTCTTTCTTCATCCTGGGCCTGTTTGATCTTTAAAAACACACACACAACAGAACGAATCAGAAAATTAAGACTGAGGTACAGTGAAACGTCGGTGCTCATGGGGCCATTTCCACACAAAGCGACAACTGCCTCCCTCGCTAGTCAAACCTTCCCTCCCACCATGACAGAGGACCGGCGTGGGAACGCCACACTCCACGTGGGCGGCACAGCATGGAAACACAGGATTACACAGAAGCAACATTTAGAGGAAAATGTCTGTTGCATTAAGACAGTTTTAACACCGCGGTGGGAGGGAAGCTACTCACCGTGTGAAGATCTGTAGACAGCGTTTCAATGGAAGGTTTGAGGCTTTCCACGGCTTTGAGTCCATCCTGAAAAAAACTAGCAGGAAAAAGAAGAAACAGAGATGACACTTCACACAGGAAAAAATAATTTTGTCAGACAGATTAAAAAACTTCTTTAAAGTGACTGAAGTCATTATGTAACTCCTGGGGGAAAAGACTGTATGAACAGAACCTTAAAATATCAGGCAAACCAAGAATAAAATGACACTCAAAATTAGCAGGAGCAAATAGAAAAGGAATTGCAATAAGCTTAAGTATTTAAGATTTTTCTCAACCCATATAAAATGAGGCCTTGATTTTCAGTTTATAACGGGAGTGGGTTCTGCTCACAAATGGCAGCAACGGCTTTGATTGATTTCTTCTGAGCATCCAAACAGAAGCATATGAAGCTAGAAAGGCATGGGGCACAAGTGGAAGACACTAAAGAATGTGCCGCAACATGTGACCGCTACATGGAAAAGAGAAGGAACGCAGAGGCTGGGTGCGGCAGCTCAAGCCTGTAATCCCAGGGTGAGGGATTTGGGGAGGCCGAGGCGGGAGGATCACTTGAGACCAGGAGTTCAAGACCAGCTGGTCAACACAGCGAAACCCCTAAAAATACTCTATTAAAAATACACACACACAAAATATACAAAAATACAAAAAGCTACTACTCGGGAGGCTGAGGCACAAGAATTGCTTGAATCCAGGAGGTGGAGGTTGCAGTGAGCCGAGATCGCACCACTGCTTTCTAGCCTGGCGACAGAGTGAGACTGCCTCCAAAAAAAGAAAGAAAGAGACAGACAGAAAGAAAGAGAGAGAGAGAGAAAGAATGCAGAAAAGAACCAAGCAGCTTTGATGGCTACACTCTGTATCTGTGGGGTAGGACACCGTAGATGGAGAACTTGATATTTGTATCAAGAGGAATTTTTTTTTTTTAAGGCTGAAAACTCAATGCCATGAGGTCACCTATAACAAGTGATTCAGGAAATGCAACAGAGGCTGGACAAGTTTTTCCGCTGCAGTCATGGGCTGGTGTTCAGTGCCGCCGCCTCTGGAGGGTGCTGTGTGTAACCCTTTTGAGAGGAATGAAGAAAGGGCATTTCCATGAGCCAAGGAGAAAGTTCTAACCCATAACGAGGTCTCCAGGGCCCATGTAATGCGGCCCCTGTCTGCAGCTCCAGTCTCAAACCACACCATTCTATCCACTTTGTTTACACAGATCCAGACACACCGGCCTTTTCTCCCTTCCTCCGTGGCCACCAAGTTCTCCTGCCCCAGGCCCTCTGCACTCCGTTTCTTCTCTCTAAAGGCTTCTCCTAAGGTGTGTCTGCTTTGCCTGGTTGATTCCCACTCATTCTTCAAGTTTTAGGTTAAACATACCCTGGTTAGCCAGGCCTTCCATAATCCCCTACAAGTTATTCCCCTATAAGAGGCCTTCTTATACTTTCTCAGGGCATTTTGTATTTTTCTGCAAAACACTTGTTGCACTGCAATTATGTATTCATTAGTGTGATTGTTTAAAACAGAATTCCCTCATTAGATCTGAAGTTCTAGGAGGCACAAAGTACCCGCAAAGTCTGGCGTATTTCAAGCACATGCCATTTATTGAATGAATAAATAACTTAATGAAGGATGGACTGTCACCAACTTTAACCAGTTTATTGGATTACAAGGAGACTATCTTTAAAAAGTGATCCGGGTTTTGCATGTATCATGTGAGATGATGTTTACTTCTTTTAAACTCAGCAGTAGCTCTGTGGGCGTTTCCCAGACCAAGTGCATGACACACAAAAGGCGCTGTGAAAACACTGCAGTGTGACGTTTAATGCAGCAACTCCAAGGAGGAAGGAGAGGGACACACAGGCTGTGGGGCATGAACACTGACCTGTGTTTATTAGGAGTCACAGAGGTCAGGCTGTTAGAATGTTCTCATTCATCGTTAGATAGACACACCATTCTTTATGTTATACTCTTGTTCCTGTATTTTAACAGGTTTTTTTCTGAATACAGAGTATGTTTCTGAACTCATCTAATTCTTGTATTTTATTTACGTGTTTTTCTTTATGTAACTATTTTCTTAATCACTTCAAATTCTTGTGAAATAGGTAGGAGGACAGAGATTTCTAAGACCTAAGATAAAGAATAGGAAAAATATTACAGGTGATAAATGTAAAACCACCCAGGGAGAGGGAGCAGGTGTACAGCTCCAAGAACCTTTTCGACCTGGCAATTCTCCCTACAGTGAGAGGGAGGGAGGGAGAGGGAGGGAGAGGGAGGGAGGAGGGAGAGGGAGAGAGAGGGAGAGAGAGGGAGAGAGAGGGTGAGGGAGAGAGAGGGAGAGACAGTGAGGGAGAAGGAGAGAGAGAGAGAGAAGGAGGGAGAGAGGGAGGGAGAGAGAGAGGGAGGAGGAGGGAGGGAGAGAGAGGAGGGAGGAGAGGGAAAGGAGGGAGGGGAGGGAGGGAGAGGGAGGGAGGGGAGGGGAGGGGGAGGGGAGGGGGGGGGGGAGGGGGGGGAGAGGAGGGAGGGGAGGGAGAGAGGGAGGAGGAAAGAGGAGGAGAGGGAGGGAGAGGGAGAGGTGAGGGAGAGGGAGAGAGAGAGAGGGGAGGGAGGGAGGGAGAGAGAGAGGGAGGGAGGGAGAGGGAAAGAGAGGGAGGGAGGAGGGAGAGGGAGAGGGAGGGAGGAGGGAGAAGGAGGGAGGAGGGAGAGGGAGGGAGAGAGAGGGAGGGAGGGAGGAAGGGAGGGAGAGAGAGTGTGTGTGTGAGAGCGAGAGAGAGCGCGCGTGAGTATGAGCCCTGTAGTGGAATCAAGTGCTGAGAGACTTCTCGCCAGGACACAGTTTCCAGCATGACATTGAATGGTGTACTTGGAACAACAATATGAATTTGGATTTAGATTTAGAATTCATCTTTGTAATAGCCCAGCCAACCTTCACCATCCACCTACCTGGAAAATCTCCTCCCTCTGATTTTTCAAAGTGCTGACCTTCCCGTACCCTCCTTGAGGCATGTCTTGGCACCCAGACACCCCTTCAAAGTGCACTCAGCCCTGGCGTCAGGAGAAGCTTCAAGAAAAGGAACACTATTCCCTCTCCGCTGGCTGCTGTCACTATGACAGTCCTAAGTACACAGCCCCAGCAAATTTTCTTGAGCCCATTAACACTTCTCCAAGCTTCACAGAACTTTTACCATCAACATTACCCAATCAAATTTTGTTGTCTATTAAACATTTTCTAGCCTGCCTCGCCAGGCTAGAAGGGGTGTATTTCCAGCCTTTAAAATATGCCCACTTAGAGGCAATCATCAAATCCACCAAGCAGAGTAGCCCCTTTCATCTCTGGGCCCCACACACCGTGCTGGGGCCCCTCCTGCAGCCTTCACGCTACCACATTCCAATGCGGTGTCTGCTGATGAGGTCTGCTTATGACACCCGCTGCTCCCTCCTCTGCGAGCTTCTGCAGCATCCGGGGCTGAGGCTCATCTTGACCATGCACCCGAAGTTCACTGAGCGATAGCTGGTCACAGTGGTTTCCAGCAGGTATTGGCTCAAAGAACAAGTCAATTCAACACTCATCACCTTTCCAACCATGGCTGTCTTTTTTTTTGAGACAGAGTCTCGCTCTGTCGCCCAGGCTGGAGTGCAGTGGCACGATCTCAGCTCACTGCAACCTCCGCCTCCCGGGTTCAAGCAATTCTCTAGCCTCAGTCTCCCGAGTAGCTGGGACTACAAGTGTGCACTACCGCATCCGGCTAATTTTTGTATTTTTAGTAGAGACCATGTTTCACCATGTTGGCCGGGTTGGTCTGGAACTCCTGACCTCAGGTGATCCACCCCCGTTGGCCTCCCAAAGTACTGGGATTTCAGGCATGAGTCACCATGCCTGGCCAAACCATGGCTGTCTTTGTTTTCTAATATTATAATGCCCCACTTCGATTCCGCTAGAGTACAGGATCTTCAATGCTCAGCGGCAAAGGCTAGCAAGACAAGTTTTCAAGATATTCCAGGAACGAGGTTGAGATGAAAATTCCTTCCTTAAATGAAATAAAAATAAAAGAACATGAAGTATTCTTTAAGAACACTTAAACTGTAAAGAAAAAAAATGAAGAAAAAGCAAAATAACGCATATCTAAGTAGTTCCAAGGGTCAATAGCCAAACCGAGCCCTGGAATCTAGTTTACACAGTGGCCTCTTCACCCTGGCGGAGCACAGCAGCACGCAGAGGCCCATGTCTGCCCAGCAGGGCACAGCACCCACCAGGCAAAGCCGTGCCTTTGGGGACGGGAAGCGGAGACTGGGCGTGTGTGACGGGGGAATGAGAGGAGCTCCCACACGTGGAAACATGCACGGCTGTGAGCTCTTCTCTCTCTGCAGCTGAGTTGCTCGGGCTCCACGTTGTATCCTCCAGAACGTGAATTAAGAAAGTCAAAGCTGCTTGACTGATTTGAAGAGCAGGCAGCGTACACACTCTCTCTCATATCCAAAAAGGAAGTAATGGAAGATTCATATTTTTAAAGGTTACTGAGCTCATGTCCATAAAAGGCCAACTACTTCACTTTTCCACAAGTGGTCTGTTGCTACCCAACTGATTGGTTTGGGCAAAATAAAGGGAGGGAAAAAAGGAAATCCCAGAATAGCTTCTTCTTAAAAATAAAATATCAGCAAGGAAGCGACCCACTTCCTAAATTGCCTGACATAAGAACTGAAGAAGTAATTTGCATGCTCATCACAAAGTTAAAATTTTGAGTCTCCATAAAATAATTCATCTTGAAAACTATACAATTTCAAGGTCTTTTCCACCCACTAAGTAGAGATTAGCTGTCTTTTAAATTTTTTTAATATAAATTCATGGGGTACAAACGCAGTTTTGTTACAGGCCTGGTGGTCGACTTAGGGCTTTCAGGGTATCCAACACCAGAATAACATACATTGTACCTATTAAGTATTAATAATTTCTCATCATCCCCACTCCCCTCACCCTCCTGAGACTCTGTTGTCACTCTGCTCTCTACATCCATTGGTATGCCTTTTTTAGCACCCACTTAGGAGTGAGAACATGCGATATTTGTCTTTCTGTGGCTGGCTTGTTTCACTTAAGATAACGACCTTCAGTTCTATCCCTGTTGCTACAAAAGACATAATTTCACATTTTTTTTTTTTTTTAAATGGCTGAAGATCTCTTTTAACTTTGGATGAACCACTCGGCACATCCTCCTTTGCCACCTGACCTCAAGTGCTTTAGAAATGCAACATCATCAAAGCTGTATTAAGAATTCCAAAGCAGAGCTCAGTTCAATTCCACAGCGTAATTCACTGCTGCAAATCTGCGCCAGGTAAATGCGCCACACACTGCAGATATAAAACAAATCAATGACATGGCCTCTTCCTTAGGAGCGTAGAGTTCAGCAGCAGAGATACACGAGGAAGATGTCATCATGGAGACAAGTAGAGGTGTGGCGGCAACACAGGAGGAAGAAAAGGCAAAAGGAAGAAGCATTGCAAAGCAGGAATGATCCATGAGCTGGGTCCTAGGAGGAACAGAAGACAGGGAGGGCACAGAGGAAGGAGGCCTTCTAGGAAAAGAAACAATTGTGTACAAAGGTAGGTCGCTGGCGGCATAGCCTGCTCTGGGAAGGTAAGCAGACAGGCGTGGCAATTCCACAAGGAAAAGATTTCTCGTCAGTCCACACCTTTCACTCCCGCTGTCACAAGGTCAGCTGGGCCATCGTCATCTCTGGGCTGCACAGGGACAGGAGCTGTGTTTCCAAGCAATTGCCCACATCCACCCTTGTCCTATCTGGTTCCTTCTCCGCAACATGCAGAGTAATCTTGTTACAGCCGAGAAGCTTCCTGAAGCTGCTTCTAACCAACACCACTGTCTCTCTCCCCATCACTGTTTTGCCTTTTCATAAACTCAGTTAAATATTGGCTCGTGCTTCCTACTTGCCTCCCCCATGAGACCCCAGGGTCCGTGAAAGCAAGAACTTTGCTTTCCTCCTTACTGCATCACCAAAACCCCTAATAGCACCTGGCACATCACAGGAGTGCAAACAAATGATCCTCTGCTTCAATCTCTTCAAGAGCTTCCCAACACATTTGGGATAAAATCTAAAACCTTATGCAAGAGGTCTGGGGCTGTCCACATCCCTAAGGCTTTTCTATGCAGTTTCGTTTCAGGCCACTCTCCTTTTCACTGAGCTGATGTCACCTTGTCCTTTTTCCTGCCTGAAGACCTAGACCCTGCCTGGAACGTTCTTCTCCCACTCCTTATCTGCTGGCTCCTACTTATACTTTAGATCTCAGATCCATGTCTCCTCAGGGAGGTCTGCCGCTCATTCAAGAAAGAGCCGAGTACCTACTGTGTTCCAGGCACCGCGTGCTGGCTGTTGGAGACTGTATCAGGTAACAAAATAGAAAAACAAAAACCAAAAAACCCTACCTTAAATCTTTATCTATATCAGGTCCTTCTATTATATTCTTTCTTAGATTCCTATACTTTAAAACACTTTTGTAAACATCTAATTAGAAATTCATCTCTTTCAGTCCAACTTCCCTACTTGACTATTCGAGCAGGAACTATGCCAGCTTTGTGCATCACTGTGCCTCTGGCCTCTGGTCCAGCGCCTGACATACAGCATGTGCTCAACAGAAGTGTGTTGGGTGGGTGAGTGAAGGAGCCAGGGGCCTGTCTATATCAGTGACTGGGGGACGAGGAGCAGAAGCCAGGTCAGAGACGTGGGTCAGACTGAAGTACTGACATACATGGCAAAGCTGAGTACTTGAGCAGCCCCTGCAGGTGGAATTCTCTCCTACTCCTCTACTAACATCTTCCTTTGCTCATCACAGTCCTTGGCTCTACAGGATAAGTAATATATAAGAGTGTTTTCTTATTTTAAAACACTGCATTAACACCATACCATTTCTCTTTTAACAAACATCTGAGAGATGCGCAATAGGTTAAATTAGTTTGTCCCTCTACAAAAAGAGCCAAAAATAAATATATTTGGCAATGACTACAGATTTTTTATATTGAACATATGATTTTATTTTTAATGAAGATATAATCCCCAAGCCATAAAATTCATCCTTTTAAAGTGATTTTTAGTAAATTCACAAAGTTGTGCAATCATTAGCACTCACTTCCAGAATATTTTCAATATCCCACGAAGAAATCCTATACCTGTGAGCAGTCATTTCTCATTTCCTTCTTCCTCCAAGCTGCGGCAATCACTCATCTGCTTTTTGTCTCTGTTCTGTCTGTTCTCAAGGTTCACCCGTGTTGCTGCATGAGTCAACACCTCATTCCCTTTACTAGAGACTTCTACGCGAGTGTTTATTTCCTACGAGCTATCTATAGGTGTCCCAGAAGTTGCCATACATGAAGAAACATTTAAGATAACATCATAACAAAGAAGAACTTACTTGCATTGGGCATGAAAATATTTGATCAGATTCTGAAGTAAATCCACTCCCTTTTTAATCTTGATTTCGTTGACCTTCAGTAGATACTGTTGAAAAATGAAAAGGAAATGTCACAAAAGCAAGCAGAATATGATTTTAAAAGGAGCTTCTGAGGACTGAGATGATTTCTGGTACTTCTTTGGCATCTTTCACAATGCATAGAGTGCATGATTGACACTTAGTATCTCCTGGATTCCATAACCATTTCTTTATTTTGGGGCCATATGAATTATCTGACAGTCAGATAATTAAATATTTAAGTGCCAAAAACTCCTAGTAATAAGACAGTCTATCTTAGCCTGCTAGGAGAAATCTTCACTCCAGCTGCATGGAAGACTATGGATGGTTCAAATAAATGGGATTTCTAACCATCTCAAACATACTTCTTCCCAAGGTCCCTTTCTTTAAGAACACTAATTGCTAACATATTGTAGCTGAGATGCTTGGCATTGTGTCTCTGGTCCTGAGACATTTTCCTTACACGTAAAATAATGTGATTGTTAGAAAAAAACAAAGTTTAATTGAAATGAATTAAAGCTATTTTTAACTTGGAGAATTCATTAGTGACCACGAAGATATCAGAAAGCCTCAGGGAGCTACCAAACCAGTGTCAGGAAATAGAAGGACTTCATGAGTCCCCATCTCCTCCGCTGTCAGGAGACGATCTCTGAGACGGAATGTCCCCTGGAAAAGCTGCTGATTCATGCCCTGGCTATCAGCTGTAAACGATGGGCGGGGGTGGGGTAGGGGTACCCAAGTTCAGATGCTCACTGAGGTCTCTCTGCAGCCCAAGGAGGAGGTGGAAAGCTGCTGTGAAACTGTAAGCTACAAATTGTCCTTCTGCCTGTAACAACTACCTGTAGGTCCTTCTTTCCCTCTTTCTTTGATATTTATTAAATATTTGTCAATGTATCAACTTTTTAAATTTTGACCTAGAAATTCTACTTCCAGGGATTTATTCTAAGAAGATAACCACAAAAGTTTACAAAGATGAACAGAAAAGGAGATACACTGCTATCTTGTTTATAAAAGTAAACAATGGCAACAGCCCAAACGTAATGAGTAGGACATTAACATATGGTGCATCCATACAGAAAATACTGTGCAGCCACTAAGCCAATAAAACCCACAATTTCTGACATGGACATCAACATACTAGAGAGTGAAAATAGGTTATAAAGCATCAGCAGAGAAAGATCTACTTATACAAATTTTTTTGAATGTATACACAGGGACATGTAAAGATGTTTAGTTAAATGTCAAAGTGGTTATCTTTGGGTAAGTAAAATTTGGGGGCAATTTTTAATTCCTTTTATATATATTTTCTTATATTAACCAATTTTCTTAAAAAGCATATACTATTTTTACAAACAGCAACAGAGGATCTCTCGCACCTTCTCTACTCACAGAAGGTCTGTATTACCTATTTGACATACTGAATTTCTTTATTAAATGAATTTTGAAGAAAGGGCTCCACAGCTTTAAAATAAAAGCCTGAAAGCCACTGTTCTAGATTAGATCCTGGGCAACTAAAATTTTCAACACCTAAACAATAGCAAGCACTTAAAGTTTGAGAACTTCAGTTTGCGGAAACAGTCAAATAATTTTAAAGTCACGTTTTTTGTCTGTTTTTGTTTTTTGTAGAGACAGGGTCTCACCATGTTGCCCAGGCTGGTCTTGAACTCCTGGGCTCAAACAATCCTCCCACCTCAGCCTCCCAAAATGCTGGGATTACAGGTGTGAGCCACCCTGCCGGGCCTTTTAACATGATTTTAATGGAGGCAATCTAATTCACTTCAGAGTTAGATTCTCAAGGAACTGTTATTCAAATGATCTTTCTCACCTATGCAAAGAAAGGCCTTCACAGCCCATGACTATCTGGCCAACTTCTACACTCTTCATCAGATGTCTTCTCCTGTGAAAACTCTGAGTTTACTGTTAGATAAGCCCACCTCTGCTTTTATGCATGCATATACTACAGCTCTCACTCAACTGTGAAACATTAGTGCCTGACCCCTCCAAGTGCCAGCTCTGCAGAGCCAGGACCCAGCACTACCTGAGGACTGCTCAAAAGATGGCTCAAGTCTATGACTTAGAGGCATCATCTATACAGTGTATTTCCATTAAAATAAATGACTTAGTCAGTTCACAGGATCAATTCACCTGGACACAGAAGAGAAGAAGTAACCAGTGCAAGGTGCATATACCACAGCAAGCAACGACAGAGCCAGTGGAGAACCCAGTTACTCCTTAAGTCATGGCTACGACCTTCACACACTACTTGAATTTCAAAATTTCAGTATGCATTTTAAGTAGTCTTAAAGTGTTTAGGTAAATTGATTTCTACTTTACTAACCAAAAAGAGCATGACCTGAACACAAATACCCCTTTCCAAATTCATCCTTTCTAAAACACTACTATTTAATTTCACCCTGATTGTTTGTAAAACGCTACTACAGTACTTAATTAGAAACAATATCCTTACAGAAGGAGGATTGAAAAAAAAAATACTCTGTGCTTGTATAACACACAGCAGTTTCCTAGTCCCTGTCTCATGCTGTTTTGCTGATTTCTCTGCCACTCTATGAGGTAGGCCAGGAAGGTGGTATTATACATATGTGCTTTTCTTTTGAGAATGCAACCTATTATACTATACATATGTGTTTACAAAAAAAAAAATGTGCATAAAAACATCCATTCTCCTATCCACAAGAACCCTTTAAGTTTAATTAAAGGCCTTATCTTGAGAATTCATTTCATCAAGTGAATATTTAAAAATACTCGCTTGTTTTTCCAGTGAATATCTCTAAACATTCAATGAAAAACAAGGCAATAAAGTGGGAATAAAGGAGCAAAAGACACGAGACAGACATAAAAAAAGTAGAAGAACAGAAGTAAATCCAATCATATCAATAGTAACATTTAACGTTAATGGATTAAACAATCCAATCAAAAGGCAGAGATTGTCAATCTGATAAGAAAAACATGATCCAGCTACCTATATTATCTATAAGAGATACACTTCAGATTCAAAGATGTACACAGGCTGAATGTAAAAGGGTGCAAATAGTAACCAAAAGAGCTGGAGTGGTGATATGGTTTCAATGTGTCCCCTAAAAGTTCACGTGTTGGAAACTTGGCCCCCAGTGCAGCAGTGTTGACGGGTAGAACCTTTGGGAGGTGACTGGGTCATGAGGGCTTTGCCCTCGTGAGTGGATTAATCCATTCATGGATTACTGAGGGAGTGGGACAGTTATGAGAAGAGTGGGTCTCTTATTAAAAAGCCAGTTTAGCTGTCTCTTGTGAGGCCCCCACCATGTGATATCCCGCACTGACTCAGGACACTGCAGAGTCCCCACCAGCAAGAAGGTCCTCACCAGATGCAGCCCCTCAACCTCGGACTTCACAGCCTCCAGAACTAGGAAAGAAATTTCTTTTCTTTATAAATTACCCAGTCTCAGGTATTCAGTTATAGCAACAGAAAACAGACTAAGATAAGCAGATATTCTAACCTTAGACAAAATGGACTTAACTTTCAACCGCTACCCTGATTCCTGGGACTGATTTCCCTCTGCTGACCACTTAAGAGCTTGCTCTGGTAATAAAAACTCATTTAAATACATTTCTAAGATAAATGTATTTACAAGGGTTAAGCTCCTGCTGCAATTAACAAACATACATTCCAAAATCAGAAAGTGCCTTCTGGATTAGCTTTGCTGTTGATTGCTTAGAAGGAATTAAGAGCTGGCCAATGCCAGTTTCAATGCCTGTCACAAACATCACCCATGCATTTTGTATATTTGAAACCTAAGTTTGCACCACTATGAGAGGGAAACAAATGCCATCCAGGGCGAGGGAGCTTCACTGGCACTGCCAGGAGGAACCAACCCCAGGCAGAGGTGGCAGCTGTTTCCATGTGCCATTTGTATACACGTACCTGGCAAGCAAGGCACAAAAATAAAAAAGCTGTGAGCAAAGGCCTTCATGATCCACGGTCTCTGATCTCAGAGAAATGCTCTGAGAGTGTCCGTCCTGCTGTCTCCCCCTAAGGGATGGGCTGAGGCTGCGGGATGGAGTGGAGCAGACAGGCGCTCCCCAGGCCACCTGGGCCTTCAGGCTGGATGAGTGCCCCTGCCTGAGCAAGTGAGGTCTAGGAGGAAGTCAAACGGGTGACTTGGCTTCCCATTCACTCACATACACTGACACAGGCCATAGTCTGTCATCGCTGTATGGTGTTTTCAGCTGACTTCTCACCCTCCCACAAGCCAGTCACTGACTCCACTGGTACAAGAGAACTCAGACATCTCATTTAAATACACTCAAGGAATAAGTATTTTAGCAAGAGTATGTATGTGAGGCCAGAAAGAACATTCTATACATTTAGTGGTTTTTCTCTACTTTTAAGAAAATGTTGGTGTTAAAGTAACCTAATTCTACCCTCCAGGAAGCTAGCACTTCCCTAGTAAAATAAATGTCAACACAGGGGCAAAGGGAGTCCAATAATGCATGTGGCGTTTTCTCTGAAGCCACAGGTATCGGTGAGACGCTCCCACAGGTGAGGGCAGAGCCGGCACAGCCTGGGCTGTAGGACCTGCCTTCACCACCGCCTTACCTCGCACATCTGCAGCTGGAAGAAGCGCCTCTCCTTTTCCATCTCTTCCGCAATTTCCGCTCCGCTTATTTCAGTCCGAATCATCCCATGGAGCTTGGCGTGTTCCTTTTTCTCCTTTTCTATCTTGGTTCTACGTGTGAAAGCAAGGATCAATCAAGATGCCTGTTGGCACGGAACTCAATGGGACAGCCTTGAAGCCGCCCCAGTACCCAGCGTGGCAAGACCAATGCTCACCACATGCTTCAGCACAGGCGGCCTCTTAACTCCCTCAAAAGGAAAATGGGTGTCCTCATGAAGATGTCAAGCTGGGCCTTCCCACTTACTCAGCAAGTACTTCCTAAGCACCTGCTTTGAGTCAGGTATGGGTCAGAGGAGGCGGGAAGTCTGCACAGGGCTTGGAGGGTTCCTTCGGCATCAGCATTCGGAGCCTGCCTGCCCTCTAGTAACCCAAGGGCACTGTCTGACTCTTCCCCGCCCACTGTTTCTCCTCCTGGACTTCCTCCCTAGTCTCTGTCATCACCTCCTCACTCAGTGAAGCCACACCAGTTCTCTGCCTTGACCTACAACACCGCTCATCACTGTAGAAGACAACCAACCACCTTTCCATGCTGTCGGCTTAATTATCCTTTCCACATTCATCTCGTGCCTAACCTGTATTACCTAAAGGTCGAGTGCGCAGTTCAGGGTAAAAACTGACCAACGAGCACATCCAAAAAAGAGTCACCACGGTAAAAAGGAGCCACAAAATCATGTTTGCTAAGGTGGGCTTGAAATAGCCATGAGTTTTTATTCTGGAGAAAAGGAGACTAAACAAAACCAACAGCACTCAAAAAACGGAAAGGGCTGCCATGAAGACAAGGGAAGCAGCTCTTTCTGTAGAGCCTTAAGTAGACACCACAAGACCCAAATAGCATGTTCTTTCAAAGGCATCCAATGATGAAATGGGCTACGCGGGGTTCCAGAGGGTTCCCTGTCATTAGGGTGAGGAGGACTAGAGTGTTTAAGACGAGGCAAGAAATGTCATTTCTCTGTGTGTCCTGCACTGTGTAGGTTCTCAACAATTTGAAGGAGTGAAGGAGCAAATGAGTGAAAAATAAACACACAAGAGACCCTTGGGGAGGGATGTTTAATGAGTTTACGCATCCGAGAGGGAATGTGACTGGAGGGTCCCTGGGACTAGAACTAGACAATTCCAAGGTGTCCCTGACACTCCTTCACAGGCAAGAGACCATCCAGACACTGGTCATTTCTCTTAATAATCAGGTATGGGACTATTTGCCCAGGAATTTAAAAGACATCTAAAACCTATTATGGTTGTTACATATCACTAAACCTCTTGGGATAAATGAATCTCCCACATTAATAAAAAATTACTTCCTTTATTTATCCTACAATTACTTCAAGTTTAAAGGGTACTGCTCCCTCCTCCTAAATTCTAGGGTTTTATGAGGAATTCTGTCCCCTTTCTACCCATGTGTGTCTCATTTTTACAGAATTTGATGTTATCCTCCTTCCAAACCTTTTCTTTTCAGAACCAGACGACTCTCTCAGGCACTCTTCTTCAGAAAGCCCTTTCTGCCCTTGGTCTAGTCACAACACAGTACCATTTCCCATCAGCCACGGAGAGGGCAGCAAGTGCGGCTGAGTGAAGCGGGAAAGCTGCCTGGCCTGGCTCAATTACTCTTACTGGCTGACGAGCAGAAACCACTGACTCTTGGTTTTCCCTCTGCAAAGCAGGAATCCACTGGTCCCTTCCATTTATTTCACCCAACTGGCACACAGATCAAGGATGCTGACAGACCAGGGATCCCAGGTGGGGGCCTCCCCGGGCTGAACAGACCTGCAGGGTTCTCTAGTCAACACTCTGCCTGTGCTTCTGAATGAATGCACACCATCACTGAAACTACAGAACTCAGGGCCAAGCAACCTCGGGTATGGAAATGTAAGATTCCCATGGATAGAAGGAGTATCAAAGGTGTGGGGCTCACTGAGTTGAGCTTTGTGATCCTTCCCCAGTGAAAAGATATCCAAGGAGAGTTTTTTTGTTTGTTTTGTTTTGTTTTTTGTTTTTTTTAACCAAACAACCTAAAGAAATACTTGTACTTAGATTTGAATGACTTCCTCATAACACCTTTTACTTTACCAGATAGCTTCATATGAAAGATTCATATGTTTCTATTTCCAATCAGAACACTCAACATTACCCAAGGCACAGAGATTACAAAGTAAACACCACCATATTTCATATCTTTCCAGTATTTAAAATAATTGAAGCCATTATTCCCCCCACAATTACTTGCTTGATCAATTCCCTGTAGCTTGACTCTCTCTACAATAGGGATGGGAAACTGTGACTGGGGAAGTTACAACTGCCTGAAGTCAACCAACAGAGTCTTGTCTCTTGGCTGACTTCAGGTCAGGAAACCAATTCTATTTCTTGTAGAAACCATAGTTCACATCCAAGAATCAATTCTCCATTCTTCAGGTTATTTTTTTGGCAGATGCATCTGAAGGAGACAGGTATTGAACCTTCTTTCTAAACCCAAGGGAACTGGTATTTCAGAGAAACACAGATACAAAGCTAAGTAGTTTTCACCAATCACCAGGAAGATGAAGTCTGAAAACTGCCCTGTTATCAAAAACGGTAACAGAATGGACAAAGTGTTTAAAAACAAAAACAGAAAGAAATACCTCCTGAGAGAAACTGGTCTTAACTTCCCTCAATGAACTTTCCTGAAAATAACATCCTATAACCACTATGACATCATAGACAAAGGAACGGAGGAAAACAGATTAAAAGAAGAAGATAGCATCACCAAACACATCTGTCATCAAAACGAACCACAACAACATGGTTGATAAAAATTCTTTTCTGGATTAAAGTTTATTTAGACAATCCCTTTAAGCAGTAAGAGCTTGGTTTGAATTTGGAATCTCAAATTACCTATACGTAATTTTAAAAACGAGAACACTCACATTTTTGTTTCATAGTCCTTCCAAGCTTTATCAAAAGGCTTTTTCAGATCCTGTAAACAAAGAGTAATAAATTAGGCGAGGCTAATCATTCACTTCTGTGCGAGATAAACGTACTTATCCCTGTACCAGCCCTGAAAGAAGCATTAATGTCTGCAATAAATGACGTATATAATCCCGTGAAAAATAAAGAATGCTCTTAAGTACACTAGCGGTGGCATTTCCTTTCTTTCTCTTAATATAGAATATACTAAATGCACACAAAAGCAAGGTGCTGCCACCCAGTTACGACACTCATGGGCCACCTTGTGTCACCTGTGCCCTACTCCCTGTCCTGGGCCTAATCTGAAAGTAAACCCTGAAAGACAACCTTTAATCTGCAAATATTTCAGGATGTCTTTCTAAAAGAAAGGAACTCTAATTGATAAATGAATCTCGACACATCTAACCCTGCTTTAAGCCCAATGACAGGAACAGAAAGGCCACCACATCCTCCTGGGGTCTCCTACTGCTCTTTCGTCTGCAATTCAGGACTTCATAAGCTCTGATAAAGCCTGCCTCAAAAACTACTGAGCCACTGGAAATTCTATCAAATGGTCCCCACCTATTTATGCTCCTTTCAAAGGGGTTCTTCAGGGAGTCAGAAATCTTTTTGTTGTTGTTGTTGTTGTTGCTGACTACTTTTTGGCTTTTCAATGGCCTCGGGTAAGGCCCAAGTGCCACAGCCTGGCATACAAGTCCCTGCACGAACTGGCTCCTCCTGCACCCTGGCAGCCTGACATGCAGCGCTGAGTCCTGCCCCCTGTGTGCACCTGCGCCTTTCCTCTGCCTGGGATGCCTTCCCGCCCATGAGCTGGGCTAACTCCGCTGACCTGTTCTCCGAGCCCCTGAAGGCTCGATAGGGAATGTGTCTCAACAGCTCTCTCTGGGCACACTCTGTGAAGGAGACCCTGAGAAGCCTCTGTAGAGGTCCTGGAGATGGGACCCAGGAATCGTGTGCAGATCCAAAGAATTTGAGTCTCCCGAGAAGGCAGCCACAATCATGTCCCTTTCGTGGTGCATGTCTGTCAGGGCTGGCGGTGGGCAGGAGCAGCAGGCTGCCCAGCAAACACTCCTCTAGCCCTGCCCACTGCCCCCGAAACAGCTCCCGGCCTGCGTGCTTATAGTGGCTAGGCATGTCCTAAACAGCCAACATCCTCTGAAGGACAGAGACGAAATCAGCTCATGCCTGAAGACTGCGACCTTCCCAGCAGGAAAATACACACTTGCTAGGATCCTTTCCCAGTGGTAAATGGGCAACATGCCAGTTAGAAAGCCCAACTTCTCCCACAGGTTTCCCTCCTCCCTGGAGGGACCAAAACTCTTTACTGTTTCCAAAATAGCAGTTTTCTTTCCCTTCCCAGTCTCCTCCCCTCATCAAGTTTGTTACACCAACAGGATGGCCAGAAAGGCCAAAAGTCACCACCATTCTGGCTGAAAGGTGGTCCCAAGATGGCAAATCAGAGGAAGCGGAGATAAAAGAGCCATCCTGTCGTCCCCATGAGAACGTACTGGCGTGGCTACTGCCCGGCAGGCCAAGTTACCGTGACTCTACATGGTCTAAAAGCTGCCCCCGGTGTCACAGTGTCAATGTCATACCCCTTTCACTCCTTTCAGGTCCCCCTTCAGCAAACTGTCCAAAGGGAAGGAGATTATGTTGTTCATATTCTGAATCTAAAAAACAAAAACAAAAAGGAGATTCTTATTCAGCTTCCTTGTGAATCTAAAGTAAGGACAGCAAGGACATTAGAGAGAACATTCGATAATGATTCGCCTCCACCTAAAACCCGGCTGGGTGCAGGTACTGTGCCTTATTCAGTCACATTCTTTGGAACAATTTCATCTTACAAACGAATAGAGGACGAATGAAAAGTCTAGGTCTGTATATTTTTCACAGTAACAATCTTATATTGTTATGCTATAAAGTTTGTAAAGAAACAATCATTGCAGTGAAGAAAAAATATTTCAAAACAGTCAATGAGAGAATTACATCAAAAGCCTGGGATAAAAGGAAACCCCCACTTCTGACTCTCAATCACGGCTCCACCCATAAGCTGGGCTGTACTGGGGTTGGCGCTCTGGGCCCCAGGCCCCAGTCTCCACAGCAAGCTCCAAACAGGGGGAAAAAAGGCAAAGTCTTCTGTCTGCTGCAAAGGCACACAAGCAAATGCTGGGTGCGAATGATAAAAGAAATGTGTGTGTGCTGGGGAGGGAGAGTGTCAATGAATGTGTATGACGGAGTGTGTGGGTGTGTAGGGTGTAAGTGACTGTGTCTTGAGCATAAGAGTGAATGCACATGAGGGTCTGTGTGACTGAATGTGGGTATGAGTGATCGTGTACGTATGTGAGGGAGCATGTTAAGTGACTGAGGGTGTGATTGTGTGAGGATGTGATTGTGTGAGTGCAGATGTGAGCGTGTGAATGACTGTGTATGGGTGTGTGTGGGTGAGGGTGTAACTGTGTGTGGATGTGAGTGATTGTGTGAGTGTGGATGTATGTGAATGTGATTATGTATGAGTGTGTGTGGGTTTATGAGGGTGTGATTGTGTGAGGATGTGAGTGAATGTGATTGTGTATGGATGTGGGTGGGTGTGATTGTGTGTGTGGATGTGAGTGTGGGGGGTGTGATTGTGGGCATGTGAGTGGGTGTGTAAAGGTGTAAGTGACTGTCTCTTGAGTATGAGTGAATGCACATGAGGGTGTATGTGAGTGAATGAATGCATGTGTGAGGGAGCATGTGTTTGAGGGTGTGCGTGTGTGTGGATGTGAGTTGGGGTGACTGCACTGTGTGAGGGTGTGTGTGTGGATGTGAGTTGGGGGTGACTGTGAATGTGACTATGTGAGGGTGTGTGTGAGGGTGTGACTGAGTGAAGATGTGAGTGACTATGTGAGTGTGGATGTGTGTGGGGGGGTGATTGTGAGGGTGTGTGAGGGTGAGCATGGATATGGGTGTGAATGCATGGGGTGTGCGTTGAGTGTGGTTGAGTGTGTGTGGATGTGAGCAGGTGATTGCGTGGGGTGTGAGTGTGGTTGTGAGTGTGTGTTGAGTGTGGATGTGATTGGGAATGATTGCATGTGTTGTGTGTTCAGTGGTTGTATGAGTGTGGATATGAGTGGGTGTGATTGTGTGGGGGGCATGTGAGTGTGAGGGTATGACTGTGTGGGAGTGAGGGTGTGATTGTGAGGAGGTGTGTGATTGTGGGCGGAGGTGGTGTGGGTGGGTGTGTGAGTGAGGGTGTGTGTTGGGGGGTGTTGCCAGGGAAAGAAGATAAATAGGAACAGGAAGGCCAAGAGCCTTGGTACCCCCATTCTTCTCCCTGAAGCAAGAAGGCAGGAGAGTGGGGACACACACTGTCCGCATGGATTAAACTGGGTGGAATGGAAGCCTCCTAACCAATAGGCACATGAGTAGCAAGCAAGTCTCCATGACAGCAGTTCAAATGCGACTCAACTCGAGATGCAAAGCTTCAGAAAGGAAGAGCCTTCAGGTACAGCCCCAGAGCCCTGAGCCTGAAAAGATTCCCTCCCTCAAGTGGAAAATGAGCTGGAAACCCACTTTCACACTTTCCAGGCTTGGAGCACTCCCCTGAATCAACCCAATGGCCAGTTCCCACTGCTGGGCCCCTGTGGCTTCTGTGACACTCTGGGCTCCTAGATTACAGGCCCAGAGAAGGAGAAGGCCAAGAGGAGGGACTTGGGGCCTTGTGTATTCATTCATACCATCGAGCAAAGGAAAGCTTTATTTCTAGTATAATTACCTTAAATAGGAAGATAAAATGGCACCACTTGTAAGGCAATATGGGATCCGATTTTTATGCACCATTCAGCGTACTAAACTTTTTTTTCTTTTTTTGAAACATGGTCTCACTGTGTCACCCAGGTTGGAGAGCACTTCAGCCTCAACTTCCTGAGCTCAGGGGATCCTCCCATGTTAGCCTCCTGAGTAGCTGAGATTATAGGCACAGGCCACTAGGCTTGGCTAATTTTTTTTTTTTGTATTTTTTGTAGACAGCGTTTCACTGTGTTGCTCAGACTAGTCTTGAACTCCTGGACTTAAGAGATCCGCCCTCCTCGGCCTCCCAAAGTGCTGAGATTACAGGCACAAGCTACCGTGCCTGGCCTAAATTTTCCATTAGAAATAGAAATGTACTTGGAAAACACTGGTAAGGTATGTAATAACATCTGCATCCACAGCCAATTCTGCCAAATAAATGATCAATTAATGACTGTCATTTCAGAAATAATCTTTTTGGGGAACTTTTGCCTTAGGATTAAACAACTCAACATTTCTCATGTACCTGGCCTTCCTCCAAGGTACAATGTCATCAGCTATGACTTGCTAAGATCAGCCTTAAGCATTGAATTTTTAAATCCTGAAAAGCACAGTTTAAGGCGACGTTCCTTCCGGGACGACCAGATGGAACAAGGACAAACAGAAGGCCATGTAGATGAGTAACCTACAACAACAAGCACACCTAGATTTCCACTGTCATTGTCAGCCTTGGCAGCCAGACAGGTGAATGAGGAATGCAACTACGTCATAGTCCCCGCCTCCAGGGGCCACATTTCCCTCTACTTGCAAGGACCCTTGCAGACAGCCCCAAGTACCCAAGTATGGAGCCAGCTCTGTTTCCTCCAACGCTCTTCCTTCCTACAAAGTCCTCCCTCCCACCCTCCTCACTTGCTCGACACCCAAGAGTCATCTCTGACCCCACTGCTGCCACCCAGCCGTGCGGCACGCTTCTCAACAAATTCCAGGTCTTAACCCTACGTACACAGACCCATCCTCCAACATTCCCTCCATGCCATTCTCACATTCACTGCCTCAGCTGGGCCTCACTGCTCCTTCTTGGAACTAAGGCTATGGCATCCCCTGCTCCCTGCCACCGCCTCCTAGCCTCTGCCTGCCCCAATCCCTCCTTCAGAGCTCAGGCAGGCTTCTCTGGGGTTGTGCCTCTAATAAAGACTAAACTACTTATTCCTGCATTTCACACTCTCCACAATCCATCCTTATTTGCCACGTTTCATCTTCATCTTTCTCCAAACTGAACTCTCTCCTTCCCTGATTCTATGCATGTGCTCAATTTGTTCTATTCGACGGAAAAGTCTTCCCTATCCCTGCTGTGTTCAAAGCCTTCTCATCTATCAGGAGTTACTCAAATGCCACTTTCTCTACTAAGCAACCCCGGCAGAATGTGATCCCTCCCTCCCCAAAATCCTCCAATATTTTCTTTCTTTCTTTCTTTTTGAGATGGAGTCTCATCCAGTCTGGAGTGCCGTGGCAAGATCTTGGCTCACTGCAACCTCCACTTCCCAGGTTCAAGTGATCCTCCCGCCTCAGACTCCTGAGTTGCTGGGATTACAAGTACCCACCACCATGCCTGGCAACTTTTTGTATTTTTAGTAGAGACAGGGTTTCATCATGTTGGTCAGGCTGGTCTCAAACTCCTGACCTCAGGTGATCCACCTGCCTCGGCCTCCCAAAGAGCTGTGATTACAAGTATGAGACACTGCGCCCAGCCCCTTTTCTAAATGTTTTAAGGCACTTGGCAGGCTCTTCCCTGCATTCATCTTTTTTTTTTTTTTTTTTTTTGAGACGCAGTCTCGCTCTGTCGCCCAGGCTGGAGTGCAGTGGCCGGATCGCAGCTCACTGCAAGCTCCGCCTCCCGGGTTCACGCCATTCTCCTGCCTCAGCCTCCCGAGTAGCTGGGACTACAGGCGCCCACCACCTCGCCCGGTTAGTTTTTTGTATTTTTTAGTAGAGAGAGGGGTTTCACAGTGTTAGCCAGGATGGTCTTGATCTCCTGACCTCGTGATCCACCCGTCTCGGCCTCCCAAAGTGCTGGGATTACAGGCTTGAGCCACCGCACCCGGCCTGCATTCATCTTAGTGATCTCACACCCTAAGTTCTAAAGGGTGGCATCCACCTTTATTGTATTTTATGTTTCCCAGAGCTCTCAGCATGGAGCTTGGCATAGAATAGAGGCTTGAAAAATATTGATGGAAGAAATCAGTATACTGAAATATTTTTCTGAGCATTGAACACATAAAAGACAGAATCTATAGGGGCTTCAGATAAAATGTTAGTTCTATTAACCCCTTTAAACCAAATACAGCAAATGCGTGTGTGAATTCATTCATTCAAGTGTATTTATTGAGCACCTATTTTGCAGACAGCAACGGTAGGTAAATTTACAAAGGAGGCTGGGTGTGGTGGCTCATACTGGTAATTCCAACACTTTGGGAGGCCAAGGCGGGCAGATCACCTGAGGTCAGGAGTTTGAGACCAGCCTGACCAACATGGCAAAACCCCATCTCTACTAAAAATACAAAAATGAGCCAGGCAAGGTGGCACGTGCCTGTAATCCCAGCTACTTGGGAGGCTGAGGCAGGAGAATCGCTTGAACCCAGGAGGTGGAGGTTGCAGTGAGCCCAGATCATGCCACTGCACTCCAGCCTGGGCAACAGAGTGAGACTCTGTTTCAAAAACATAAATAAATAAATAAATAAAAATTTTCACTCTGTTGCCCAGGCAGGAGTGCAGTAGCACGATCTTGGCTCACTGCAACCTCCACGTCCCGGGTTCAAATGATTCCCTGCCTCAGCCTCCCAAGTAGCTGGGATTACAGGCACATGCCACCCTGCCCGGCTAATTTTTGTATTATTAGTAGAGACGGAGTTTCACCATGTTGGCCAGGCTCCAAGGACAGCTCTGATGACCACTGTAAAGGAGCCACGTGTCCGGAGTAGTGGCAGGACAGGGGGGGTGTACGGATGAGTTAGGAAACAAAAACAAGCAAGCGAGGACCTCAGTCCTCATAGAGCCTCTCCCCGCGGGTCAACAGGGGAGACACGCCACATGTTTAGGTAAGTAAACTACCAAGTGGAAACTCTGAGAGCCAGGAATGAGATGCCATGGAACTTCCACGAAGAGAACACTATTTGTAGCCTGGATACCAGGGAAATCTCTGTTTAGCAGTGGATGCGAGACAGACCTTCAAAAGATGGGGCATTGTGAGGTGGGGGCAGGGGTAGGTTGGGCAAAAGGAACAGCGTGGAGGGTGGTCACAGTGCTGGTGTGAACCTGCCAGCCGTGGCAGTCAAGGAGTCAGCAGAAAGCAGCAGCTGGAGAGAAAGAAGCCTGGTGCCAGGTCAGTGAGGGGGATTCTGGCTTCATTCAGTTTTTCTCTTTGGAATTATTTAAATTATCAAAATTAGGAAACTATTACTTTTCTAATCAGAAAATAAATTATTATAATAGAGACAGAAAAGTAGATCAGTGGTTGCCTGGAGCGGAGGGGAAGATGGGATTAACTGTAGAAGAACATGAGGGCCCTTAAGGGGAGAAGAAAATGTCCTAAATCGGATTTAAGGTGATGGTCGCACCACTTGGTAAAGTTACTGGAAATCACTGATGTGTACACTTGAAATGGGCAATTTTTATAACATGTAAAATATGCCTCAACAAAGGTGTTTACTTTTTAAAGAAAATCTCACAAATATCAACAGAATCCCCATCAATGGCTTCACTAATAATGCTTCCAGACTCCTGGACATCAGCCTGTTTGCCTCTGCCTTTCCACGCTCAGTGTATGCAACCCACACAGCACACACACCTCGTGGCTCAGGGAGAATTTCCCAGGACACGGCCACTCTGGTCTCTGTCTGGGCCAGAGAACAAGTGCATGGGAGCTGGATGCCCTTGTTGGCAGATGTGCCCTGCAGCCTGAGTGTCGGGCAGGCTCTGGGCTTCCTCCGTGTGTCTGGCAGCCTCAGATCCATAGCCAAACGAGCCATCCTCGAGTTCTGGCCGAGAGAGATGAAAACCACAGCCAGAAGATGATTATACATCCCTTGTGCTCAGGCAGCTCCAGTCTCAATTTATGAGTAATGACATTTTCATGCTCTTTGGGAAGAATTACATTATCCCTGGGTAACCCAACCAGAATATTTTCCTTAGCACCAAGAAAGCATAGAGTTTTCTCATGTTTCGACTCACTTTTAACAAATACATTATGTAAAATGGCTTTTTAAAACATCGAGTGCAACCCGAATACAAATTATTAATCTTAATCACTGCTATTAACTTTGGACCAACAAGCAGGCAATTGTTTTTTTTTTTTTTTTTTTAGACGGGGTCTCTCCCACCCAGGATGGAACAGTGAGGCTCCAGTGATCCTCCCACTTCTGCCTCCCGAGTAGCTGGGACCACAGGCAAGAGCCACCATGCCTGGCTAATTTTTTTATTTTTATTTTTTGTAGAGACGGGGTCTCGCCATGTTGCCAAAGCTGGTCTCAAATTTCTGGGCTCAAGCAATCTACTCACCTCAACCTCCCGAAGTGCTGAGATTATAGGCATGAGCCACCACACCCAGCCCAGGCAATCTTTCAAATAACAATCCGCCCTTTCCCCATCTCCCCCGCCCTCTTCCTGTCTTAGCTTTTCCCTGGAGTTCACTTGGATATGTCTGACAAGGTGAGTAAGTAGTCAAAGGTCTGTGATCTCTCAAGTAGAAATAAAATGATTCAGTCAGTGGGACAGGCAGTAAACAGGGTTATAAGACATAAAGAACAAAATCATTACACTAACGTCACAGCTGATGAGCAAACAAAGGCCAGAAGGCACAGAGAGGGGAACAGAGCCAGTCAAACAGTCATCTCTTCACAATATCCTTCCTATTTTTTTTGGTGGGGGGGATGGTGGGGGGGACCTTAAAACTCACTGCCTCTAGCTCTGTCACTTCCCACTTTCCCCCACCCCCCAGTTCACAGGCCACCCTCTCTGTTCTCTGGCCACTGACCAACAGCTGCTGATCCAGCCGAAGTGTGGAGGTGCAGCCCAACCTCAGGGAGCTGCAGTGCTGCCTTCTCTTTGACTTAGGCAGTGAGTCATTCTGCTTTGCCAAATGATCTTGCCCAAAGGGATCCATCCAGAAGCCTGAAGCTAGACAGGATTCTTACGTTATAGCTATTTTTAAGGAGCAGCCAAAGGTCACTGGGCAGAATCTTTCCAGCTGTAGCCTCATGGGTCTAAAAAGTAACAGGTCTTCCCAGGGCTCACCTCCAAAACCCTTAACAGAGTCCGACTCTCTTCGAGGACAATCAGCTTTTCCTTTAAAAGGCCATTCTGTCACCATGTAATATAAAACATGGCCAAAGGATCTTACCTGAGGCTTGCCTGCGTCATGTCACGTATTTGAATATGCCCAGTTTATGAGAAACTTGAGAGGTAGAAAAGACGCTTTGAGATGTGGGGAGTTTTTAACTCGAGCAAATGCTGCTCAGTCATAGCGTTAAATAGGAAAAAGCACAGCCTCAAAGAAAGCAAACCACCTATTCACCTGCACAGGCCAGGCAACACCTTGTCTAAGGGTGGGCAGTTGCAGAAAGACCTCACACCTCATTGTATCAATTAAGGGCATTCTTAGCAGTGACTGCAGCATTAACAAGGATATGCAAGTGTGAAACAGCCTTCCAGTGCTGGAAGCTTCCAGCCACTTCCAGGAACCAGAGCCCACGGCCTAGGACATGTGTGTGAGGCAGACGTTAAAGAGTGGAAAGTGAGCTGTAGACCTGTGATGTCCCACAGGATAGACACTAGCTATATGCCCCTCTTCACATTTAAATTGATTAAACTTAAAGGAAGTTAAAAATGGAGTTCCTCAGTTGCACTAGCCACATATCAAATGCAACAGTCACATGTGGCTAGAGACTTGTTAGACTCAGTAAGGCAGATATACAGCATTCCCATCAATGCAAACAGTTCTACTGGGCACCAACACTTGGAACAAATGGCTTTTGAAAAGTTTTAAGCAGCTTTATTGAAGTGTCATGGATAGACAATAAACCACATGCATTTAAAGTACGACTTGATATGCTATGACACATGGATACTCCTATGAAGCTATCACCAAAATCCAGACTGCCAAAGTACCCTCTCATCCCAAGAGGACGTTTCCTTGTGCTCCTTTTGCAACTCCAGCTCCTTTCCCTCAAGTCTCTGGCAACCCCGATCTGCTTCTTTGACACAGAACACTGCATTTTCTGGAATTTTATATACGGTATCTGGAATCACCCAGCGTGTACGCTTTTTCATCTGGCTTCTTGCATAATGATTTTGGGACTGAGCATAATGACTCTGCAATTCATTCATGTAGTTGCGTGTACCAGTAGTTCACTTCTTTTTCTTGGCCAGCACTGTTCCATCATATGGCTCCACTGCAGTCTAGCCAGACACCTGTTGATGGACGTTTGAGTTGTTTCCAGTTTGGGGGATACTACAGATATCACAAATAAAGATGCATGATCATTTGTGGGATGGGGACTCTTTCAAATAGTGTCAAACAGGCCTCGTTATAAGGTGGCCTTGGAGCAGACTGCAAAGGAGGTGGGCAGAAAGCCACGTGAGGACCTGGGGGAAGTGCCCTCTGGGCCCAGGGGACTCTAACACAAAGGTCCTGGGGCAGGAGTATGCCTGGCAGGTTCTGTTCTTTCTAAAGGCTGCTTATCTGAAAGAATGGGTATCCAGGCAGAAAGTATTTTTGAGAAGCACAAGGTATTGAGTAAAACGGCCTGAATAAACCATCAAACGACACAGGGCCATTTAATCCCATTTAACCCGTACAATTACTTTGAGAAATAAGTGCCGTGACCCCCATTTTGCAGGTATGGCAACAGAGGCTTGAGTGATCCACGTTGCCTCCAAATCACACAACTATTAGCAGCAGAGTTGGCTAGAACTGTGAAGCCAGAGCTCTTCCTATCAGCTCACTATTAAACACAGCTGGACTTAAACTCCTGCTGTCACAGGGCAAGATGGTTTACACCTGCCAGGCCAGGCCAGGCTAAGCTAAGCTGGGGCTGGGCACCTGCTGCCATCCTAGGTGCTGTCTCCATCAAAAAGCCCTCCTGTTCCCTTTGACACAGAGCAGCCCATCAGGTACACACAAGGGAACTCTAAAGAGGAAACTCACTGATATGGTTTGGGTCTGTGTCCCCGTCGAATTGTAATCCCCAGTGTTGGAGCTGGGGCCTCGATCACGGTGGTGAAGTTCTCATGACTCGTTTAGCACCATGCCCCTTGGTACTGGGCAGCAAGTGAGTTTAAAAGTGTGTGGCACCTCCCACCTCATTCTTGCCCCTGCCCGCGGCCATGTGAAGTGCTGCCTCCCCCTTCACCTTTCGCTTCCTGAGGCCTCCCCAGAAGCCAAGCAGAGCAGATGCTGCCATGCTTCCTCTACAGCTTGTGGAACCATGAGTCAATTAAACCTCTTTATATATATATATTTAAGTTACCCGGTCTCAGACATTTCTTTATAGCAGTGCAGGAACTGACTAATACAATCATCTAGGCCACTTTCATTTTTGGTGTAAGTGAACAGATCCCCTGGGCCACAGTATTGCCTTGAAGTCTATCACACACACATGCATGATGCACACACTCCCGTCTAGGCACTCTCACAGAGGGCCCTCCTGAACAGTTGCACCCAGCCCGCCCCTGGCAGCAGAGTCGCTGATGGTTTAATTAAAAAGGAGAGGGGGAGCCCATGCTGATCCTAAGTGTTTAACACAAACTGAAAGATCAAAACCAACCAGCTGGCAAAAACACATTGGCAACTTTCACACCAGAACAAGGAGGAAAATCGCTGACCTGGTTTCTGCTCTTAATGCCGCTTCTCTGGCAGTCAACAGCTCTGATCTTTCAGGCTCTAAGTGGAGAGAAAACTGGGCCCTCTGCCCCCTTCTCCACTAGAATAAACAAAGAGCTTGGACACGTCAGTCGGCCACCAACAACCGCGCAGACACCCACTGAAGGCCAGTTCTGGAAGCCGGAGGACAGCACTGGAGAACCCAGGACTCAGGCACCCAAAACTACTTCTAAAACCGGATGATGGTAAAACAATTGCTGAAGCCATCAACCAGAAATGAAAGTACTTTTGCAAAGGTATTACCTCCAAGAATCCAGGTTTAGGAAGCAGCTCTGACCTCTGCAGGACCTGGGGCACACAAAGTCTCCATCTCACCAAGGGTGAGAGTCGGAAGCACTGGACTGAGGCTGTCCTCGGGGCAACGGTTCTCAGTGTGGCTCCCGACCAGCAAGGCCAGCATGACTAGGAACAGGAAATGCAAAACCCTGGGCCCTACCCCAGACCTGTGGAATCAGAAACTCTTGGGGGAGCCCAACAGGTGTGGTCTAACAAGCCATGCAGGTGATGCTGATGCACCCCAGCTGGAGAGCCACAACCCTGCAGGTGAGGTGTGGAGGCTGGGGCTGTGCCTTTCTAACAATTCCGGTGCTGCTGGTGCAGCTGGCCCAGGGGCCGCACTTGGAGGACCTCTGCTCCAGGGCAGTGCTGCTCAAGCTTGACTGCCTGCTATTGCCTGAAGCTCCTACACACTAAGATTCTGGCTTCACAGGCCTCGGGGAGGCTGGAATTCTAAGAAGCCCCAGGCGATTCCAGTGATGCTCTGTGGGTGCCCGACCAGGGCCCCTGTGGCACCAATGGTACAAACCCTGCCCACATGCCTTCTAAGCTGGAACCTGGAGTATATGAGCACTGATGTGGGGTGCCAGGCTTCAGATTTTAAGCAATGATTACCAAACAGCTGAAAGTTCCCAAAGACAGGGGAATGCAAACAAGCACATGCTGAATTTCTATCAATTCGCTGACAATTCCCTCAGTGAGCCAGGGGCAGAGGCTTGACTCCTGGCTGGGCCCATCACCCCAAGGACAAAGGGGCACAGGGTCTCCACAGCTCACAATCCCCCGTTTCCCTTCTCATCAACCTTGGGCTTCCAGTTCCTTCCCTGGGGCCTGGAAACAGGCTCAAGCCCCTCTCACCCTAGGAACCCACCTGGCTTTCCTCTTCCATTATCAGCCTTTCTTAGAACAGTGAACACCTGTGATCCCTATGCCTCCACCTGCAGCAGCCGCTCTTCTGCCTTTAAGAAAAGTCCGGGAAACGTCCCTGAGGCCCCTCTCAGGCACCCAAGCCAACAGGGCTGCTCTTCTGCACCCCTGCTGTGGATGTGGCTCCCGAGCTCCTTCACTCACACCCCGGACTACTACAGCCCTCCTACCTGGTATCTCTATTCCCTACAGCCCTACCAGGCCGTATCTCCACCCCCAGTACTACAGCCCTCCACTTGGTATATATACCCTCCTACAGCGCTCCCACTCTTTCTCTACACCCCTAGAGCCCTTCCACCAATATCTACACCCCACTACTCCAGCCCCTCTACCAATATCTACACCCCACTATTACAGCCACTCCATCAACATCTATGCCCCACTACTCCAGCCCTTCCATCAATATCTACACCCCACTACTCCAGCCCCTCTACCAATATCTATATCCCACTACCACAACCCCCTCCACCAATATCTACACCCCACTACTCCAGCCCCTCTACCAATATCTATATCCCACTACCACAACCCCCTCCACCAATATCTATACCCCACTACTCCAGCCCCTTCACCAATATCTATACCCCATTACAGCCCCTCCATCAACACCTACACCCCACTACTCCAGCCCCTCTACCAATATCTACACCCCACTATTACCGCCCCTCCATCAACACCTACACCCCACTACTCCAGCCCTTCCACCAATCTCTACACCCCACTATTGCAGCCCTTCCACCAATATCTATACCCCACTATTGCAGCCCCTCCGCCAATATCTATACCCCACTATTACAACCCCCCACCAATATCTATACCCCACTACTCTAGCCCCTCCACCAATATCTATACCCCACTATTACAGCCCCCCACCAATATCTATACCCCACTACTCTAGCCCCTTCACCAATATCTACACCCCACTATTACAGCCCCTCCACCAATATCTATACCCTACTACTTCAGCCCCTTCACCAATATCTACACCCCACTATTACAGCCCCTCCACCAATATCTATACCGCACTACTCCAGCCCTTCCACCAATATCTATACCCCATTATTGCAGCCCCTCCACCAATATCTATACCCCACTATTATAGCCCCCCACCAATATCTATACCCCACTACTCCAGCCCCTTCACCAATATCTACACCCCACTATTACAGCCCCCCACCAATATCTACACCCCACTATTACAGCCCCTCCACCAATATCTATATCCACTATTACAGCCCCCCACCAATATCTATACCCCACTACTCTAGCCCCTTCACCAATATCTACACCCCACTATTACAGCCCCTCCACCAATATCTATACCCCACTACTCCAGCCCTTTCACTAATATCTATACCCTACTATTACAGCCCCACACCAATATCTATACCCCACTACTCCAGCCCTTTCACTAATATCTATACCCCACTATTACAGCCCCCCACCAATATCTATACCCCACTACTCCAGCCCCTTCACCAATATCTACACCCCACTATTACAGCCCCCACCAATATCTACACCCCACTATTACAGCCCCTCCACCAATATCTATACCCCACTACTCCAGCCCTTCCACCAATATCTATAGCCCACTACTCCAGTCCCTCTACCAATATCTACACCCCACCATTACAGCCCGTCCACCAATCTCTACACCCCACTACTTCAGCCCCTCCACCAATATCTATACCCCACTATTACAGCCCCTCCACCAATATTTACACCCCACTATTACAACCTCCTCCACCAATATCTATACCCCACTATTACAGCCCCTCCACCAATATTTATACCCCACTATTACAACCTCCTCCACCAATATCTATACCCCACTATTACAGCCCCTCCACCAATATCTGAACCTCACCACTTCAGCCTCTCCACCAAGATCTATACTCCCTCTCCACCCTGTACCTACACCCCCACAACTACAGCCCTCCCACCTGTATACATCCCCCTACAGCCCTCCTACCTGTATCTATACTCCCTTACAGCCCCTCCACCCCATATCTACACCCCCTACAGCCCTTCCACCCCCTATCTACATCCCCACTATAGCCATTCCACACAGTACCTTGTAGATTTGGCAAACAATTTTTTTTTTAAGTTTGAGGTCACCTATATCATGGTAGTTGTCCCTTTAATAGCCAGCAATTGAGAAAACACAATGACAACAACAAAAACAAACCATTTTAGGTTCATTAATACTTTCAGACAGAAACAGTGTGTCCTACACACATTTGAGAATTGTGAAGACATTGATTTCTAAACCTTGCAAGCAGGCTTGTGTGCAGAAGGACAAGTGCCATAGCGCAGTGCCCCTCCACCCGCAGGGATCCAGGGAACCAGGGACTCAGGGTTCGGGGCGGGGAGTCACTGCTCCCTGCTTCAAATGCTGTACCCTCAGGGCTCCGCAGGCTGCCAGTGGCCATCCTGGCACAGGCTGTCTTCTAATAAAAGCATCTGTGTCCCCTGCCCAGGCAGGAGTTGCCCGAGGTCACCGCCCTATACAGCACCAGCAGATGGACAGCACCCAGCAGGTGCCCAGTCCTCGTCTCTGTGAGCTCACCCTCCCGCGTCCAAGGCCTCACCACCCTATCTTTGCCCAATATGTATGGCTTTTCCCACTTTCTCTGTATGGGGGTTACAGTATTGCAGCATTCCCTCCCAACCCCAAAAAGCAACAGTATCCAAGTCCAATGGAAACCTATTCTGTGGCTATGCCACAACCAAAATGTAGACATCTGATGCCAGCCTTATTTGTTCATCATCTCGATCAAACAATGTGCTTTTGTTTTTGGTTAGAGATTTGTGAGTATAGAATATAGCTTAGCATTGAAGTCTTTTGGGTCTTAGATAAGGAATTTCCAACTATAAATGAGGCCATACTAAAATCTAAATGGCAGAGGTTTCTAGGGGCCCAAAGTGACTGTCAGCAAGTCCATCATCGTACTCTCTCTCCCTTCCTCACTCGAAGCCCTAGCCCTCAAGCCCGACTCACTCGAAGCCTATGGACTCCTAATTTGCACACGAATCTAACAAGGCGCACAAGTCATCTTGCTCTTCAGTTCGCAGCACTGTAAAACAGAGACCTTAGAGGCACCCAAGCACTGACAGCAGGAGAAAGGGCAACCAATAGAAAAAGTGTCAGAATATTAAAAAGCAAATGTCAGAAATGGACACCTAGTAACAGTACAGGACTAATCCAAGGGCAGATATTCCCATGTACCCCAAGCCACTGACGATGTCTCTAGATTTCAGCATAGTCCATTAGTTTACGTCCAAAACAGTGACTTAAATCTTCCCCCTAGAAAGATGATATGATCATTGCTCTTGTTTAATTAAAAAAAAAGTAAGACATTTAAGAATCTAAGATATTTTCATAGGAGAAAGTCTATGGAAGTACTGAGGGTGAGGACCTCTGGTAGCAAGATGTCTATACTGAATGATGAGACAAGCCTTACTAATACGGACAATCAGCTCACACTTAACCTAAGCCTGACAGCACCGGGCAGAGTCCTGCTGTACTAGTACCAATGCAGCCAGGCCAGGATGCCTGTCTGCCAGGTGCAACACATAGGACAAAGCCACAAACGACCACTCATCCCAACAGAACCTTACTAACTCCCCAGCAAGGTTAGCTATAATGTCTTCTGGCCAAGTGTGGTGGCTCACACCTGTAATCCCAGCAATTTGGGAGGCCCAGGCGGGTGGATCACTTGAGGTCAGGAGTTCGAGACCAGCCTGGCCAACATGGAGAAACCCTGTCTGTACTGAAAATACAAAACTTAGCTGGGTGTGGTGGCTCGTGCCTATAATCCCAGCTATTTGGGAGGCTGAGGCACAAGAATGGCTGGAACCCAGGAAGCGGAGGCTGCAGTGAGCCAAGATCACGCTACTGCATTCTAGCCTGGGCGACACAGTGAGACTCTGTCTCAAAAAAAAAAAAAAAAAAAAAAAGTTGGCCAGGAGTGGTGGCTCATGCCTGTAATCCCAATGGGAGGCCGAGGCGGGCGGATCATGAGGTCAGGAGTTCAAGAACAGCCTGGTGAATATGGTGAAACCCCATCTCTGCTAAAAATATAAAAATTAGCCGGGCATGGTGGCACGCGCCTGTAGTCTCAGCTACTCGGGAGGCTGAGGCAGAAGGATCGCTTGAACCCGAGAGGCAGAGGTTGCAGTGAGATAAGATTGCACCACTGCACTCCAGCCTGGGTGACAGAGTGAGACTCCGTCTCAAAAAAAAAAAAAAAGTCTTCTAACTCACATCATCCGTGTTTAAAAAAAAAAAAAAAAAGATTACTGATAGGCATGTTGCTTGGTAGAGCTTTCCATTTCCTCTATCAACGTGGGTGAGGGACAACTCCTTAGCCCAGGGTCACCTCAGATCTCATGCTGCAACTCTGTTCTCTCGTCAGCACCCACTGGCCCCTGCTTTCAACAGATGCTGATCTTCATGTAGAGCGGGTTCTGCAGACCCTGGGGACATCTTTCACTAACAATCCTCTAACACCGGAGACAGAGACTACATATCTGTAACGAACCTTTCAGAAACCGGCCCTGAAATGCAGCCTTTCATTAGAGAGCCACTTCTCAGCACACAGGTGGCCCTTGGAGTCTTTCCAGCATTCTCACATCCATCTGGGAAGAGGAAAAGAACCCCTGAAACCGGGCAGACTTCATAAGCACTTTATTTTCACACATGTCACATTTCTGGAGCCGCCTGGTTTTCCCTTTCATCCTGCACCATCGCAGAGAAAATTCACAGACTTCTGCAGGTGAGAATCTCACCCATTAGTAAGAAAATCTTGCTTTATATTAAGCTGGCATTTCTCTGGAGATCTTCCAACTGCTTTATAAACATTCTTTCACGCCTCCAAGCAGGTAGGTGGTAATTGTTATTCTTTCTGGACAAGAGGTAGCACTGTGAGTCTTAGCTGGACAGAACTGAAATGTTTTTCAATGCCCGAGGGAAAGCAAAAGCAAGGCTTGGAAAATATGAGATAAGACAGATGTGACCAAAAATAGGAAGAAGAATGGTATACAAAATTCCAAAAAAGGAGACTTCTCCTATAACCCACTCCCCGTCTACCCAGCTTTGTAGGAGCCACCACTTGGCCTTCCTCTGGCTGTGCAGCTTCCACACAGGTTCTGGCCTGGAAAATCAGGCGTGGTAAGTGCTAATTTTGGCTCAAATAAGAAATTTTCTCTCTCTTTGATCTTTGCCAGGAAATAGGATCAACAATCTGACTTCCATAAAGTGCAAGCTGAAACTTGAACCCTTATGATCAGTCAAGAAGGTGATAAGAGGCTGTGGTTCCTTTAAATGTCACAATGACAACAACATGGGTTTGGAGTGTTAATACCTGGGTTTGAATCCCAACTCTGTCCCTCACTAGCTAAGGGCCCTGTAAGTGACTGTGTGCCTTAAGACGATGGTAATACAAACTATCCTGCACAGCTGTCAAGTGGAATAAATGAAACAGAGTATCCTGCATGCATAGCCCAGTGATTGCTACACCCTGGGTGCTCATCAAATCACTGCCACGGATACCTTTATTGATACCTTTACTCACTGTAGAAAGATGGACAGCAACTAGGACCTGCAGTGATGTGTGAAGTATTAAAAACTGGCAAAGTCACAGGGTGGTGAGCAATGTACCAGCTGTAACATGCAGGCCCTGCTCTGCTTTCTGCTTTTGCAGGAAATTTTATAAAGGAGAGGGAGGAATTGATTTTATTTAACTGCGCAACTGCCTTTGTTGTTAACTGAGACAAGTTAGTTTCGTCCGGATTCCATGGTGTGGAGTGCTCCAGGTGGGCCTGCCTAGGCAAGGACTCTGAGCCTCCCAAGAGAGGTATTAGCTGCTGCTTCTTTTTTTTTTTTTTTTTTTTTTTTTGAGACAGGGTCTCACTCTCTGTCACCCAGATGGAGTACAGTGGCGTGATGTCAGCTCACTGCAATTTCCGCTTCCTGAGCTTAAGCAATTCTTCAGCCTCAGCCTCCCGAGTAGCAGGGACTACAGGCATGAGCCACCACGCCCAGCTAAGTTTTGTATTTTTTGTAGAAACAGGGTTTCCACGTGTTGCCCAGGCTGGTCTTGAACTCCTGGGTTCAAAGCAATCCACCCACCTTGGCCTCCCAACGTGCTGGGATGACACATGTGGGCCACTGTGCCGGGCCAGATATTAGCTCTTCAAACCATTCAGGGCCTCAGTTATCTAATCTGTAAAGTGGGAATGACACTGACTGACCTTATGGGATTGTCATAAGAATTAAATAAGCTATCCTGTATAAGAGTCACCAGCTGGCTATAATCTATCCACAGAATCAGGTATGGCACTATTCTCTCCATGTTAGAGCTGAGACAATCCAGGTCTAGCCATCAGATGAATAAAGCTAAAGGGCTAGGTGTCTGGGAGGGAGAAGCAGAACTCGGGCCTCCACCCATCTCCTACATCGTTGGCCATCGTGGGCCGACTGCTTTCTAGGCCCCCTGCTTGGCAGCCCCGCTGGGACTTCCCTTCGCTATCATCCTCTTGGAATTCCCATCCACGGCTTGCTTTCCTGTGTTGGGTCCTGTTTCCTGACTTTCAATTTCCTCTTTCTTGGCTTTCCCCTTCATTTTACTAAAACACATCCTTTAGGAGTTTCAGAGAAATGACACATGGGAGCCAAAGTTTTTGAGCCTTGCATGTCTGAAAATATCTTTAATTCTACTCTCATATTTGATTGGCTGGGCATAATTCCAGGCTGAGTTAGTTTCCTCACAATTTTAATGGCATTGCTCCATGCTGTAACGTTTCCAGTGCTGCTGCTGAGAAGCTCACCACCATTCTGATTCCGAATCCTCTGGGTGCTGTCTGGAAGCTTTTAAGATCTTTTGCAAGTTCACACAGGGATGCTTAGGGTAGGTCTTTTCCCTTATTGCGCTGGGCACTTGCGAGCCTCTCAACTTGGAGACTCTTCCGTTCCATTTTTAGAGACTGCCTTTAGATTTGTTGCACTGATGACATCCTTCTCTCTTTCTAAAATACCTGCCAGTTGGATGCTGAGCCTTGAGAATTAATCCTTGTCTTGTCTTTTATCTATTTCCCACTTTTTGGTCTTTTGGATCTATTTTCCTCTACTCCAACCCTTCCTGTTGGATTTTTAATGTTATATTTTCTTACCTTAGTCATGTCCCTGGCCTTCTTTAATAGCAAGCTGCATCCCAGTCTTCCCGTACGTTCATTTTTCTGCTAATTCTGGTCTCCCTCATGCTGGAGGCTGCTCATCTGTACTGAAGCGTGAGGCACCAGGAGGCTCACAGGCAGCTCTGTGTGTATGGAAAGGGCTTATCCACCCAGGTGTGGGGAGAGCAGGCAGCCAACTGACTTTTCCACCAGGAGACGCCCTCCATGGCAGCATCTATGGATCTCTACCCTGGGCACATGCAGTTTCTCCAGTTTAAAAAAAATCTCCACTCTTTCCCGACCCGGTGGTGAGACCCTATCATGCATGCCTGCCAGTGTCCAGGGCACGGGGCTGAGGCAGGGCGAGGGCTCCACTGCTGAGCAGGTGGGCCGCCACTCTAGGATAGGGATGAAGAGGGATGAGCGCAACCAAAGCACCAAGGGATTTCAAATTCCTCCAAGTGAAAAGCTCAAGCAGAGCAACAGCTTTTTACTTTTACCATTTCCTACAGAAATGTTCATAAGTGAAGATGGGGGGAGAGCACAAGGGCCCGAGTGCTCCTGCTCTTCCCATTAGGAACTCACACGTGATGCTCCCTCATTTCTCCCCTTCTAAGGCCACTCTCACAAAATCACTGTCATCACCATCTCAAGAACAAGCTGTTTTTCACTTGTTATGAGCTTTCTAATAGAGGACATGAAAAAGATGCTGTTATTTGTGGCCTACAGAGAAAGCATTACTGAGTTCTTGACCTCTTCCATGGCCTTTAGGAGAAACTGGAAAAGACAAACAGGAAAGAAAAGCTGGGGCAATCCCAGGGTCTATTCCACCAGGGCAGGGTCCCAAACAGCCCTCTTGGGCTGCCCACTTCTTCAAAATGTTGTCCCCATCACGAGGACAGCACAGAGCTGCCAGGCACAAGAAAGGCGCGATTCACCCACAGTACCAAGCAGCAGCCACAGGCAGCAGGCACCAGTGCCGCATTCCCACGGCTGAAAACTCAGGCACTGCTCTCAGGCCAGGTTTTTTTTTTAGGTTCTACACTTGGGAGCATAAAAGGCCTTTAAATATTCATGGTAATTTCTGTGCTTTGATTACAGGTTACCTTCCTGTGTAAGACGGGCCTGAAACATATTTATTAAATATTATAAACTTAAATGCCTACTATAATTACCAGAAAGAGAGTATTCTACACAGTTTAGAAACTATTAAAAATTCAAATCAGAAGCCCTTAAGAAGATGAATGCATTTACCCGTTTTGTCCCATAGCTGTGTACATTTAAATTGCAGAGCTGAATTTTAAGTCCTGCTAAAGTAAAAATTACAGTTTTAAACTTTATTCCAAATTGACCCAATGTATATAGAAAACATAATGCTTTTAGGTACCCAAGGAACTATGAAATGCAGTCCTAGTATATCAAACAAACCTTAAGTATCCTCTACTGAGCCTCTTTCCCATCTGAAGTAACCGCAGCATTTCATACACAGAGCTGCTTACCAGGTTTTTGAAAAGAGCTGTCAACTCCTTTGTAAACACTGAGAACTTCAGGAATGCACTTCCTAAATCCGGGTCATCTCTGCATACGCAGTTGCCACCGAACTTCTCCAGAGCCTGGGTGTACTGCTCTTCATTTTCCACGTGAGCTGCAACAGAATGAGGGAGGCGCTGTGAGTCTCAGGCATGCCACCCTCACTCCCCACCAGGTTCTTCTCGGTTGTGAATAACACTGAACACATCAGCAGAAGAAAAATCTGAGAAAAATCAAGCTGCACCAGGAACAGAAATAGCTTCGTTATCCTGACAACAACCCGTGGTGCCGGCAACAGATCCCAAAGAACAAGTGTGGTGTGCAAGAGGGGAAGCCCTTGCCCACGTCCAGTGGTCCTCAGCATTGCCAGATGAGATGGCCAAGGACACACAACATTTCCACCCCTCCGAGGACTCTTCCTTCACCAAATGATGGCAGAAGTCACCAGACTCAGTCCCCTCCCAGAAACTCAACCACAGATGCCCCATTCCTCTCTAGCCTGAAACCCAGGACTCTAATTCAGAGCCACACACCGCAGCTCCTTCTCCTTTTCACACAGGAACAGCAGTGGTCTTTGCAGCTTCAGTGGCTCTGCTCAGGATGCAACCTCTACCCAGGGGCCCTTCCCTCCTAAACTCCTCTGCATCCTACAGACTCATGCTTCCTCCAGGAAGCCTTCCATGACTCTGCCCTACACCCTGGGTATTTCACTGGCACCTCTCCTATCCTTGCACTCAGCATGTTATATTGAAATGGTCTGGTAAATGTGTTCCCCATACAATGGATGTGCTTAGAGTTTACAGACTAAGTTGTATTCATCTTTGACCAAGTCGTGTGCCTGAAATATGAGACAACACACATGTTGTTTGAGCAGAAAAAGCAAACCAGGTGCTACGTCTCATAGCATTTTATTATCATTTAGGCCTCAAAGTAGCACCTGAAAGAGTGAAAATCTGGACTCTGGGTCTCTGGCACAGTGGTTCTCAATCCCTACTGGCTACCAAAAGCATGCATGGATTTTCACCAAACTCTAGACACCACTGTCCCATCTCAGACCTCTGATTCAGAACCGTGGGTAGGAATGAGGGAGGGGACACAGGTGATTCTGGTAAATTAATGTGGTTCAATATAATTCCCTCACTACTAGGTCAGGCACTTTCAAATGAAACCAGCCAGTCTATTAAAAAACGTCTATCTCCATGGCTACCTAATTTCTGTTTTCATCAGTTCAATTGGAAATATAACACAACTATTGACAGGCACAACACGGCAGCCAGACCTGCAGTGTGAACTTGGATGTGAACTCCACCAGAGACAGCTTTAGTGCTGCAGCTCCTCCACCAGGGGACAGATCCTGAGAGCCCGTCTGTAGCTCCCAAATTCCTTCTCAGGGAAATAAGACCACTGTCGGCTAATGCCAATGCCCAGGCTGGGCCTGACAATGAGGGAAAACGAGGGAACATTTGTTCCTGGAGGGCAGTCCTGGACCCTCAGCCAATCCCTATGACCCATAAATGGTCTGCTCGCCCATCCTAGGGGGGAAGCACCATGTCCTTGACCTCTAGTGGCATTTGGGGGACTACAGGGCTCTAATGGGGATCCAGCAGACACAAGAGAAAACTCATTTCACTGAGTCCTTTCCCTTTTTTTAACATTCCAGAAAAGAGCCTGAGAGTTCTAGATAAATTAAATGAATTTCTGAGGCCGGGCGCGGTGGCTCATGCCTGTAATCCCAGCACTTTGGGAGGCCGAGGTGGGCGGATCACAAGGTCAGGAGATCGAGACCACGGTGAAACCCCGTCTCTACTAAAAATACAAAAAATTAGCCGGGCGCGGTTGTGGGCGCCTGTAGTCCCAGCTACTCGGGAGGCTGAGGCAGGAGAATGGCGTGAACCCGGGAGGCGGAGCTTGCAGTGAGCCGAGATCGCGCCACTGCACTCCAGCCTGGGCGACAGAGCGAGACTCCGTCTCAAAAAAAAAAAAAAAGAATTTCTGAGACCAGATTCAACAAATTCAGACAGAAACATACACATGCACACGCACACACCGGCAAACACAGCTCCTCAGGAGCCCTCGGAAGATCTAGGTTCCAGTCCTATGTCCGCCAGCAAACATCTGTATGACCTTGGTAAGTCACAGTGATGCTGGGCCTGCGGCATCAGCTACATAAAGCATAAAGACCTGCTGGGAGATGCTCTCAAGGTCAGAGGAAGAATGAAAGAATCAGGTAAAGAGGCTTGGTTTACCACACTCGGCACATAACCAAAAACACTAACAAAAGTTAACAGCAGCAACAGGTGTCACTTATTCAAAGCACAAACTTTACATATATTTTTTCTAAACTTCATAAGACATGTATTGTTTCTCATAACACTATTAGGAAATTAGGGCTCAAAGAGATCAAATAATTCATCTGAGGAAACACAGCCAGAAAGCGGCAGAGCTGGGATTCAAACCCAAATCTTCTGATTCCAAAGTCCACTCTCCTACTCTACTACACGATGTTTGTTTCATCGTTAAAAAGTTTACCTTGTCAAACAAAAGTATCTAATTTTTAGGTTTTTAAAATCCAGTTTCACAGATAGATCAATAATTCCTTCTGTTTTACTCTATTTATAATTCTAGAGCGTGGTTTACAGTGAAGGCAAGGTCCTTTCAAACCACATACTATTTTTAAACTATCTCAAAATTAGTGGTCAAGACATGGGCAGTTTCAGTGGGTTCAGGAAGGGAGCTGGTGGCCACAGGCAGGCATCTGTCACTACATACTGTCTGTCCACTGGATGACAGAAACAGAAATGCAACCTCCACGCTCCTGCTTACTCCCTCGCTCGCTGCTTTCTGAGCCATGGGTCTTTCAAGAGACACCAACAGAGCGGAGCCGGGCCGTGGTGTCCTCCTTCACGGTGCTGGGCAATGAATACAAAGCACCCGGCAGGAGAGAAGCTGAAGACTCTACCCAGCCTCATGGTGTCCTTCAAACCACGAGGAGGACTGGACCCTCAGTGCTGCTCTAAGTGAACACCCAAAGGGAAGGGACTTCACATATGGTTAATGCCTACTAGGTCGCTTGTAAGTCTTTTGTTCAGTTTAACCTGACAGCACTAAGAGTTGGCTATCATTATCCCTATTTTTTTCTGAATCAAGTGCAGTTCAGACAGTCATGTCACCTGCTCCAGACCACAGAGTTGGTAGGAGGGTCAATGCACTTTGTGGACCACACAGGCTGCCTCCAGCCCTGGGCAGGAGAGAGGAGCCGGCCTTCTCACTGGTAGTAGGCTTCACGTTCCAGCACCAAGAAATACGAAAGTACTCCTTATCATCCCTCCTTCTGGGCTCCTCAACTGACTACCTGGTGTAGGTTAAGTTTTTTTGTTTTTAAAAAAATTATTGGCCGGACATGGTGGCTCACACTTGTAATCCCAGCACTTTGGGGGGCTGAGACAGGTGGATCACCTGAGGTCAGGAGTTTCAGACCAGCCTGGCCAACATGATGAAACCCTGTCTCTACTAAAAATACAAAAATTAGCCAGGCATGGTGACACATGCCTGTAATCCCAGATACTCGGGAGGCTGAGGCAGGAGAATCACTTGAACCTAGAAGGTGAAGGTTGCAGTGAGCAGAGATAACACCAGCGCACTCTAGCCTGGGCAACAGAGCAAGACTCCACCTCAAACAAAACAAAACAAAATCTTGTCCCTATACATCTTCTAAATGATGCATTGATCCCCAGCAACCCCAATGTGATCAATTAGTTCTTTGGCTTGTCATCACCATCATCATCTCACGGATTTACATTTACAGCGCTTTCATCCACTACAATCAGCACTATCTTCTGATGCTCACACTGTACCAGTTTAGGTCAGTGGGAATCTTTTTGTGCTGGTCTAGTTGGGGATTTTTAGATGTATTTTTCAACCCGCAAATGAACTTGAAGCTTCCTGCTGAAGCCCATAAGCCCTGTGTCTTCCTCTAACACCTAGCATGGTGCCCACCATGACAACAGCCATCCCTCCATGAATAACATGGCACTGACTGACCCACTGCTCCGGATCACCCCAAGATGAAGATTTTCCTACTATAGAACAGAAAATCATTGAGTGCGTTTGTTTTCCTTTTGCCAAAAACAATCTTAAAACAGGAACCTAAAATAAATAGCTTGGGAATAAAGTTTCTGGAAAGATCTCAAACTGGGTCTATCAGCTTTTATTTACAGAATTGTGAAAGCTGTTCTTCTAAAAAGAGCTCACACTCTCACCTCCCCCTTGTTCAAATGTATCTTAAACTCTAATTCTCATTAATGATCCAGATCCAATAATCACTGACCTGGGAGGGACTTTGGAAAATAAGAATCTGTGTCACAGAGACCACGCTAGGACAAGACTTCGTTTCTTCTCAATTCTAAGCCATCACCCCTTTATCTCCCCCACCTCACTGCACGAAACCCACCAATCCCTGCAAAAGGATGAACTGAGAGACTCTTGCAGAGAAATCAATCATGAAGCCAGCATGCATGTGTACAAATGGAGTTTAGAGGCAATGACTAGGTTTTGTTGTGTGCTTTTTTAGTTTACTGGATTCTGTTATTTAAAAAATTGGAATCAAGGAGAAGGCCCAGTGCAAATGGTTTAAGCAAAAATTGCTGGATACAAAAATGACAAAGAATGGCTCCTTCGAGCCCCATCTATGGGCCGCACACGCAGATACGGCTCTCGACAGGTCAGTGTGGCCCACGGCACAGTGAGGAAGCCACCAACACAGCACTGCCAGAGGATGGGCGTCCCACGGCCAACTCACCTTCAACCACCTCCTCTTTCATCTCAAACATAACGTTAACTCACTATTTCCAGCCCTGCAACAGGGATGTGACAGTATGCTGGGGTGAGATGCAAGGACACATATGCTCATGTCTGGGATGAATGCCTGGGGAAAGATATGTCAATCCATGCACTGATCACTTACAACGCATCAGGCAATGGGCTAGGTGCTGAGGACTCAGATGGCAAGGAGATATTGAAATCGGGCTCCAAGGACAGGTAAGACTTATCGAGTAGAGAAGCACAGATCACAGAAACAGGCATTAGCCCCAGGGGAACACCAGGGCGTCCTATGTG